TTTTTCCCCATAGGGTTTGTACATGGATTAAAACGCTCCATTTCGGCACTTTCGTAAATCCGATCGACGTTACACTTGGTACACACTTAGACCATCACCCACAGATGGTCCTTGAAGAAATTCGTGATCGTGACGTCATCAGGTGTCACGTTACTTTACATTAAAGATGTACATTTTCCCCATAGGTTTTGTACACGTTTTTCTGATTGGGTTAAAACTTGGTATGCATATTCACATGGATGTGTTATAGATGGAAATTGAAGTGGCATCATCATCAAATGTCATGTGAAGTCCCTTAAAGGGGCATTTTATTCTTTTATAGATCTATATATCTACAGAACTAAAATGTTTGATTTGGTTGTAACTTGACATGTACATATTATAATGCGCTGTTATAGATGACATTTATAGTGACGTCACTGATTGTTCATCCCGTGCTCAGAGTATTTCAAATATCCGAAACAGCTTGTGTTTGTCCACAAACACATTTCTAGTTTTTTTTTTTCTCCTTTTTCAGACTTTTTCTCCATAGGTTTAACACACGTTTCTTCTACCAGTCCACTTTGCCACTTTTTTAAATCCGATTGATTTCAGACTTGGTACCTACTTAGACCACCACCCACAGATGGTCCTAGAAGAAATTTGTGATCATAACGTCATCAGGTGTCAGGTTACATCAAATTAAAGATTCATTTTTCCCCATATGTTTTGTACACGTTTTAAAACACTCCAGTTTGGCATCTTCGTAAATCCGATCGACTTTAAACTTAATTCATACTTAGAACTCCACCCACAGATGGTTCTAGACGAAATTCGTGATCGTGACGTCATCAAGTGTCTGGTTACGTCACATTAAAGATGCATTTTCCCCTATATGTTTTGTACACGTTTTAAAACACTCCAGTTTGGCATCTTCGTAAATCCGATCGACTTTAAACTTAATTCATACTTAGACCACCACCCACAGATGGTTCTAGACGAAATTCGTGATCGTGACGTCATCAAGTGTCTGGTTACGTCACATTAAAGATGCATTTTTCCCCATATGTTTTGTACACGTTTTAAAACACTCCAGTTTGGCATCTTCGTAAATCCGATCGACGTTACACTTGGTACACACTGAGACCATCGCCCACAGATGGTCCTTGAAGAAATTCGTGATCGTGACGTCATCAGTTGTCACGCTACTTCACATTAAAGATGCACATTTTCCCTATATGCTTTGTACACGTTTTAAAACACTCCACCTTGGCACCTTCATAAATGCGATCGACCTCAGACTTAATACATACTTAGACCACAATCCACAGATGGTCCAAGAAGAAATTCGTGATCGTGACGTCATCAGTTGTCACGCTATCTCACATTAAAGATGCACATTTTCCGTATATGCTTTGTACACGTTTTAAAACACTCCACCTTGGCACCTTCATAAATGCGATCGACCTCAGACTTAATACATACTTAGACCACCACCCACAGATGGTCCTAGAAGAAATTCGTGATCGTGACGTCATCATGTGTTGGGTTACATCACATTAAAGATGCATTTTTCCCCATAGGGTTTGTACACGTTTTAAAACACTCTACTTTGGCACTTTTGTAAATTATGCGATCGACGTTAGACCTGGTACACACTTAGACTACCACCCACAGATGTTCCTAGAAGAAATTCGTGATCGTACCAATGCCAAGATGGGTTATAGATGAACAATAATGTGATGTCATCATCAAATGTCATGTGACGTCCCTTAAAGGGGCATTTTGTTCTTCATTGGCCTATATTTACAGACCTTTATGTTCGATTTGGTTATAACTTGACATGTACGTATAATGTGCTGTTATAGATGACATTTTTAGTGACGTCACTGATTGTTCATCACATGCACAGAGTATTTCGAATATCCGAAACAGCTTGTGTTTGTCCACAAACACATCTCTAGTTTCTTTTTGGCTTTTCCGCAAAGTTGCGGAAAAGCCTTTGTTTCTCTACGAATTTTTTTTCTTTTTTATTTTTTTTTTTCCTCTTGGGACTTCCAACCAAAATGCCATAGACTTTGTGCACGTTTTTTCTAGCAAACACTTTTGGCATAAAACAAAGTCATATGACATCAAAACTTTACATAGTCACAGAACATATAGCAAAGGTCGTTCGCGAAGATAGACGTCATGATGACGTCATCATGGGTCACGTGACGTCATCATTCATGTGCATATTACAAAGTCCTATATCTACAGAACTGTTAGTCCGATTGAGTTGAAACTCGGTATGTAGGTAGATCGGGATGTGTTATAGACGAAAATTGAGGTGACGTCATCATGACGTCATCGTGTGATTTTATATAGATTTTTGAAGATTTGGACCTTTAAGCCATATCTCACTAACGCAATATGATAAATTCAAAATTCTTTTTGTATTAGGTTCGCTGGGCAATAGATAAATGCACAAAATTTGGAAAAATGTGTGACGTCATAATGACGTCAGCAAAAATGCGATTTTTTGAAAAACATATAAGGGAATGTCCGATCGTCTTGAAACTTGGTGGGTGGGTAGATAATAACACTAGTACACACAATCTTGAATGACGTCACGATGACGTCATCGGTCGATTTTTAAAGATTTTTTGTAATATTGCCAATTTTATTCTGCTTAGAAAATTTAACACTTTTATCAATCCGATTTTTTTCAAACTTGGTACGGACTAATACCACCATAAAATAATGAGCACTGCCAAGTATTGTTACGATGACGTCATCATTAGACATGTGACGTCATCGTTAACTTGTATATTTTAAGCCCCTATATCTCATGAACAGTACGTCAGGTTGAGTTGAAACTTGGTATGGGGGTAGGCCGGGATGTGTTACAAATAAATATTGAGGTGACGTCATCATGACGTCATCGTGTGATTTTATATAGATTTTTGAAGTTTTGGACCTTTAAACCATATATCACGACCCCAATATGTTAAATTTAAAATTCTTTTTGTATTAGGTTTGTAAGGCAATAGGTATATGTACAAAATTTTGAAAAATGTGTGACGTCATGATGATGTCATCAAATATGCGCTTTTTTGAAACACATATAAGATAATGTCCGATCGTCATGAAACTTGGTGGGTGGGTAGATAATAACACTAGTACACAACATCTGAAATACGTCACGATGACGTCATCAGTAGATTTTTTTACGATTTTTTGTAATATTGCCAATTTTATTCTGCTTACAAAATTTAACACTTTCATTAATCCGATTGTTTTCAAACTTGGTACAGACTAAAACCGCAATAAAATAATGAGCACTGCCAAGTATTGTTACAATGACGTCATCATTAGACATGTGACGTCATCGTTTGTATATTTTAAGCCCCTATCTCATCAACAGTAATTTAGATTGGGTTAAAACTTGGTATGGGGGCATGCCGGGATGTGTTACCAATAAATATTGAGGTGACGTCATAATGACGTCATCTTGTGATTATATATATATTTTATATATGACAAATGCAATATGCCAAAATCAAATTTCCATTTGAATGAGGTTTGTTAAACAAAACGTAAATGCACACAGTTTTTGCACAAAACAGAAAAACATGACCTTAATTTTAAAAAAAAACATAATGCGGAAAAGCCCTATGTTCTGTTGCAAACAGACATAGACCTCTAGTTTCTTTTTTTTTTTTTTTTTTTTTACCCCCCCCCTCCTTTTTCAGACTTTTTCTCCATAGGTTTAACACACGTTTCTTCTACCACTCCACTTTGCCACTTTTTGAAATCCGATTGATTTCAAACTTGGTACATACTTAGACCACCACCCACAGATGGTCCTAGAAGAAATTTGTGATCGTGACGTCATCAGGTGTCAGGTTACATCACATTAAAGATGCATTTTTCCCCATATGTTTTGTACACGTTTTAAAACACTCCAGTTTGGCATCTTCGTAAATCCGATCGACTTTAAACTTAATTCATACTTAGACCACCACCCACAGATGGTTGTAGACGAAATTCGTGATCGTGACGTCATCAAGTGTCAGGTTACGTCACATTAAAGATGCATTTTTCCCCATAGGGTTTGTACATGTATTAAAACGCTCCATTTCGGCACTTTCGTAAATCCGATCGACGTTACACTTGGTACACACTTAGACCATCACCCACAGATGGTTCTTGAAGAAATTCGTGATCGTGACGTCATCAGGTGTCACGTTACTTCACATTATAGATGCACATTTTCCCTATATGTTTTGTACACGTTTTAAAACACTCCACCTAGGCACCTTCATAAATGCGATCGACCTCAGACTTAATACATACTTAGACCACCACCCACAGATGGTCCATTGTAATCATGGCGTCATCAGGTGTTGGGTTACGTCACATTAAAGATGCGTTTTTCCCCATATGTTTTGTACACATTTTAAAACACTCCACTTTGGCACCTTCGTAAATCCGATCGACCTCAGTCTTGATACATACTTAGACTACCACCCACAGATGGTCCTAGAAGAAATTCGTGATCGTGACGTCATCAGGTGTTTGGTTACATCACATTAAAGATGCATTTTTCCCCATAGGGTTTGTACACGTTTTAAAAACACTCTACTATGGCACTTTTGTAAATTATGCGATCGACGTTAGACCTGGTACACACTTAGACTACCACCCACAGATGGTCCTAGAAGAAATTTGTGATCAAACCAATGCCAAGATGGGTTATAGACAAATTCATGTGATGTCATCATCAAATGTCATGTGACGTCCCTTAAAGGGGCATTTTGTTCTTTATAGGCCTATATTTACAGACCTACATGTTCGATTTGGTTATAACTTGACATGTACATATAATGTGCTGTTATAGATGACATTTTTAGTGACGTCACTGATTGTTCATGACGTGCACAGAGTATTTCGAATATCCGAAACAGCTTGTGTTTGTCCACAAACTCATCTCTAGTTTGTCATTATTTTGCTTGTTTGCGTGTTTGTCTCTTGTCCAGGTACCTGCTCCAGTGCTTGGAAGACCTCGATGCGAGTCTCCGCAAACTCAACTCGCGACTGTTTCTTGTTCGTGGCCAGCCGTCTGATGTATTTCCTAAACTCTTCCAGGAGTGGGGAGTGAATCGGTTGTCATTCGAGGAGGATCCTGAGGTGTTTGGTATTCAGCGAGATGCGAAGATCAAGACACTTGCAGCGACGTTCAAAGTCCAGGTTATCACCAGAATGTCGCATACACTCTATGATCCCAAGGAGTGAGTGAAAAGACCTGTTTTTCCCCTCTACCCAAACCATTGAGAAGGGAACACAACGTCCATGCCCTAACCATTCGCAAATTCCTCAAATCCACAAGGCGGTTCTGAAAAATTGTTTGAATTAAAAAAGACTATGACCATGAGGTTTGATCACTCGTGACGTTTTAGAGCAAAGATGTACATGTACCATTGGTTTCTTGCAAGGTAAATAGGTTTCAAAGGATTGAGGAGGTTTGCAAGCGAAAATGCAAAGGGACAACAGTTAACACTAACCACCCTGAATCCTTCAAAATCCTCTTTGCCAAAGTGGAGGAATCTGGAGGATTGAAGTTGCATGTACATGGCAAAAGTGCGTTACTGATTTTGTAGGATGCACTTTGTCAAGATCTTGGGCTGGACCTTGTTTTGTTTTTGCTCAGTCATGCTTTAATATAGGCCTGGATTATGCTTGAAATCCTCCGTACTGCTCCAGGATGTCCCTGGTCAAGCCTCAACACATTGACAGTCACTGCTGCAAGATATTGCATGATTCAGGCAATGGTCATCCCATCCACGGACCAAATTGAAGAAATAATGGAGGCTTTTGCAGGATTCAGGCTAATTGTTCACGAGGCCAGTTGGAGGATTTGGCAGGATTGAGGCTTCATCCTGACAAAAAAGGCCTAGGGAGTTAGGGTTCAATTTTTATTTTTTTGAAATGTTTTCTGTAACTGTTTATTTCTTCAAGAATTATTATAACATAAAGTTGTACACACAAAAATCTGCTAAGTATACACTATTTTAAAGCTAACAATTTAAATATATGCACTGCAACTTTTCTTTTTTCTCTCCAGGATTCTGAAGATGAACAACAATAGTCCACCGCTCACCTACAAGCACTTTCAGTACCTCATCTCGCTCATGGATCAGCCGCCATTCCCCGAGGACACAATCACGCTGTCGGACATCGAAGGAATCAATACGGCGATAACATCCAATCATGATTCTAAATATGGACTCTCATCTTTAGAAGAGCTGGGTAAGTCCGTTAGTTAGTGCTCGCTCATTAAATCCAGAATTGCAGTGAAAATTAATGCAGTTTTGATTTTTCTGGATGGTCGAGGAATAATGAGATTTATGGTCGATGATTAATGATGGTATGGGTTTTTTGAAAGCTCTGCGTGATTAAAATTGTTTCTGTGATGGGGGGGGGGGTGGGATTGAGGTTGAAACCAAACTGAAAAATGTTAATTGGCTTTGAAGTTGGAAAAAATGCAGTTCTGGTAAGGTTTCATTGGTTTCTGTTTGCCATAATTTACGCACACAGTCATGATGGAGAGGTAAAAAAGCTATTAAGCATTATTCAAGGTGGAATTTTTGCGTCGGGTGATGTAAATCCATATTAGGTTTTACCCTTCACTGTATATTTCACTGTCAAATTTACATTTTCTTCGGATTATTTCATTGGGGTATGCCCTGGCTAACATCCAAGTTTCTTCTCCCAATTAAGGAAAATTCTGGAACAAAAAATCAAAAAATTAATAACCAAAAGTGTGCAAAATCCACTTGTCAATGGGTAGGAAAACTCAACAGCAAGGTTGCAATTTGGCGAGGGGCAAGTTGCGGAAACCGGGGTTAACGATCAGACGTTTTGGTAATGTAAGCCCACGGACGCTTGTCGCATTGCTGGTAATGCACGGCAGGGATCCAGGATCAAGAATTTTTGTGATGAAGTTCTGACCCTTGTTTGACTAGAGAGTAGCTTCCACGCTGCTGCCCCAAAACTCTGCAACAACTTACCCTACATCATCTGCCACTCTAGCTCACTAGCAACATTAAAAAAAATCCCTGAAAACCCATCTGTTTAATTGATCTGTTTAATTGATATGTTATTGCTTACTCATGTATTTTGCATGTGTTTTATTTCTCGTTCTGTTTTCTGGTTTTTGTTTTTTCCGTCCATTTTTTTGTAAAGCGCTGTGGTACTATGACAGTTAGAGCGCAATATAAATGTTCAGTATTATTATTATTATTATTATTGTTAGTAGAGATTGCATATTTTACATTCCCAGAGTTTAGGAACGTTAATGGATATTTCAGTCTAATTTGCAGGAGATCTGAGCATGTGAATGCGGCACAATAAATTACACAACCTGTACAATTCTCTTGAAGCTCCATTATGCACATTATTCATATGTTCATGTAAACAGGATATTGACATTTCCAATGTTTGAACAACAGAACAAAATAGGCTTAGTATACTAAAGCCCCCAAAAAGTCTCCGGTTTCTGGTATGGAGCTTGCTCCAAAAGTGGTGTGGCGACGCGTTTTTTGTTTTTTTCTTACTTTTTTTTCTTCTTCAAATTTTGCCTGATGACTGCAAATGGTGCCCGACTAAATTTAGTGCAAAATGTATGGGAGCACAGAGAGGCCACATTTATATAAAGCTTATACTCGATCGTAACCCCATCCAAAAGCATGTTAAAATTGTGCAGCAGCAGGATTCCAGTCAAACCAGTGAGTTTGGCGGTTTTGAGACATCATCTTACATTGAAAAAAAAAACCTTTTTAATTTTGCCGACACACATGGCTACGGCGACGCGCGCGCAGACCAGAAACCGGAACCATTTTTTTTGGCCTAAAGAATCCACTGAAATTTACCCAATCTAGAAATATTTAAATACAGAAAAAAATTCCATAGCCGTTGAGTTTGGAATGAAGTAAATAGTTTTTTTTTTCTTGTGTGTGATTGTATATATGTAAAGTGCTTTTGGCGTTCAGTGTGAAGTTCATAGAATTGGTTTCAATTCCCTTGGGCTATACTTACTTTAAAAAGATCCATGAAGGGTTTGCACTCGAATCATTATGGTTTTCTGATTTGGTTATAGATTGGTTTTGCGATGGCTGGAGTGTTTTGACTAGACAATTCTGAATTGCAATTCAGACCCTCTTATGTCCAAGACCTTTCACAGCTAAGGCCAAAAAAAAAAAATATTCAGTCTCTGGTCAGACCAAAGTTCCGGAATTGATGCGGCGACGCGGCTTTTTTTTTTTTTTTTTCCTTTTTTTTTTTCTTTCTTCAAGCTTGGATTGTACAGACAAGGTGGGGTACTATTTTGCTTTTTTGGTGTCCTCATGTACATTGGTGTCCTCCATAATTTGCCTTGGTGCTCTCGATCATTTGCCTTGGTGCAATTTCCCATTCCTTGGTGCTCTTTGGTAAAAAAAATTGAGGAGGTGCGGCAATAGAGGGCGCTGTTGGAGCTACCGTGGAACATTTTGGAAAAAAAAAATATTGACGCGCATGATTAAAATCGATGCGCGCGCTGACCAGAGACCGACTTATTATTTTTTTTTGGCCTAAATATGAATTTCAAATTTCTATATTTTAGAAGAAAGTTGGAAAAAATTACCATTTACCACGCTGCCACTCATAAAAAAAAATTACCATAGAAATAACCAGATGAGCTGCAGTCTACAATTTACAAACTGCCCCCGCAGGAAATCAAGTTGTGCTGATTAGTTTTTCTCCCTGAGGGGACTCTAAATTAATGCCATTCGGATAAAAATAGTTGTAATGAATAAAGAAATAAATTTAAAATGTAGATTTATCTGCACTGTCCATTTGTGAAGAGTCGTTGACTCGATAATGTTTTGTTTTTCCCCATTTTGTTAAACTGAAGTGCTCTTGACGATTCAGAATCACTTAATTGCAATCTTTTCTTGATAGATGTATCATCATTGGTAGTAACCCTAAACTTTTGAGCAATAAATTATATTTTAGGACGTACTAGTTTGACTTCTCTTACTGCATTTTCTACCGTGATGTGCATTGTACTGTATTGTGTATCATAATCAACATTTCACAAAAGTTGTTGGCTGTGAAAAAAACCAAGCAGTTACCAGGTTGATAAAAGTAAATGAGGCTTTTTCTGTACATACATGTATTTTACAATCATTTCGAAGAATACTTTTGCTTTGATATAGAGACATGTTATTGACTTTCATGAACCATTGTAAATGATAATTTATAAATACCCGAGACAGTAAACCCATTCCTATTGGTCAGGAGCCCATCACATGGGTGGTTTTAAACCGCAAGTAAAACATCGCTGCGTTCTGCACCTCATCGTGCAGCACGTGCTCCAATTTCCATATTTATTAAAGGAGATTTCTAGCACTACATGCGCAAGGCGTACCATGATATTAAAGACATGGCCAGAAGGGTGTTTCACAAGACATGAAGTAGAATTGTTTAACAAAATCATTTGACATATCATTTTGGCTTTTTGACCAAAAAGGCACTTAAGAATAAAAAAAAATAAAAAAAAAAATTAACAAAATATAACTTCAACATTTGAAGAGTACAGTTTTTCTCTTTTTACAGGGTTTGACCCCGAAGATATCCCGCCGCCAGTCTGGATTGGTGGAGAGACTGTTGCCAAGCAACAGTTGGACCGCCATCTTGAACGAAAGGTGAGCCCTGACAACTAGGCAACTAAAAAAAATAAAAAAATTGCTTTGCTTACATCAGGAATTGGTTATGGAGATAGAGGGCTCTGTAAGACATCAGGTGATACTCAGACTAGCATGACTAGAGTTGAATGCGGAGGATACAGGAACGTTCCTTCTGAAAAAACGCTTTGGGAATTTTAGATTGTCACTGTACATAGAACTTGATACCCTTAACATTTTTAAAACTTAAAAAGGTACAAATAATGTGCCATTGGATTTTTGCACAGAAGTTGGTATCTTGCAAAGAAATTCCTATAAAAAAAATGCTTTGGGCGGTACATGTAAGGTTAAAGCTTGATTTTTTTTGTATAGGGAGTGCAGAACTCAAGCGCAATGTATAGCAGTACACTACAGCAGCCAACAGTTTTAATGGAATTCTGGAAATAATTTTTGTAATGAAGAAAAATATGCGTTGCAGGGCTGGAAGGACTAATCATCCTTTACATCCTGTACGTAAACAGGTAGCTGTTGAAATCTACCCATCTGACATGTCTGATGAAATGAAAGCCCTGGTTGTGTTTTTTATAGCACGTATAAAGTAACTGATAATAATCAAGAATTATCTGTACGGGAACGCATGCATAAAAAGTGGCCATAACGTTTCTTGTTTTTGTTTATCTAGGCGTGGGTGGCTAATTTTGAACGTCCACGGATGTCCAGTGCATCGTTGATGGCTTGCCCAACAGCACTTGGGCCGTACCTCAGGTTCGGTTGTCTGTCGCCGAGGCTGTTCTACTGGAGGCTAACGGAGCTTTATCAAAAGGTCCAGTGAATTGAGTTTTACATCTTTTGATTGAAGTTATCAATTGTAGGCTCGGGCGATTTTGCACAAGAAACTAGAGTTGATTCCAAACTCAGCATTGAAATGCGATTCAATATATTTGAGTAATCAATTCCTTGTAGCAGTCGATTCTGCTCCCTTGAGATTGGTTTCCAGAAATCACCTGAAGGTTCTGAAGACCTGCTGACTCAAAACAAGTTTTAAAAAACCCACAATTCTCTTAAGAAAGGTGATTTATAGAGAACGAAATAACAGAATGAATCGTAGGTTTTATTTTAAATTAATGAACAGTGAAGTCTGTGGCGCCGAGATGGTATTTATTTGTCATGTTTATGATGTAAAATTCACATTAGCAAATACTTTTGATTGTTTCAAATGGTAAACAGAGAGAGTACATGTCTTCATGACCTCTATTTCGCAGGAATTCATTTATCACATAGACTCTTTACAGAGTTTTAAATTTTTGTTGTTGCCATATTCGTTCTAAAATGGAAATTGGAATCGTTTCTGAAATTGAATCGCGATTCCAGGAAGGAATCAGAATCTATTGCATAAAAAAGAAGTCATCCAAGCCTAATGAATTTGCTTCATCGTAGGCCCGAGATAAACAGACGTCAGGCTTTGTTGACAAGTGTGCTTCTCATATCGGATATCTCCACCTGGCTCCCATAAGAAAACACACATTTCATCAAAGCTTGACGTCATTACATCCCAGGGCTTATGATAATTATAAGAATTTGTTGACTTCTTTTAAAGAAGCTGTAGATTCACTGTAACTGTAAGGCCAAACCAAAAAAATGGTGTGTTTATGGTAACGGCCTGAAAAAAATCCAGGTAGGTAGGGAAATAATTTTATTTTGTAATTTTTTTTTTCATTTCAGTTCTGCATGCCCATGCGTGTTCTTTCGCAAAAAAATTGTAAAAATTGTATAAAAACATTATTCAATCATTCAAGATATTCAATCGATACATTTCATTCCAAATTAATTCGTTCTGCCCAGGGTTCTCCCCAGGATTTTTTCATACCTGTGGGGAAGTTTTGCTGTGATTCAACAAACTGCGAAGCCATGGCGTGGGGTTCGGCGTTTTAAGGGCCCCGAAAATGTTTGAACTTTAGAAGCTCTCTGGTGCATTTCCGAGCAAATCTGGGGGTCTTTAACTTAAGATTTTCCTTAAAATTCAGAGAAGATCTTAACATTAATATTTTTGTAATTATTAAAAGAAAATAATCAAAATTGTTAACTTAAAAAAAATCAACGTTTCATTTTCACAACCTGTGTTAAAGCTTCCTGAACTAGAAAAGTATGGATTACATTTACAAATAAGTTTCAAAGTAAGAAATTAAGGTGGAGAAAAAAAATTTACTTTTGCTTCCGATTACATGCCTTTCAAAATAGCGTCAGTAGGTCGGAAAAATTATTTCGCCAATTTTTTTGGGGTGCTGATTAATGGAGCATCATAATAGTATAGAGCAAGGAATCGTGTTTATTTTGTACCTGGATTATTTTCATTTGCGCCACGAAAATTATCAAGACTGGCCATCAAAAGTGATTAAAACTTGCCTCACCTAATTAAAAATATTTTTGAGGTGGGTGATTCCACTATACTATATGATTCCACTACATACATCATGGCCAGTGGGCCCCAGTAATGACTTATCCAAACTGGGCCCACTTTTTGCAAGTGATAGGACCTACAAAATGACACAATGCACATCCATAAAAGTGGCATCCCTTAATCCGAAATCTTGAAGAAAACACGTACAGACTTTGTTAACTTGTCCACTTAGCTTATTTATACCTTTCTTTACTAAGGCTGATTCTATAGATTTAAAGTGAACATAAATTTATCAGGACCATTTGAGGCAACAATTTTGCAGCTTTCTGTATTTTGACAAATTTTGAAAAGTTACAAATGAAGCTCATTTTGGGTAAATTTTGACACATTTCCTGAAGACATTCATAACCATGATGACAAAGAATTTCACTCCACTTCAGACAGAAGTTTGTGTATGTGTTTTTGGTTTGTTTTTGGTTTGTTTTTGGTTTGTTTTTTGTTTTTGTTTTCTTTTGCGTTGTTGTTCGTTTTTTTGGGGGGGGGGGGGGGAAGGGGCGAATAAAATCAATTCACCCACATTAGAAATTACCACTGAGACTGGAACTAAAAACAAATTTTCCTCATTTTTTTTATCACAAAACTGCAACTTCTTATATGATCTCTTGCTCAAGGTTGACAATACGTTGAACACAAAAATCCCCCCACCTCTTCCAAAAGAAAAAATCTTTGCATGCAACGTCCCTGCTATTGTCCGTTTGCTCTCTCTTCCATTTTCCAGACGAAGAAGACAAACAACATCCCCCTGTTCCTTCACGGTCAGCTGTACTGGCGTGAGTTCTTCTTCACGCTGGGCTACGACAACCCCAAACTGGACGAGATGGTTGGCAACCCCATCTGCATCCAGATTCCCTGGGAGAAGAACGAGGAAGCTCTGCAGAGATGGAGAAATGTAAGATTAATGTGTCAAGAGCATTGTTGTATTTACTCAAAAGTATTTCATCACAAGTCCTAACAAGTACATCACAGGCCAATCACAAGTCATACAGTGCCAAGTCAAGACACTAACTATTCAATGAACTTTAAAGACATTCCTTTGTTATTGTTTTTTCCCTGCTAATACTTGTAGTTGGACAGCTTGTCTTTTCACTAGATGCTACATTATTATTATTATTATTATTAATCATTTCTGGTAATGAAACCAAGGATTCCTCAAAAGCGCCCTAGGCACTGTAGCTCGCAAGCCTGAAGAAACCTGTGGAGAGAAGACAATGAGAAGAAGTTACAGTTTTAGAGGTGGGAGGAAAGTACCGCTACGCCAACCTGACTCCCCATGCATACATGTCTTGGCAGTCCAGCACTGAACCCAGATTTTCTGCTCAATATGTAAAGAATTCTAAAGTGGCCTGAGTGATGCACTACATGTTACTACATGTCTCATTAGCTACATGTATTAAGAGATTCCCGATTGCCATTTTCAAGGGTTTCGGCATGGGCCTTATGCACAAGTTGGCCATTTTTGTCGTGTTCCCTGAATGTATTTCATTGATTGTGAACTGTTGAATGGGATGGTGCCAGACTATTTATTCACTATAGCCTCACTTTCATTTTTGTTTTTACAAATGTGGCATAGTGCATTAGAGTTTGTTTAATCACAAATTTTACATTATTCATCAGAGCAGACTGGTATTAATTTGTAACGTCATTGCTTTCATTTCTCTACACAAGTTCCAAAAATGAAGATTATACCTCACTCTTAATCCAATATGGCCGGATCGTGAATAAGGCCCATGACTAATTTTGCTGGCGTTGTGACTCTGGATGTGATCCCTGGCTACATTGCGCAAACGAGTTACTGGCTTCTAAGGCCAAAAAAAAAAAGTCTCCGGTTTCTGGTATGCGCACGCGTCGCCGTAGCCATGCGCGTCGGCAAAATGAAAAAAGTTTTTTTTTCAATACAAGATGATGTTTCAAAACCGCCAAACTCACTGGTTTGACTGGAATTCTGCTGCTGCACAATTTTAACGTGTTTTTAGAAGGGGTTATGATCGAGAATAAGATTTATGTGGCCTCTCTGGACTCCCATATATTTGCACTAAGTTTAGTCGGGCACCATTTGCAGTCATCAGCCGACATTTGAAGCCAAAAAAAAAAAACAGGTAAAAAAAAAAAGAAAAACGCGTCGCCGCACCACTTTTGGGGCAAGCTCCATACCAGAAACCGGAGACTTTTTTTGTGGCCTAACTAGGGCCCTTGAACAAAGATATTGACAAATTGGGACACTACCAACAAAACGCTGGATAGCTCAGCTGGTAGAGCACTGAAATAGTGTTCCATAGGTTGCAGGCTCAAATCCTGCACAAGTCAGGTTTCTTCTTTGTTCAACAAAATATTGATTGAAAGGAAACCCAGTCAGTATTATTTATGGTTTATGTAAAGGATTTTTTTTAAATCTTGTGCACCACAAGCTAGACATGGGGGATTCCCCTAAACCTTTCATTCATTCATTCATATTTCATTCATATTTATTTCCACTTAATCATTTGAAGGGAAACGGTTTAAACAATCATTTAGATAACAGGATAAGATTAAGCGGTGGGCTTCTCCAAAAAGCAAGCTTGTCAAGTGGAGAAGTCCATTATGTGTAGAAAAAAATATATATTAAATACATTTGTACCTTTAACTTAACTACACAATGAAGTACACTTTAAGTTACACAAACACACATATACAAGGGACCAACACAAACGGGACAAGACAAAACAAATCAAGTACAATCAGAACCTACATGGGAAATCATAAGAAGAATATGTTCACAGCAAATAATAAGTAAAACTAAAATTAAGCATTAAGCATTATTGTAACTTTCCATAAGCAGAGACTTTAGCTTCTTCTTAAATAAAGGCCTACTGTTGACAATTCTAAGAGTTTGATTGAATGAGTTCCAAAATTTGGGGCCCTGATAATGAATGAACTTTTTAGCTTTAGCAGTACGTACGTTTCATTTGACCACCCATTGCAGGGCCAGACTGGGTTCCCATGGATCGATGCCATCATGACTCAGTTGAAGCAAGAAGGATGGGTGCATCCTGTGGCTAGGCACGCTGTAGCCTGCTTCCTGACCCGAGGAGACCTGTGGATCAGCTGGGAGGAAGGGGCAAAGGTGAGGCAGTTGGTTGGTCTGTTTGCATGTTTGTCTGTCTGTGAGTGGGATTGCAGCAAGTTGTGGCTTGTTTCTTAATGAGAGGAGATCTATGGATCAGCTGGGAGGATGGACTCAAGGTGAGGCAGTTGGTTGGTCTGTTTGCATGTTTGTCTGTCTGTTAGTGAGATTGTAGCAAGTTGTGGCTGGTTTCTTGATGAGAGGAGATCTTTGGATCAGCTGGGAGGAAGGGGCAAAGGTGAGGCAGTTGGTTGCTCTGTTTGCATGTTTGTCTGTTTGTTAGTGAGATTGCAGCAAGCTGTAGCCTGCTTCCTGACCCGAGGAGACCTGTGGATCAGCTGGGAGGAAGGGGCAAAGGTGAGGCAGTTGGTTGCTCTGTTTGCATGTTTGTCTGTCTGTTAGTGAGATTGTAGCAAGTTGTGGCTTGCTTCTTGATGAGAGGAGATCTATGGATCAGCTGGGAGGAAGGGGCAAAGGTGAGGCAGTTGGTTGGTCTGTTTGCATGTTTGTCTGTCTGTTAGTGAGATTGTAGCAAGTTGTGGCTTGCTTCTTGATGAGAGGAGACCTGTGGATCAGCTGGGAGAAAGGGGCAAAGGTGAGGCAGTTGGTTGGTGTGTTTGCATGTTTGTCTGTCTGTTAGTGAGATTGTAGCAAGTTGTGGCTTGCTTCTTGATGAGAGGAGATCTATGGATCAGCTGGGAGGAAGGGGCAAAGGTGAGGCAGTTGGTTGGTCTGTTTGCATGGTTGGTCTGTTTGCATGTTTGTCTGTCTATTAGTGGGATTGTAGCAAGTTGTGGAATTATACTCGCTATCAACCTAGGATTTATGTACCATACTTAACATTAGCAGGATACCCAAGATGACATTTATACCGATTTCCACCCTCACTAATCACAGTGTGATTTTCAATTCTTCTTTTGTCCACAGGTATTTGAGGACCTATTGCTTGATGCTGATTGGAGCGTGAATGCCGGCAACTGGATCTGGTTGTCCTGTTCCTCGTTCTACCAGCAGTTCTTTCATTGTTACACCTTCTGCCCGATCAAGTTTGGTCAGCAGACAGATCCCAATGGTGACTTCATCCGGTGAGTTCACAAAATCAGGTTTTTGAGTCTGTGGCTTTAGTTCTCAGGCTTCGACTTCAGTAAACTTTAGACCATTGACTTTGGAACTCTGGCTCAAAATAATTTGGTACATGTTGTGCTTTTGGGAGATAAAAGTCTATATGCTAAGTCACAAATTTGTAATAAATTGTAAGGTGAAATACTACTGGTGTTTTTGAGTTGCCTGTGATTTTTGGAAAACAAGAGCAGACACACTTCAAGTGGTGTAGTAAAACTAGCCTCCTGAGATGATCCATAAAGCATTCTATTTTTCACGAGGCGAAGCTGAGGGAAAGTAAAATGCTCCATGGATCACAGAGGGAGGCTAGTTTTACCACACCACAAGATAAAGCAGTCAATATTTGTTTTATAACACCTCTCCCACAGATTCTGCTTGATTTTAAGCAATAACTGATTAATTCAATCTGAATACAATTAAATTTTCCTCTAATAGAATATGAGATTAATTGAAAATTAACTTGCACTTTTCCAAACTACCCCTTCACCTTCACGAACTGTTTGAACCCAGCTCTGTAGCGCTAGCACTTGGGAACAATACGCACAACGCACGCACCCGTATGCATTTGCACACAATGTGTATAGTACTTTGGTTGCTACGGGTATAGTACCAAGGTTGCTGCGGGTATAGTACCTAGGTTGCTGCGGGTATAGCAAGATAGCAAAAATAGCGAATGCCATGTGACTTACTCTCTGCAAATCAAGATACAGAATCTGTGGGTGAGATGTTATAAACTAAAATACGTAGGTTGCTGGCTTGATAGAAAAATGACCTAATGATGGTGAGATCTATTTTGCGATGTCCAATCTGTTTGGTCTTTTGTGTGACTTGGAACAATTTCTTCATATTCCAGAAAGTACATTCCAGCTTTGAAGAACTTCTCTGCCAAGTACATCTGCAAGCCATGGACAGCACCCCTCGAGGTCCAGGAACAGGCGAAATGCATCATCGGTAAGAAAAAAAATTAAAAAGCAGTATCTTACTTGAAAAATGTTTTTTAAAAATTTAATATTTAAAACTTGAAAGTTTTGTAGCATTGTTTCTGTTCCTAATGGGATTTCAAACACATTATTTGATTTTTGTGTCGTCAGGTAAGGATTATCCCTTCCCGATGGTCGACCACAACGAGGTGATGCGCAGAAACACCGAGCGGATGAAAAACATCCTGCAGAACGTCTCCCAAGCGCCAAACTACAGCTATAATGGTAAGGAACCTGTCAAAATGTCACAGGTTGCTGACATGCCCATGGGTGTGCTGAGTGCTGACCATGGCATGGCTTCATCCGTAACTCCGGAGTCATTTTAAAGTCTCTGTGAGGTGTTCTGCAGGCGCGGTTCTAGAACCAATATTTTGGGGGGGCTAGCAGGGTGGATCCATATTTTTTTTCAGGGAGGCGTGCTGAAATGTAGACCGGTTATTTTCTCCAGACACTTAGGCCTCCGAAAATCAATAGGTGGAGGGGGGGGGGGGGGGGGGGGGGGGGGGCTTATGCCAAATTTTCAGTGGGGAGCGCCAATAAAATCCTAAAATCATTCACACTATATTAACTACAAATGCACCCTTGTCACGACTATTTCTTTAGGGGGAGACTGTTCGCATGTACATCACAATCCTTCTTTTTGCTAATGCAACTTTTTTTTACGGACTTTATTTTTGGGGGGGCTAGATAAAATTGGGGGGGGGGGGCTAAAGCCCCCCTAGCCCCCCGTAGAACCGCGCCTGGTGTTCTGGCAAAATGAGACGGAACTGGGCAGAGGTCGAGATGAGGGTTTGCGGGTATTATGGTGGAGAATATAAATTAAAGTTGAGATCAACATCTTCATTTATATCATATTCATCAATTTGCAATATTTTCAATTATGCTCTGTATTTAAATTCATTCTTTTATTTTGGGAATACCCTTTCGTTGCCCTTGATTGGATGGGCCCAGTCAGGACACACAGTAAAGGCAAAAAGATTGCACGTTTGCACACGTGTTACACACGTAGATCCACCCATGATTGTTTTACATACGCTATGTGGACATTCCTTTGTTTTCGTGTAGTTAAGAAAACTCGGTGCAAAAAATAATTTTACTTAAACTGTGAAAACTCTTTCAACCCCCATTGTTTTTTGATTTCCTTGAATGATTCTCTTCATTCTGTGACGGATAACCCTAACCCGAAAATGCCTCTAAACCTGTTTTCCAGAGAGGGCGAAACGTTATTTGGACACGGCTTAGTCCACATAATGTCAACACAACCTGCATCATGTGGACATCTTTTGTTCACATGTCCATATAGTGACTGTAAGACAAACTCATTCATACATGTCGCCCGGATGTGCTGTATTCACATAAAATCTCACTCTATAGCATTGAGAAAGCTTAGTGGTACTTTAATGTCGTCCATTTCATTTTTTTTTCTTCACAGAGTACATCACTAGCATTCCGTCTCTCCCTCAGTCATCCAATAGCATCTGGGTACCGAGCATGTCGCAAGAGCCGCAGCCCAAAATGCTACGTCTGTCCCAGGATTCCATGCCCATGATGACACAAGACAACATGATGTCACAAAACAACATGATGTCACAAAACAACATGATGCCGCAAGACAACATGATGCCACAAGAGAACATGATGTCACAAGACAACATGATGTCACAAGACAGCATGATGTCTCAAGACAACATGCTGTCACAGGACAGCATGGCCATGCTGTCGCAGGACGACGTGCCGAGTACCAGCGCGTACATTGTGACGAACCCATCGGGCATGCTGACACTAACCAATCCCTATGCCTGTACTATGACTCAAGAGAGTATGATGGCCCCTCAGCCTTCCCAGAATGCACTGGGAACATCCTGGAATGACCCCAATAGTCTCGCCAATCAGTATTATAATCAGTGATGGGTCCAGATAGATTGAAGTAGCATGTTAGTCCACTGCTATTAGCAAATAGACCTTTATCATGCTGCCACCATTTTAGTCATGTTCCCTGTATCCAATAACAGTACTGAATGACAATTTTTTTGTGCAAAAAGGAACCAGACTATATTTCCTTCCAGCCTCGCTTTGGTTACGTTGATTTGAATGGGAAAGAATCAAAATGGCTGCAACATGATAATGGTCTATATCGGCTCAGGAGTAACATTGGACGTCATTGATTTGTGACCTTCATCTTGCAGAGATGAGCTACCTCAAACTGATGTTAAATCATGAAATAATTTCGTTTTTAGTTTTTAGCAAGTTACATTTTCTGAAAATACATTAAAGCTTTTCCCAAATTGTCCTAAGTAAATCCCCCCTTCTCCGAAATCTGGTCTGAAAGTTGATTTTCAGTCACGTATTCTTTACCCCCTCCCCAAGCTTATCTTAGTCTAAAACGACGGGTTCAGGATTTGGATACATGTACAGTATATGTAGCGCAACTCCTTTTATGATGTAATTTTATGAATGCCGTTGGAATAATCTCTACCTTACGTATATATCCGATTTTTTGCTAAAAGATTAAATTGATCTATATTTTGATTGGAGTATCTTCCGAAAGATTATGAAGAGAAAGTATGTCAAAAATTCACAGAATTGTGACGTGTAAATTTGCCTGCTATCCTATCCCTAGGAATATGTCTAAAGGCTGATTGAACATAAATACACATGTACATGTATTATGTAAAAAATAATTGTGTTGAAGCCCGAACGATACTTCCTTCACACGGGTTATGTATAGTAAGAACCACTTGTATATTTGGTGTCTAATTGACACAAATTGTAAAAAAAAAAATGCTAAACAATACATAAAGATAAATATTACGTAAAATAATTTATAACAAGCCCTGAACGATACGTCCTCAACACATGGTATGCAACATATTGAAGCATAGAGTTATTGTACATTTGTTGTTAACTTTTCACAAGATGAGGTATATTTGTTAATTTGATGGTGGAGGAAATTTCAGAATGGCAGTAGAAATTAGTACAAAATTTGAGGCTTTGCACGGAGGAGAGAATATTTTCAGGCAAAATTTGTGGACACGTTTTCCTAATGCTGACTAGTCTTGATGCAAGGCGTTCTTAGCGTTTTATTCATGAGAGAAGGTACTGCAGCATACATGTCAAACATTGTGCAACAGAGGGCCTTTAGTGCCTTGGCCAATGAACTGCATGTGAACTTGCGGTCTGTTGGCATATTTGTAAAAAATCATTGTTTTTGCGAGTTGGTGCCTAGTCCGTACACTCTGATGTACCGCACAACTTAAGGACGTCCTGGCATCAAGACTAAATCTTGACCAAAACACTGAATTAAAAACCTTTTGTTCTTCTCGGAACCATTTCTCAATAGAAGTACATGTAGTCACTTCAAGTGGGGTAGAACAAATTCCAAAGTTAAGATGAACTCTCAGATGGTGAAAGAACCCTTATCTGTGTATGTCCACTTTGTTAGTACATTGTACACATTTACAAGTTTCATTTCAAGAATTTTAGGGTTAAGACGGTTGGTAATTAAAACAAAAATCAATTTGGTGCTAACAAATTTTGTGCTTCATGTTCTGCTAGCAGTTGACTAGGTATTTTTCTAAAAAAAACAGCAGACGTACCTTGGTAGTATTTGCTATTGGACACGAGAGGGTTAACATAACATTTTGAAAGTGAAATTTCTAATTTCCTACCAAATTAGAACATTAACAATATGTGTAATACAGCCACAGAGATAAGATGTTGCATTTAAAACTGGTGATGTCCAAAGGGTCATTGTATTCTTAGAATTACTGCATTTGGGTACAAAAGCCTACAATTCTTTTTGGAAACACTGGTTATAAATCTGTGTGTATGTGTGTGACCAAATTTGTTGTGGTATTTTATTTAATTGTGTGCTAACTTGGTGAATTTAAGAGCAGGGTTATCTTCGGTAAGTACATGTATATTCAGCATTTTTTGTTACAAGTAGTGCATTTGGGTACAAAATCCCAAATTTCTTTTTGGAAAACTGGTTATCTGTGTGTGTGTGTGACCAACATTTTTGTGCTATTTTGTTTAATTGTGTGCTAACTTAAGAATTTAAGAGCAGGGTTATCTTTGGCATGTATATTCAGCATTTTTTTGTTACAAATAGTGCATTTGGGTCCAAATTTCTTAAATTTCTTTTTTTGGAAAAACTGGTAATCTGTGTGTGTGTGTGAGACCAACGTTTTTTGTGCTATTTTGTTCAATTGTGTGCTAACTTGTCATCTTCGGCATTTATATTCAGCATTTCTCAGTTCCAAATCAGTAGTAAGTGGTTTGCCTTTCCAGATATTAGACAAAATGTTTTAAGTATTGTTTCAGTTCAGGGTATACATTCTTGGGTACATGAATTATTATTCTCAACCAAACTGATTTTCTTCGTGAAATAAGGGTCCACAAAATGTCTGCTGTACACTCTGGTCTACCAAACACATGAAACGGCTATAATGAGTGCCCCTATTCCTCAAAAATTGGGATTCGTCATATTATCATAGAGCACTACACAAAGTTTCAACATCATTGTGGAGGATGTGTTATAAGCGATTATTGTTTTATTGAAGCATTCTTCTGTAATAAATTGATTCATACAAATTGCACCAAATATTAATTCCTCTGTTTTTAAGGCAGTTATTACGTTAGGTTTTATTTAGGCGAAGTTAACTGACATTCTATATACCACCGGTACTTTTCCTGTACATTTTTCTATGGACCAAATAGACAGTAATTTGAGAAACAACAAAAAGGCAAAGCAGTGTACAGAATAAATTTAGAATAGCACATTTGTTTATTTGTGTAAAATGTGTATAACACATTTTCGATATTAAGTTGACTTCTTCCTTGTGCGTGAGGAAATTTGGACCTTAAAACTGTCAACATACTAGCACTGTTACTTATGGTATTGCCTACTTAAATATTTCTTAAATAATCTAAAGCTATCTTTATTTTAAATTAGTTAACTGAATATTTACTACAGTTTTCAGTTTCTAATGAATGATGAACAGTGTACACTGCACAGTACAGAGCATGAAGTATTTTCCTTAAAAGTTAAAACCACACTGTACATGAAATTCACGATTTGGCATTTGCACACTTTGTAAAAGTTGACACATTATGTATTCATGACCAAAAAAAAACTTGTCTTGTGGAAGATTTGACATTTCATAAAAATGTGATGATTCACTGGCACCTAGTTTTAATAAAATCTCTCACTTTTTGTCAGATAAAAAAGAATTTTTGTTCTTTGTTTTTTTTTCATACGAGTAGGGTAATGTTTCACAGAAATTTTTAAAAAGGTACAAATGTCATAACATTGACACGGTGTTACGTCCGAAATGACATTTTTGCTCATATTTTTGGCAAAATACATTGAAATGATTGAAAACTTTCTGCAGTAATGAAACACCCAACAACAAATATTATGTTGAGCAACTGCTAACAAGGCATTCGTGCCTTTCTTAATAATATGGTCATATGTCACACATTGTTCCCCAACCGGGTGGAATGACCCATATAGGACTCGGGACTGGTACTAAATACCTTGTGAAATTATTCCACCTCAAATGGTGTCTTTTGGAAGAAAACATAATTGAAGGTGGTTTAAGAAAATGTGCCCGTAGGCAGAGTTATAATGTTTACGTGCATTAGCAATGGACCTGTACATCAAAATGTCCTACTCCTGAAGGCCAGTCCTTCTCTGGATGTCTTTCTTTGTATTGTTCTTCATTGTCATTACCGTGTATTGGTAATGTGCTTGGCTTTCACCTAGCAGGATATACGCATGAATGTATGAATGGAAATATAAAGACAAACTAAAAATGTAGGTTCACCCCTCTATCTGGGACCACACTTTCATAACGATAAATTTGGCTTTTCTTACACCTGAATTCCATCTACAGTTAAAGTTTGCTATCTGAAGTAGGCTTCTGCTGCTTTTCGACGGAAATTTTCTCCAGAGATGCTCTCACGTTATCCGGTAATGGAACTGGTCTGTTTGTGTCAGTGTTAACAAAGACATGAACGCAATGTCCGACAGCACAAGCAGTCAAAGAGTGGTTGGCGAAGTTAACTTTATCCATCCAGGAACCCAAACCAGGCTCTGTTTTATTTGAGGTACCGTCGGGGGCTTGTTGAGATAGTTCGGGGAAAATGGCGACGGTGTAATGTATGCTTGACCGACCGATATGCGAGATACATAACCCAGCTAGAGCAACCTCTGGAAAGCTGACGGGGGTTCTGTAGCTGCAATCCGTATGCACCATGAAGCCTACCGTGTTGGATGTCCTAAGATCGGTGTTCAATCCGCAACACTTGATGAGATAATGGTTGATGACGGTGTCAAAGTAGGAATAGTAAGTCGCGTTGTTGACATGACCGTATTGGTCGTTGTCGGAAAATCTCGTCTGTATCTCCAAGAAGTACTTGTAGTAGTCCCGTTGCCATGGCAACTCGCTGTCATCTTTTTTTGCAGAGGTATGACATTTCCTCAGATTCGTCCCACAGGCGAGGGTGATGGGTTGAAATTGTTTGACTCTTGCGACTAGCCTATGGTTCATGACTTTCAGCATGTTGACTGCACTTGCCGAGGTCTGCCTGCATAGGATGAAATACCTGCAGAAAAACAGTTTGTCATTTTAAGGAATTAATAGGCGTCAGTGGACTGAGGGTGCTTTAATTCTCGCCACCAAGTTTGATTCTTCGGCAAGATTACCATATGCGAAGTTCACTAATTTTCCTCTGTATTGACTAACAAGCCCCCAGATAGCAATTTCATGTCATCAAAGTCAATTTTTGAGCAGTGAGAAAATACAAGCATTTTCTTAAAAAACACTTAGAATTTTTCAGTCCAATCTCATAGGGTTTGTACACAGGGTGTTGAGTGAACTTCGTATATGGAAATCCTTCTGATTCTTCACCTATGCTTCACAGCTTATATAACGTCTGATTTACAACGCCAGATATGATTCGAACTTAAGTGCTAAAAAACATGCAAAACAAAATCCAGCCAGCTTTTCTCGCTCTTAACCCAGCAAAATTCTCAATACCTAACCAAAATAATACACATGGGAAATTATGGGGCCGACATTTTTGTGACAGGAGAGTTTTGAGGTTGAAAGAAAATGGACACTTTTCTGCCATCGCAACTTCAGAATACTAACCTCTGAATACTAACCTCTGTACTGATGATGACATCACACTTTGTTTACCTGTTTTTTTTAATGATGAATAAGCTGGAGTTACTTTACTTCTGGAATGAGCAGCCTTCTGACTCAAGAAGTAGAGTTACATGTACCTCAGCCCTAGCTGGAGTTACCGGCCCTAAATTGTATCATTGGGTTGTCATTTAAACCCAATGATAAAATTTAGGGCTGGGTAACTCCAGTTAGGACCAGGTTGTCATAATTTAGCCCCATAAATGTGGCCTATTTACTGGACTGCCTCCGTAAACATAGGCCACACATCCACATGTACAAAAATCGTGTCGACTTTGCCAAATTTTGATTTTCACATTTAGGCTTACTTTGTAGTTTTTTTTGCTTTAGAAGCATTCTCACCCTCTATATAGGCTAATCAGAAAGTGCTGCCTTTTTCAGATGTATATTTTTCGTGAAATTTGCAGATTCATTTTTACACGTTTGCGTATCAAAATTTCAACATGAAATTTCACAAAAATTAGACATCTGAAAAAGGCAGCACTTTCTGACTAGCCTATATAGAGGGTGAAAATGCTTCTAAAGCAAAAAAAACCTACAAAGTAAGCCTAAATGTGAAAATCAAAATTTGGCAAAGTCGACACGATTTTTGTACATGTGGATGTGTGGCCTATGTTTACGGAGGCAGTCCAGTAAATAGGCCACATTTATGGGGCTATGATGAGCTGATGAGGGCTGAGGTAGTGCGAGTAACTTGGACCCAACTTATCGCCTTTTTAACATTCGGACATGGTCTGGCGATAGTAGGGTCCAAGCTACTTTAAGGAGTACTGTTGGTAATCGTTACAGTTTACGAGAAAAGCTGGATAGGATAAAATAAAATGACAAACGTGCTTTCTTTGTTTATCACTGCAGCCAGTTTCCACTTTGGTGGGCGTGCCCGAAAGACTGGTCGAACTCGCACTCTTGAGGGCGCTCAGTCACTTATGTGACCGACCGACCGACTTCCAGCTTGTGCGGGATTGCGCGATGTACATTGCAACTCCTGTTTTATTTTCAAAAAGTTGTTGCTCAGGGAAAAGCTAGCCTAGAACTAGGCTACTTTGGAGCGAGAAGAGAAGCATTATTGGACACACCTCACTGAAGTTATAGAGGAAGGTACGGTAAATATACAATGGATTGGAAAGAATGAAATCACCGCAAGAACCAATGTCTTTTGTCATGATTGTTGATTATACTATAGCCCAGGTTGGACGGAGTCTTCATTGCAATTCGACTGACGTCCAGGATGAGAATTCTCTACATAAGACCACCCAAAATTTGGACCAGATTTTTGTTACGTTTTACCTCGTTACAGAAGCTTATTTCACGCCTACATTTTTATGTGTCCTTCTCTATTGACCCAGGGGTTCAGGAATTCCATATGTGATGCTGACCTAGTCCTAGCCCCATAAATGTGGCCTATTTACTGGACTGCCTCCGTAAACATAGGGCCTTAGGCCACACATCCACATGTACAAAAATCGTGTCGACTTTGCCAAATTTTGATTTTCACATTTAGGCTTAGTTTGTAGGATTTTTTTGCTTTAGAAGCATACTCATTCGACTCCAAGGCTCCGCGCCTCCACGGCTCCATGCCTCCATTAATATGGATATAGATGCTTCGTTCTCAAAAAAATGTAGTCCTGGGATCATTCATATGGATATCCCACCGCCGAGAATTGCGCCCTCTACTGGCGCGCGACTCTGCAACTCCGCGGCTCCGCACCTAGTACCTCCGCGGCTCCAGTGCCCCGTCACAAGTGCGCTCTTTCTTCCTTGAGAAGACAAGTGCAATCGCTGTACTTAACACTTTTTACGCGTCTGCATATTATTGTACTTTATGCCCACTGACCCCGGCTTGATCCAAGGCTCCAAGTACATAAAAAAAAAAACCTTGCTCTGGCGTGGCCCTGCAGGTAGTTACTCCCTTTGTAGCATTTAGATAAGGACAGAGACTTGTCTTTGACTTAACACGAACTGATTCACATGCTGGCGGCCATTTTTTCCTGCTCACATGAATGAGTGGTGAAATTCTTGAGCATGTGCATGTAACACAGTCCCAATTTCAATTTCCACTGCAGAACTTTTCACAACGGGGTGGAGGGGGGGGGGGGGTTAAAAAAAATCCCCATATCGAGTGGTTGACAATACAGACAATACATCTTTAAGCTGGGACGTACAAACACCAGTGGATAAGAACTCAATGTTTCTATTCTTCAGGGAAGCTTGAGAGGAGGAGGCTAGGGGTGCCCATTTCCTCTTTAGTTACCATATCTTTCTTAAAATTCATGGATAAAATACAATGAGTAGTGTAACGGGAAGGGTTGTCTTATAAAATCATTTCCTTGGTTTTAAAAAGCACGAATGTTCCCCCCCCCTCCCCTTCCAGTCCATCTTCAAGTACAAAAGGACAATGTTCTGGCTGGTATGTATATCTAACTGAGATTATGGGGACAGTGTTTAAACCGAAAGAAGATTATGCTCAGTTTCACTTGAATTCACTTCTTAGTGCAAAGGCTTTTGTTCAACTTTCTCTGAAGGAAACCTTTGCCACTCTGAGGGAGGTTTTTAACACACTCATACTTGCCCTTTTTTTACCATCCAGGAGCCCACTAGCACTTAAAGCCGTCTTACATTCTTGGAAGCCTGTATTAGCTACAATGACTGCTCCCAACAAGACCAACAAAAATGATGTTCCACCAGAGGGCACACAAAAGAATAGCACTAACGAGAAACCATTTGTTTGTGACATTTGTGGCAAAGGCTTCTCGCGTAATGACACCTTACGACGTCATCGGAGGATCCACACGAGGGAAAAAACATTTGTTTGTGACATTTGTGGAAAAAGCTTCTCGCGTAATAGCACCCTACAAATACATCAGATGGTCCACACTAACAAGAAACCATTTGTTTGTGACATTTGTGGTAAAGGCTTCTCGCATAACAGCACCCTTCACATACATCAGTTGGTACACACTAATGAGAAACCATTTGTGTGTGACATTTGTGGCAAAGGCTTTGCTCAAAGTGCTGACCTAAGAAACCATAAAGTTGTCCACACTGAAGAGAAACCATTTGTTTGTGACATTTGTGGCAAAGGCTTCCCACGTAACAGCGCCCTACAAAGACATCAGAGGATCCACACTATAATAGAGAAACCATTTTTTTGTGATATCTGTGGCAAAGGCTTCTGGAATAAAGACGCCCTACCAAGACACCGGTGGATCCACAGTAGCGAGAAACCATTTGTTTGTGACATTTGTGGCAAAGGCTTCGTTCAAAGTAGCGACCTAAGAAAACATACAGTTATCCACACTGCAGAGAAACCATTTGTTTGTGACATTTGTGGCAAAGGCTTCCCATGGTACAGCACCCTACAAATACATAAGAGGGTCCACACTAACGAGAAACCATTTGTTTGTGACATTTGTGGCAAAGGCTTCAATCAAAGTGGCCACTTAAGAAGACATATGGTTGTGCACTCTGGAGAGAAACCTTTTGTTTGTGACAATTGTGGCAAAAGTTTCGCTGAGAGTGGCTACCTTAGAAAACATATGATTGTCCACACTGGAGAGAAACCATTTGTTTGTGACATTTGTGGTAAAGGCTTCTCGCGTAATGACTCCCTACAAAGTCATCGGAGGATCCACACGAGGGAAAAAACATCTATTTGTGGCAAAGGCTTCGCTGAGAGTGGTGAGCTAAGAAAACATATGATTGTCCACACTGACGAGAAACCATTTGTTTGTGACATTTGTGGCAAAGGCTTCTCGCGTAATAGCACCCTACAAATACATCAGAGGGTCCACACTAACGAGAAACCATTTGTTTGTGACATATGTGGCAAAGGCTTCTCGCGTAACAGCACCCTTCACATACATCAGTTTGTACACACTAACAAGAAACCATTTGTGTGTGACATTTGCGGCAAAGGCTTTGCTCAAAGTGCTGACCTAAGAAACCATCAAGTTGTCCACACTGAAGAGAAACCATTTGTTTGTGACATTTGTGGCAAAGGCTTCCCACGTAACGGTGCCCTACAAAGACATCAGAGGATCCACACTATAAAAGAGAAACCATTTTTTTGTGATATTTGTGGCAAAGGCTTCTGGAATAAAGACGCCCTACCAAGACATCGGTGGATTCACAGTAACGAGAAACCATTTGTTTGTGACATTTGTGGCAAAGGCTTCGTTCAAAGTTGCTACCTAAGAAAACATACAGTTATCCACACTGCAGAGAAATTATTTGTTTGTGACATTTGTGGCAAAGGCTTCCCATTGAACGGCACCCTACAAATACATCAGAGGGTCCACACTAACGAGAAACCATTTGTTTGTGACATTTGTGGCAAAGGCTTTTCCTGTAACAGCTCCCAACAAAGACATCGAAGGCTCCACACAAACAAGAAACCATTTCTTTGTGAAATTTGTGGCAAAGTCTTTGCTCAAAGTGGTGACCTAAGAAAGCATACGGTTGTCCACACTAAAGAAAAACCATTTGTTTGTGACATTTGTGGAAAAGGCTTCACACGTAACAGCACCTTACAGATACATCAGAGGGTCCACACCAACGAGAAATCATTTCTTTGTAACGTGGCAAAGGCTTCGCTAAGAGGGGTGAACTAAAGAAACATACGGTTGTACACACTAAAGAGAAATGGTTAAAGGCATCCTACCAAGACATTGGAGGATCCACAGTTATGAGAAACCATTTGTTTGTGACATTTGTGGCAAAGGCTTCTCGCTTAAAGGCATTCTACAAAATCATCGGATGATCCATATGAAGGAGAAACCATTTGTGACATTTGCTGTGAAGGCTTCTCGTGTAAAATCACCCTATAAATACATCAGGAGGTACACACTAACTAGAAACCATTTGTCGGTGACACTTCTGGCAAGGGCGTCGCCCAAAGTGGCGACCTAAGAAAACATACATGTACAGTTGTCCACACTAACGAGACACCCCTTTGTTGGTGACATTTGTGGCAAAAACTTTTCACAGAAATGTTAACTTCAACAAAATCGGAAGGTCCACACCAACCAGAAACCATTTGTTTGTGACATTTGTGGCTAATGCTTCTCACAGAGAAGTAAAACTCAACAGCATCAGAGAGGTCACGCTAAAGACAAAACATTCGTTTGTGACATTTGCGGTAAAGCCTTTGTGCAAAACAGCATCCTACAAAGACATCAACTGATTCACACTAATGAAAAACCACTTACTTGTGACATTTTTGGCAAAAGGTTTTCACAGGGAAGTAGTCTTTATTATCATCAGAGGGTTCACACTATTGAGATACTGTTGTTACATTTGTGGAACAGGCTTCTCACAGACATGTTATTCAACAACATACGATGGTCCAAACTACATGTATTTTTAATATGAGGAACCATTGTTCACTGTTTCTTTGTGACATTTGTTATTATTCATCGGCATAATGAAACAAGGGAATCATTCATACGTGACATTTTAGAATGTTATTAACCCTTGAACACCCTTAAACAGTTCATAAAACCTGATGCTTTAAAACAGTGTCACATGATATTTTAACCCTATGAAATCTGGCACCATTTACTCATTGTACGAACCCTCGCACATGGCCAGTTACTCTCCTTATTACTGTCTCTTCACTTAGGCATGCGGAATACCATCAATGAGTCCATAGGCCTATTTCATGGAATCCTAAATTCTGGCACCGCTGCATTCTGTGTCACATTACTCCTATGCCACATCGCATGCCATGCCAATATCCATATAAGGCAGGGTTGGACTTAAGCGGTAGCCCACTAGCCAAATGCTACTAAAAAAAGCGGCGGCTAGTCAAACTATTCCATAAGTAGCGCGGCTGGCGAGTCAAAAATTATTGGGATACGGCAAAGATGAAAGGACAGGAAGAAATAAATTAATAATTTCAGAAAGCAAACCTGTATCAATCTGTGTCTAATGTTATTAATTGGTTAGAGTTAAATTATTAGTCTCTGTTTATTAGAAACACCGACAACTAGTCTCTATTTACTACTCCATCTTTAACCACCAGACTAGTGAACATGACTATCGTGTATACATAGCCACGCTCCAGAGTTGCGTAGAAACACTCGACGCATGAAATTGTATGGGTACCCGGACCTGGACGGCTTTTACCACTTCGCGCATGCATGACTCAGATTACCAGCATACCATGCGTGACCACAGAATATCAGAAGTTCAGCTCAGTGATTTTGTCTCGTGGTCGTTTTTCCCTTCTTGCTTGAATTTACAGAAAGCTTTGTATACAAATACTTGTAAAATGTAAAAGACATTTTCGCTGAAGGAAACCTTTACCAATGAGGGAATAGATTAAGGCCCCCCAAAAAAGTCTCCGGTTTCTGGTATGCGCGCGCGCCGTCTTAGCCATGCGCGTCGGCAAAGTTAAACAGTTTTTTTTTTCAATGTAAGGTGAGGTCTCAAAACCGCCAAATTCACTGGTTTGACTGGAATCCTGCTGCTGCCCAATTTTAACGTGTTTTTAGATGGGGTTACGATCGAGTATAAGCTTTATGTGGCCTCTCTGGCCTCCCATATATTTTGCACTAAATTTAGTCGGCACAATTTGCAGATGGTGGTGTAATTTTGTAATTGTGCGTCTGGAAGCCAGACTGACGGAGCGATGATCGTGTGTCTGGATCCTGCAAACGCTTTTTAATTAGCTCAGTATACTTCTCAAGCCTTATGACCTTACTAAGGTCACCTCAAGCTGCACTCTGAAGAATATTTTGACATCAGCCGACATTTGAAGAGAAAAAAAAGTTGGGCTCCCCCCCAAAAAAGCCGCGTCGCCTCACCACTTTTGCTGCAAGCTTTTTTTTTGGCCTAACACACTAATGCTTGCCTTTTTTTTTACCATCCAGGAACCCACAAGCACTACATGCCGTCTTACATTCTTGAAAGCCTGTATTAGCGACAATGACTGCCGCCAACAAGACCATCAAAAAAGGTGTTCAACCAGAGGTCAAACAACAGAGAATAAGAATAACGAGAAACCATTTGTTTGTGACATCTGTGGCAGAGGCTTCTCGCTTAACGGCACCCTACAAAGTCATCGGAGGATCCACATGAAGGAGAAACCATTTGTTTGTGACATTTGTGGAAAAGGCTTTTCATGTAACAGCACCCTACAAAGACATCAGTGGGTCCACACTTACGAGAAACCATTTGTTTGTGACATTTGTGGCAAAGGCTTCATTCAAATTAGATACCTCAAGAAAACATACGTTTGTGCACTCTGAAGAGAAACCATTTGTTTGTGGCATTTGTGGAAAGGGCTTCTTGCTTAACAGCAACCTACAAAGTCATCGGAGGATCCATTTTAAGGAGAAAAACCATTGGTTTGTGACATTTGTGGCAAAAGGTTTCATTCAAAGCAGCCACCTGAGAAGGCATTAATTATGTTTTTGCGCTCTGAAAAGAAATCATTTGTTTGTGACATTTGTGGCACGGGCTTCTCGCTTAAAGGCACCCTACAAAAACATCAGAGGGTCCACACTAACGAGAAACCATTTGTTTGTGACATTTGTGGAACAGGCTTCTCGCGTAACAGCACCCTGCAAAAACATCAGAGGGTCCATAACGAGAATCTATTTTTTTGTGACATTTGTGGCAAAGGCTTCAATCAAAAAGGCCACCTAACAAGGCATACGGTTGTGCACTGCGACGTGAAACCATTTGTTTGTGGCATTTGTGGCAAAAGCTTCCGGCGTATCGACACCCTGCAAAGACACCAGAGGGTCCACACTGAGGAGAAACCATTTGTTTGTGACATTTGTGGCAGAGCCTTCTCGCTTAACAACACCCTACAAAGACATCGAATGATCCACACTAAGGAGAAACCATTTGTTTGTGACATTTGTGGCAAAGGCTTCATTGACAGTAACCACCTAAAAAGACATATGGTTGTGCACACTGGCGAGAAACCATTTGTTTGTGACATTTGTGGTAAAGGCTTCTCACTTAACGAGACCCTACAAATACATCAGAGGGTCCACACGAAACCATTTGTTTGTGACATTTGTGGCAAAGGCTTCGCTCAGAGTGGCAGTCTAAGAATACATACCATTTGTTCACACTGAGGAGAAACCATTTATTTGTGACATTTGTGGCAAAGGCTTCTCATGTAACAGCAAGCTACAAATATATCAGAGGATCCACACTAGCAAGAAACCATTGTTGTGACATGCATGTATGTGGCAAACGCTTCTAAGGTAACAGCACCCATCAAACACATCAATGGGTCCACACTAACGAGAAACCTTTCATTTGTAATATTCACGGCAATAGAACATACAGTTGTCCACACAGAGGAGAAACCATTTGTTTGTGACATTTGATGCGAGGCTTCTGGTGTAACGACACGCTACCAAGACATCGGAGGATCCATAGTATAAAAGAGAAACCATTTGTTTGTGACATTTGTGGAAAAGGCTCCTCGTATAACAGCACCCTACAAATACATCAGGGGGTCCACACCGACGAGAAACCATTTGTCTGTGACATCTGTGGCAAACGCTTCGCTCAAAGTGGCGACCTAAGAAAACATACAGTTGTCCATCATAAGACAAACCACTTGTTTGTGACATTTGAGGCAAAGCCTTTACACAAAACAGCATCATTCGAAGACATCAACAGATCCACACTAATGAGAAACCGTACATGTGACTTTTGTGGCAAAAGGTTTTCACAGGGATGTAGTCTTTTTTATCATTAGTGGGTCCACACTGATGAGAAAGTGTTTGTTTGTTAAATTTATGGAAAGGGCTCCTCACAGACATGTAACCTTCAACGACATACGATATTCCACACTATCATGAGGAACCATTGTTCACTGTTTCTTTGTGACATTTGTTATTATTCATAGGCGCACTGAAGGAAAGGAGTCATTAATACATTACATTTCAGAATGTTATTTACCCTTGAACACCCTCGGGTGTTTGAAAGTCATATTCATAAATTCCTGCGACCATCCTGTTGTCGAGACCCATTACAGTCGAGTCTCGTTACTAGTACAAACTCTGTTAATGCCAAATTCAATTCTGGTTATAACAAACATAAAGTCTTATTAGTCCCGACTGTGCATTTATGTGCACAATGAATGGGACTGATGTTCCTCTTAATACAAAATTCTGATAAAGCAAACAATTTGGCTAGTTCCAAATGAGTTTGTATTGACGATACTCAACTGTACATGGGTGGTTTTAATAAAACCGTGCCCGACTGCTTTAAAACAGTATCTGTGCAAATATGACTCCCATAAAATCTGTTACTATTTATTTATTGGACGAACCTTTTCTCTCTTCACTTAGGCATGGGAAATACTATCAATGAGTCCATGTTTCATTGAGACCTAAATTATGGCACCGCTGCATTCTGTGCCACTTCACACAGTACGCGTACGCCAATATCCATAACGTTTTTGGTACTACCCGTGCAAGGCACATAGACCAGTCATAGCTATAGGGGTGTTTCACAAAACGAGAAGTAAAATTCTTGAACAAAATCGTTGGAAAGCTTTAATCTGTGACTTTCAAATAAGGTTTTCATAAATGGGAATAAATACATGTGTGTGCTTGGCCGGTAGTCAACAAGTGCATTTAAAACCGATTGGGGGCCTCACTGATTCAGTGGCTCGACCTGAGCCATTACCGGTGTCGAGGCCATAGCCGTGCAGTTTTAAATGTAATTTTTGAAACTGGCCAAGCACATTTTATTTCCCTTTTATTTATAAGGATTCGGGAATGTTAGGGTTAAATTTCAATCCCCTAGCTGGTCCTTTATATTAGTCATTATTTTCCCCAGGAAGGCCTTGCCTATTATATTGCTTTGGGAACAGATTGCCATTGTAAGCACAATTAGGATATCTACCAGCTGGGGCCAATTTCATAGAGCTGCTTAAGCACAAAATTTGCTTAAGCACAAAAATGTCTTGCTTAATAAAATCAGGTTACCGGTTAAAACTCCATGCGATTGTTATGCTAAGTAAACAACAGCTAAATACCAGTCACAAGCAATGTACATCACATGGAGTTTTGGCCGGTAACCTAATTTTACTAAGCAATGTTTTTTCGTGCTTAAGCAAATTTTCTGCTTAAGCAGCTCTATGAAATTGGGCCCTGTCCACTACCTCCTTAAATGCTGATTGGCATGTATCAAGTTTGGTGGATGCCCTCAGCTTAAAGCCTCTACGCTAATTAGCAGTGCTACACTCAAACCCAAAAGTACCCCCTTCCAATACTCTTCTGTCTAACTCAAAAACTACTGAGCACTTTTCACTCAAAAAAAATTACATCAGTTCAGGAATTCCTCTGCCATACTCTTTGTTTGGCCCCAAAACAGTGGTATTGTGTATGAATTTATGCAATTTATGACAAATGATACCGAAACAGTTCTACTTCTGTATGTAATTGTTGTTCACACTCGCCTTTTGGTCGTTACCATTTGTCACACATTGCATAATTTTGTATACATTATCACTGTTGGGCCAAACCAAGAGTATGTCTGGATTTTGTGTAGTGATCAGTCGTAGTTTGAGCAAGATGTGGCCAGTAGTTGTGTTGGTTGAGTGTATCTTGCGTGTATCTTGAAATGTAGTCGACAACATTAAGGCTAAAAAAAAGTATCCGGTTTCTGGTATGGAGCTTGCCCAAAAGTGGTGCGGCGACGCGGCTTTTTTTTTTTACCTGATTTTTTTGCTTCAAATGTCGGCTGATGACTGCAAATATATGGGAGTCCAGAGAGGCCACATAAAGCTTATTCTCGACCATAACCCAATCTAAAAACACGTTAAAATTTGTGCAGCAGCAGGATTCCAGTCAAACCAGTGAGTTTGGCAGTTTTGAGACATCATCTTTCATTGAAAAAAAAAAGTTTTCATTTTGCCGACGCGCATGGCTACAGCGAGGCGCGCGCATACCAGAAACCGGAGACTTTTTTTTGGCCTAAAGGTGTACATGTATATAGATGACATCATCATAACACAATCAGATTTAAAATTATGACCCCTCCAATGAAAGTAAACTAAATTTCTGTTTAAAATTGAAGTTTTACATTTGAATATTCAATATTTAGGTATTTTTTCTTTTTCTCTGTGAATGTAGGCCTACAATTGCAGGCATGATGTTTCAAATATTTTTCAAAACGTTTTACCTTTTTTCAAACTTGGCACTACAGGTTGAGTAAAAAACAACGACACCAAATGTCGGGATCATCATCATTGTTTTATTGAAGTTCTGCATGAAGCACTTTCAAAATCTAGGACATGAAAGGCCAATTCATAAGCTTTCTTTTAGTACAAGAATCATTCAAATCACTCCTGTACTTTTCAAGTAACGGAATTTTCAACACAACCACCGTTTTAAGGTTCTGTCCACGGATCACAACAAAGTTCAGTGTTCTTTCAGCAAAACGAAAACAATTCACACACATCCCTATGTGATTTCTTTACGTTTTGCTGAAAGAACACTGAACTTTTTTGTGATCCGTGGACAGAACCTTAAAACGGTGGTTGTGTTTAAAATGCCGTAACTTGAAAAGTACAGGAGTGATTTGAATGATTCTTGTACTAAAAGAAAGCTTATGAATTGGGCTTTCATATCCTAGATTTTGAAAGTGCTACACAGAACTTCAATAAAACGATGGTCCCAACATTTTTTTTTTACTCACCCTGAACAATTTCCAATAATTGTTTTGTACCAGGGCCTCTTCTATGTAAAGTTATAGTGAAAACTATTAGATTTATGCAAGATATTTTGTAATTAGTATATCAACATTTAGAGAGTTACAACGATAACTTTACAATAATGCATTTAAACAAGGAAGTTGTTCTATCTCTGTCTTGATCGAATACTGTATTTTCATTGTCCTTTTGTTAAGTCTATAAAAAGTCATAGCAGATAGCATACTCCCTGTTGGATATCACATATAGGGGACAGTGGCGGAGCAATGTGTCACAAAGTGTGTGTATGTGTGGAGGGGGGGGGGTATGATCACATTTTTGGGGGCCAAATTCCCCAAAAAGTGAACCTTGAAAAAATTGCGCCTGCAAAATATTTGAAAAGCGGGGGGAGGGGGAGGGAGGGTAATTGAGGGCGCTATTTAATAAAGGGTGTTGTAAATTCGGGGGGGGGGGGGTAAATTGTATACAACATCCCCCTGCCAAAAATTTGGGGGATATACCCCCATCCCCCGGATCTCCGCCCATGATAGGGGGAACTTACCCCTAGCTCAGTTAAAAAAAAGTGTCATTAATTTTTTTCATATAAATTCCTTGCTAATAATGAGAACAACCCCACCCCACCCCGACACCTCAAAAATTATACTGAAACTGCATCTTATGAAAAACAGTGGGCACGTGGACCGGCCACGTACATTCGTTCAGCATTGGAGCTTATTATAATCCAACACGCAATGGCTGACGGACATAAGAATCGGAAATACTTAGTCGAGTCACCGTTGTCACATACAGCTCCATGATACACTGCATCATCGCGGCAACGCAGTGACATTGTGTAGCATCATGCAAGCCCCCCCCCCCCCCCCCCTGTTGCGAGTAAACACCAACAAAGATAATAGTGAGGGTTTGGTAAGCCATTGTGTGCATAAAGACTTAATCTTCGTCGAGCATGCTGTAAATGCAGCCAGTAGTATGTTTGTACATAGGCTGCTTTGAAGAACACATACACGTAATTGTAACGGCAAGAGCAGCACTTGTTGGAAGACCAGATGAACAGTTAAAAAGGTCCAGGAAGTCCCTTGACTCACGTACACCCAAAGTTAGGCGGCACCAAAACTCCCTAATTATAAAACGACAAGTAGTAGACAGTAAAGAAAGTATATAAGTCGATCAGTCTGGGGCAACCTACTTGTGCGCACACCGCTATTGAACCCTTTGCTTCGTGTTTGACTGCGGCATGGTATAAGGTGAGTTTATCTCATTTGGGAAAGAATCAATGTATTGAAGCATTTAGTGGGAAAACACTTAAACATTTTCAGACCATTTTGTAATCATAAGGTTTGTACACAGGGTGTCAAGTGACGTTCATATATGGAATTCTTTCCCTCATTTGAGTTTGGATAATTTGGGTGATTTATATGGGTTGATGTTTGTAAATTTGCAGGTAATTTTTCACCACTTCTAAAATAGGCACCAGTGTGCCTTACAATATACATGTACATCATTGTAATATGTGGGTCATCATTATGCAATGGAACAGTGCCGGTTCTACGGCTAGAGAGGGGGGGGGGGGGTGAACAACCGGTCTACATTTCAGCACGCCTCCCTGAAAACAATTCTGGATCTATCCTGCTAGAAATATTGGCTCTAGAACCACGCCTGCAATGGGAATTGGGATTATAAGCTTTCTAAGATACAGAACTAGGATTTCAATTTATTTAACAAAATTCTCACCGAAAAGCTTCCCAGGTTGCAATTTACTGTCTAAAATTTGGTAACAATGGTTAGGCGGACCTGGGACTGAAAACTGTTTTTCCACATTGCGAACATCGAAGATATGCACCAGCGTCCTTACACTATAATTTGTGGGTCATCATCATGCAATGGGAATTGGGAGTTGCAAAGACACAGAACTTTCATCTAGAATTGTAATTTCTCTCAAAAATCTCAAAAAATCTCGCCAAAAAGCTTCCCTGGTTGTCATGTGCTGTTTAAAATTTGGGGAAAGTAAATTAGGACCTTGGACAGGCAATGTTCGAGAGCTAGCTTAATTTCAGGCTTTAATTCACCAAAGTCTGTTTATCCACATGGCGAACATCGATTGCAGCTCAACAGAAATTGTCTTGAGAACTGTAATTCCCAGCTTATCCATTAGGTCATGCTCCCATTGCGTTCGCTAGTTGCACCGGCCGGTGTTGAATCATGATTATGTCATATCTTATTCATAAGAGTTAAGCGGATTCCACATTTGGTTGCTGAAGTCATTTAGTTGCTGAAGTCCTTGACTCTAACTTGATACAAAAAACCCCAGTTTTAAAGAGGTCGCACCAACATGGACTTCCGTATTGTCAGCCACACACCGGCACAAGCATGTGGAAACAATGCCATTATGACGGCTGTTTGAAGATGCACTCTAAGCAATCTGCTAGATGAATTGTGCATCTCTGATGAGGGAGTACATTGTATTTGAACGTCACTCAGATTTTGTCTGATAATGCCTTTTTGACCATACAGGAACCCTCTAGTGCCGTTCAGCCGTCTTCCTTTATTGAAAGCCGGCCTGTATCAGCTACGAGTGCCATCTACAACAAAACCAACAAGAACGAGCTTCATTTATAGTGGTAAAGCAACAGAGTAAAGACCACACAATTAAGACATCAGGAGGTCCACACTCATGAGAGAATGTCACAAAAAGATACGATGGCCCACACTAAAGAGAAACCATTTGTTTGTGACAAATGCGGCAAAGGCTTCTCGGGTAACTCCGCTCTAAAACAACATCGGAATATCCATACTAAGGATAAACTATTTATTTGTGACATTTGTGGTAGAGGCTTTACACAGAATAGCAGTCTCAAAAGACATCAGCAGGTCAACACTCATGAGAGAATGTCGCGACAACATACGATGGCCAACACTAACGAGAAACCATTTGTTTGTGACATTTGCGGCAAAGGCTTCTCGTGTAACACAACCCTTAAACAACATCGGAATATACACACCAATAACAAACCATTTGTTTGTGACATTTGTGGTAAAGGCTTTTCACAGCATGGGAGTCTTTACAGACACCAGAAACTCCACACTAATGAGAAGCCATTTGTGTGTGACCTTTGCGGGAAAGATTTCTCACAAAAATGTCACCTTCAGCAACATCAGAGGGTCCACACTAAAGAAAAACCATTTCTCTGTGACATTTGTGGCAAAGTTTTCTCGCGTAACGCCAACCTACGACAACATCAACGGATCAGTCACACAAATGAGAAACCATTTGTTTGTGACAATTGTGGCAAATGCTTCTCTGATAGTGGCGACCTACAAAAACATACAGTGGTCCACACAAAGGAGGAGAAACCATCGGTTTGTGACATTTGTGGCAAAGTCTTCTCAGGTAACGGCTACCTACAGCGACATCAACGGATTCACACTAAAGGGAAACCATTTGTTTGCGACATTTGTGGCAAAGACTTCTCGCGTAACAGCAACCTTCAAATGCATCAGAAGGTCCACACTAATGAGGAACTATTTGTTTGTGACATTTGTGGCAAAGGCTTCTGGCGTAACAGCAACCTACAACGACATACGGTGGTCCACACAAAGGAGAAGAAACCATTGTTTTGCGACATTTGCGGCAAAGTCTTCTCGCAGAAACGTAACCTTCAATTACATCAGAGGGTCCACACTAGTGACAGACCATTTGTTTGTGACATTTGTGGTAAAGGCTTCCGCTACAGTGGCAACCTTCAAAGCCATACGATGGTCCACACTAAAGAGAAACCATTTGTTTGCGACATTTGTGGCAAAGGCTTCCCGCGTAACGGCACCCTACAACGACATCAACGGATTCACATTATAGGATGAGAAACCGTTCCTTTGTGACATGATTGTGTAGCCAAAGCTTCTCACAGAGTTGTGACCTTCAAGTTAATGGATTCACACTAAACAGGAACCATGTGTTTGCGACATTGGCAAAGGGTTCTCACGTGACAGCAACACTCTTCAAGTGGGTTGGGTTTTTGCAGGACATCTGAATATTCATAAAACTGTAAACAAAACTACTTCTAATTTAAGATATAATTGTTCCAATTTATCGACGCAAATAAATACTTCAGGATATAACAGATAGTATTGTGCAGTTTTTGTCGTCATAGGTGAAGTATTTACCTGGGAAATTAACGTCAAGTTTCGAGGAGAACACCGTTTACCCAAATTTTGTTTTTAATGAGGCTTTTGTTAAAAAGTTTTAGAGAGATGTGATGCCGAACCGATGAAACAAAAGCGACATTTCATTGTTCATCTTAAAGCTAAAGATATTGTGCTCGGCATTTCCATGGTTATGTAGTTATCACTTATCAGAATTCAATAATAAAGACCAAAAACGTAGACTCATATGAATATTCAAAAATATAATTCGCTAGCTTGACAAAACTTCGAGGTCAGATCGGGCACAGAGCCTTGTAAATCTGAAAGCCACCGCGCGCAGTGGTCTTTGTTGAAAAGTATTCATGGTATTTGCCACCAGTGCAGGCCGTTATCACGCGTCTTACCAGGAGCTTGTGGGCCGAGTCGTTAATCCTGGTGTCTAGGATCCGTGATTAGCAGTGCTATCTTGCGCGTATCTTGAAATGTACGGTAATCGACATCATTCCCCAAAGTTATGTACATGACGTCATCATAACACGATCAGAGTCAAAATTATGACCCCTCCAATAAATGTAAACTTTCTGTTTTTGCGGTGTTGACATTTGAATTTTATTTAATTTCTTTTCTTGCTTTTGCCTTATGAATGTTCAATTGCAGGCATGATGTTTCAAAAATTCCACCAAACGTTTTGCCTTTTTTTTTCAAACTTGGCACTACACTTTCCACTATTATTGTTCAGTATCAGGGCCTGTTCTATTTGAAATGACAGTCAAAACTAACTCTTACGATGACGATTAGATTTATGCGAGATAATGTCAAAATGTAGGGAGTTATTATAATAACCTTACAATAATGCATTAAAAAAGGAAGTTATTAAACCCCTTCATAGTACATGTAGGTACCACTGAGCATGCAGAAAATAAAAAGAGGAGAATTAAAACAAATGTCATACCAAGCTTAATTGCATTGTAAAGAAACATGCTAGAAACAATACCTTAATCCCTGTTTGATGATAAACTCATCAATCATCATAATACCCGTCTAGCTCCTCCCTGGGCGTTTATATGCGCCTTCGATGAGCGTGCGATTATCCCCAATGATCCGGAGCCGGACCCAGATTACTGTACCCATGCGAAGTTGAAATACCGAACTGGCGTATTTACACTACCCATGATTAAAACCCAAAAGGCCTTATGTGTTCTGACTGTTCGGAAAAAATAATACAATTTTGACAGTGCTACCGGCAAAAGTTAAATTGGTCCGGCCATTTGGGCTGCACTTTTTACTCACCCTGTACATACCACTATTCAGTGGTACACAGTAGCGTATCCAGCTTTTGGTGTCGGGGGGGGGGGGGACGCCGCCAAAATGTAGGCATATTATTTTCACCGGACACTTGGCCTCAGTAAAATTGGGGGGGGGGGGGGGGGGGGGGGGGGCTGGTATCCATCTTCCAAATGGGGGCGCTCTTAAAAAGTGATCTTTATTATGCATACTGCAAATTATATGCCCATTTTCACGGCGCATTTGTAGTGCTTTTTGAGCGGGTTTTCTTTAGTTGATTGATGTCTGAACTCTCTTACCATTTATTACAATAATTGCTGACAAAATATTTGTCAAAAAAAATCCGGGGGGGGGGGATACGCCACTGGTGGTACATACCTAGCACCTACATGCTCCAGAGTTGCGTAGAAACACTCAACGCACGAGATTGTACTGATACCTGGGCGGCTTCTACCATTTTGTGCGTGCATGACTCAGATTACCAGTGTACCATGTATGACCTCAAAAAACCAAACGTTCTGCTCATAGGTTCGTTGTTGTGCTGAGGTCGTTTTTACCACTCAAATTTCTTGGCAATGCAAGATCCGACGCTCGCATGAAAATTACAGAAAGCTTTATTATGTAAGAATACTGGCGAAATGACGTGCCGGGTAACAATCTTGAGTGTTTTTACGCGAGGCTGAAGTGTGGCGTTGTTATTATTGACGCCCATGGCGCCACGTTTGTTAGTTAAAGTCTGAAGTATATTATTGACGTGAAGTGTAGGCTAGATGAGGTGGCTCACAAAGCTAAGGAACAAATCGCTCTCAGAGTAGGCGAGTTCCTGATCAGTGTCGTAATCCTACCCTGAAACCTAAAAGGCAACCCAAGTAGACTTTCACTGAACAATTAACAGCGGGCCTAATCAGAATTAATACGAAATATGACTTCTTCTTTTTTTGGCCATATATAGAAATGATGTTATTATTTTTTATATTTTTTTTACGATCCCTTTCCCATGCCGATCCTGGCATCGAGTTGGTTGTTGGAAATACATGTAATAATGCTTTAGAATTTATAACTGAAGCAATAAGAATTTATCCTCGTGTGACCATCTCACACACTTATTTGGGTGTTAGTACATAAATGTGGAGGCCAGTGTAGGACATTAGGGTCCAATTTTCAAAATAAACAAATGAAATTCAGCTTCACATTTTGCAGTCTAGGGTCTGTATATATTTTGCTTTATTTTTTCTGCATCATCGGATACTTGCTTCTGAGACTGGAAGTTTAAATATTAGAGTTTGTTATAAAACTAATCATTTCACATGTAACGCTGACACCACTACACCAAAAACGCTCTCATCACTTTTCTTCACTGTTCTACTTTAACCTGTCCTGTGCCAAATTTTTCATTATACTTGTATATTAAAAAACCTAGTCATTATTTTAGCCAAAACATTCATTACATTCCTTTATTATTCAAACAGAAAGTCTTGTCCAGTTTCTGACAAATTTTGAAAAAGCAGATTACTCGTGTTTTTTAGATTTCAACATGTGTAAAGACCTGTCATACATTATGTGTTGTTATTTATGATTCGTATCAGCGTTACTGGCTACGTCCAGGGTTTGGGTTATACATGTACATGTATTGAGTTTCATATATTATAAAACCCTATGGGTCACCGCAGATTGTAATCCAGTTAGTAGGCTGCCATATGCAGTCACTCCGCTGTATAAGCCAAGACAGCGACACAAAAGGGAGCGAGGTTTTCGTAGGCCATTGTGTGCATGACGGCGTAATCCTCCATCCAACAAAGGACTGCGTTTTGTCAAGTATGGATCTGCCTGCACGGTTGAAACAGCTTGCAGCAAATGCAGCCGGTAATAATGCTATTGCAGGTAGTGTACATTGTGCATACCGGGAGCCCTGCATCATTGTACCATAAAAGAAGAACAGGCTTATTAACTGCAGATCCACATACAATGTACATGTAATTCAAACAGCAAGAAGAACACTTGGAAGACCAGATGAACAGTTTAAAGGGTCCAGTAGGTCCCGTGACTCACAACCAAAATTGTAATTGCACCAAAACTCACAAATTATAACGTGAAAACTGATGTAAAAAAAGTCAGTCGCTCAGTCTGGGGCAACCTACTTGTGCGCACACCACCACATAGCTCCATGATATATATGGAACCATTTGCTTCGTGTTTACCCGCTGCATGATATGAGGTGAGTTTAATCAATATAGCTCTATGGATTTATCTCCGAGTCTTGATTAAGGGGGTGATTTATAGGTTGATGCTTGTAAAGTTTCAATTGTGCAATTCTGATGAGGGAGTACATTGTATTTTAACGTCACTCATATTTTGCCTGATAATGCCTTTTTGACCATACAGGAACCCTCTGGTGCTTTCAGCCGTCGTCCTTTATTGAAAGCCTGTATCAGCTACGAGTGCCATCTACAACGAAGCCAACAAGAACGAGCTTTATTTAGTGGTACAGCAACAGGGTATAAAGACCACACAATTAAGACATCAGCGGGTCTACACTCATGAGAGAATTTATGTCACGAAAAGATACGATGGCCCACACTAAAGAAAAACAATTTGTTTGTGACATATGCGACAAAGTCTTCTCGCAGAAAGGTAACTTTCATGTACATCAGAGGGTCCACACTAATGACAGACCATTTGTGTGTGACATTTGTGGCAAAAGCTTCCGCTATAGTGGCAACCTACAAGAACATACGATGGTCCACACTAAAGAGAAACCATTTGTTTGCGACATTTGTGGCAAAGGCTTCTCGCGTAACGGCACCCTACAAATGCATCAGAAGGTCCACACGAAGGAGAAACCATTTGTTTGTGACATTTGTTGCCAAAGCTTCTCGCAGAAAGGTAATCTTCAACAACATCAGACGGTCCACACTAATGACAGACCATTTGTGTGTGACATTTGTGGCAAAGGCTTCCGCTATAGTGGCAACCTACAAGAACATACGATGGTCCACAAAGAGAAACCATTTGTTTGCGACATTTGTGGCAAAGTCTTCTCACGTAACAGCAACCTAAAACGACATCAACGGATTCACAGTAATGCGAAACACTTTCTTTGCAACTTTTGTGGCAAATGCTTCTCTGATAGTGGCTGGCTACAAAAACATACGTCGGGCCACACAAAGGGGAAATCATATTTTTGCAACACTTGTGGCAAAGACTTCTCGAGTAACAGCAACCTACAAATACATCAGAAGGTCCATACTAAAGAAAAACCATCTGTTTTGCGGCATCACATTTGCGACAAAAGCTTCTTACGGAAAGGTAACCTTCACCAACATCAGACATGTCACACCATTGAGGAACCATTTGTTTGTGACATTTGCCACAAAGGTTTCTCACGACTAGGTAACCTTCAACAACATCAGAGGGTCCACACTAATGACAGACCATTTTTGTGTGACATTTGCAGGCGCGGATCCAGGATTACCTTAGACGGGGGGCACACTTTAAAGCATTTTGCTCTGAGTAATAATGCGAGCGCGGAGCGCGAAGCCCTTACGGCGTGGGGTCCGGGGCCCGCTTAAGGGCCCCGGGAAATTTTGGATTCTCGATGCTCTGTGGTGCAATCTGAGGCCACTCCTGGCCCCTTTCCCCCTGAATTATTTGAGCAAAAGTTGTTAAGCTTGTAAGGATTTTTTTAAAGTATACTCTTGTTTTTACAAATGTTAAGCTATGGTGTACTTCAAATGTGCAAATGGCATGTATTTTCGTCTTCATAATTTCTTGCATTGTATTAAAAAAAAAAGGAATTGTATTGACTCAGATTGTAAACTGTTGCAACGGGCAATGTGCTGGGGACCAAGGACTAATGCGAACGTGGAGCAGTGTCTTACGGCGTGAGGTTCGGGGCGCGGGCCCATTGAAGGGCCCCGGGAAATTTTTGATTCCAGAGATGTTCTGTGGTGCATTCTGAGGCGATTCCTGGCCCCATTTCAGCAAAATGTGGTGAAGATTGCAGGATTTTTTTTCATTATCGCTTCGGTTTGAGGTAACACCATGTGTTGTTTTGATTTTTTGTTCATTGGTTTAAAATTGTACTCTTGTATTTCTTAATACCAGCGCAAGCCTAGTTAAGTTTCTTCTGTTCTTCACTTGATAACCAGGTATTTTCGACTGCATAAATACATTTCTTGTATGTTATTTTGGAAAAGGAATTGGATAGACTTAGTTTGTAAAATGTTTTAAGGATGCGTAGGGAGATCTGTCCCGAGGACTAATAATGCGGAGTGCGAATGTCTTTCGGCGTGGGGTCCGGGGCCCGCTTAAGGGCCCCGGGAAATTTTGGATAATTGGATGCTCTGTGGTGCAATCTGAGGCGATTCCTAGTCCCTCTTTCCCTGAGTTATTTGAGCAAAATGTTTTAAATTAAATAAGTATTTTTTATTGGTTTAATATATACTCTTGCTTTAACAAGCCTTTTAAGTTTCTTCTGTTTTTCACTTGATAACCATTTTCGTCTGCATAATTGTTTCGTGCATTTTATTTTTGAAACGGAATTGTATAGAGTAGTTTGTAAACTTTTGCATGCTTTCTAATGTTTTGTATCAAGTTTAAATTTTCAGTTAGTAAGATACGATTTTCTACGGAAATTTTCTACGGAAACTGACATGTTTTAGACTCCTTGAAAGCGCGTGGAAGAAATGCTGGCAAATTGTTCTTACGAAAACACACCCCTTTGCTAATAGTGTGGTCCAAAGAGCAGCGTACAACGTGTATGTCGCGCTCAGACACGAGCGTGTTTTTCGTACCGGTACGTACGCTCATAATGAATCGCATTTCATAAACCGATATACTATGCAGGGTTACGTATGGAGTACGTACGGTGGGATCGCAGTTTATTTCGAAGCTTTTCGAGTTCCCAGTACTGTGTCATACGGCCAGTACACAATTTTTGCAGGCCGCTGATGATGTTTAATATCGGCGCCGGTATTTTTGTTAAAAGGTTGCCCTCCTCCTTCCCTCCTTTTCTCTCTCCTCCCCCTCTTTTTCCCCCTGTTTTATTCATTTTATTGTTTGTGGACTAAATTTGACGGGGGGCACGTGCCCCCGCGGCCCACCCCTGGATCCGCGCCTGATTTGTGGCAAAGGCTTCCGCTATAGTGGCAACCTACAAGAACATACGATGGTCCACACTAAAGAGAAACCATTTGTTTGCGACATTTGTGGCAAAGGCTTCTCGCGTAACGGCACCCTACAAATGCATCAGAAGGTCCACACGAAGGAGAAACCATTTGTTTGTGACATTTGTTGCCAAAGCTTCTCACAGAAAGGTAACCTTCAGCAACATCAGAGAAGTCACTCTTATGAGAAACCATTTGTTTGTGACTTTTGCGGCAAAGGCTTCTCGCGTAACAGCAACCTACAACGACATCAACAGATTCACACTAATGAGAAACAATTTGTTTGTGACATTTGTGGCCAATACTTCTCTCGTAGTGGCAGTGTACAGAAACATATCAATGAGAAAACATTGGTGTGTGACATTTGTAGCAAAGTCTTTTCCAGGAAAGATAGCCTTCAGCAACATCAGACAGTCCACCCTACTAATGAGAAACCATTTGTTTGTGACATTTGTGGGAAATGCTTCTCCAGGAAATTTTTCCTGCGAAGACATCGCATGGTTCACTCTAAAGAGAAACCGTTTACTTGTGACATTTGAGGCAAAGGCTTCTTACAGAAAGGTAACCTTCGCCAACATCAAACATGTCAAGCCATTGAGAAACCATTCATTTGTGACATTTGCCACAAAGGTTTCTCACGGAAAGATAACCTTCAACAATATCAGAGAAGTCACGCTAATGAGAAACCATTTGTTTGTGACTTTTGCGGCAAAGCCTTTGCAAAAAACAGCAACCTAAAAAGACATCGACGGATCCAAACGAATGAAAAACCATTTACTTGTGATGTTTGTGGCAAAACGTTTGCAGAGAGAAGTACTCATTCTAAACATCAGAGGTTCCACACTAACGAGAAACCGTTTGTTTTTGACATTTGTGGAACCGGCTTTTCTCAGAAATATAACCTTCAACGACATAAGATGGTCCACACTAAATGAGGAGCCATTTTTCACTGTTTCTTTTGTAAACGTGTTATTCACTGAAGGAAGGGAGTCGTTCATGCTTACCATTTCAGAATGTAAAATCATGAACCCTTGAACGCCCTGGGCCGTGTGAAAAATCATTTTCATAAACACCAGCGACAGTTTACCCATTCCCTTTGGTCGAGACCTTATCGCGTGGAGTGTTTTAAACGGGCGATAAAACTCGACTGCTTTGAAGCGGTGTCACATGAAACTTTGACCCCAATGGAATCTGGTACTTTTTACTCTTTTATTAGTTGAACCCTCACACGTGGATAGTTGCTCTCCAAATTACTGTCTCTTTACTCAGGCAAACGGAATACTATCAATGAGTTCATATTATAGATTTCTATATTAAAGAGGTTTTAGTACTATCCGCGCAATTAGTTGTTGAACAAAATCATTGGAAAGCTAAAATTGTTGACTTGCGACTATTTGACCAAAAAAGTATTAATAAATGGGAATACATGTAAATACATTCAACATGCAACGAGATATGACCTACCTAGAATACAGATTGGTATTTCCGTAGGTTGTCAATCTGCTGTAACTTGGCGAGAGTCTCTCGTTCACCGCACACACTATTCACGCCGCCATGTTTGCTTGAGTTAAATGCCTCGCTTTGATTATAAAGATGGCGTACCCTAAGAAAGGTCTATAGGCCGAATTTAGTATTGACGATTTGCCAAAAATTGAGACCATAATTATTTCTTTACGTGAAAAGAAAGTTGTTTAGTGGCAAAATCATCTACCTAAGTCGTGTAGGTCCTACACAGATGCGTGAATTTAAATGTGTACAAATGTACATGTATTTGTAATCTGTAGTGCAATTTTGTAATTTGTAGCAATTTGTTCGTAATCAACTTTTGCTTCATTGTTTATTTTGTCATTACTGTTTTACTCTTGTACAACTTTGTATTTGTAAATTAGACATTGTTAAGTTGACTAGCTGTTTGATCTTTATGTGTTATAAACCGTAATGAATGAATGAATGTATGAATGAATGAATGAATGAATGAATGTAGGGAAATCTACCCTAGACCGAATTGACCAATTTTACGAGGAGACAAATTTGATTGTACCGATTTCACCACTGCGCGTTCTGCGCGTACCGTTTTCATGAAGCTGCAAAGACAGTGCGGGGAGGGCAAAACTGCGGCCAAACGTACTTTAGCGTTTTCACGAACAGGCAAAAGTGTTTTGGCAATGATGACTCTCCTCACGCAGTACTTAATCACTTTCGCCGGTGTCAAGTGAAATTTCAACTTCCATGAAATTTGGTCCCTTTTACTCTTATGACCTATCGCCGTTTGCGAGTAAGCCACGCCCCTTAGTCAATTGTATAGTTTGTGTACACTAGCTTTTGTTTATCTCGGATTTTGCGCATTGCGCGATTTGTATACATGTACAATGTATCATGTAATTGGACAATATTTCATAAAGCTTCGTTGACGCGATTCTACTCGGCCGCGATACCCTCAGTCACTAGTGTGGTTCCCAGACCTGACAATTGTTCCCGACGCTCACATCTAAATTGTACAGGTCAGGCCAACCTCGTCCCCAGGGTGTTGAGTAGGATGCGCCCACCACTACCTGCCTACTATTGGAAACGAGGTTGGAAATAAAGAATGCACTGGGGACGAGGTTTGGTTAGGGTTAGCCTGTGCGTGTTATGATACAAAGCGCCCTCTATTGATATTGTGGCGCTGCTTGAACCGGGGCTCCCTAAACTCAGGTCGCCCTGGCCTCCTGACTAAACCTTTGGTAAGCCTAGACGAGCGGTGATCTAGGTGACCTAGTACCTAGGGAATGCGTCAGTTCGGAAAGGCCGTATGCCGCCAACACGTACAAAGTAGTCTCCTTAAGGGTGTTCACTTAAGGGAGGGACACCAACTGACAGACTGAACAAACAAGGAACAGATACTGACATGACTGACACCTTTATTTATCAGACAACAACGACAATCAAGTTCTTTTAATTCTATTGGGTTCAATTAGAATGTAAGAGTTAATCAACAATAATTACTGAATGAAACGGCACCTGCGTCAAGGGTGGATGGACTATTCGCAGCGCTCCCCCACGCTCTTTCAAGTTTTGCGACTTATTATCAGGCAAACCCAAGTTACCGGCGGCAGGACTCCCGAGGCCCCAGTGGATACAGCCCACGAGGTAGCAACACACGGACCAAGATTCAGAACCCCGGTGTGTCTCCGGCTACTAACCTCCTGTCCTCGCCCAGTCATCAGCACGTCAGTGCAGCAACACGACAACGCAAACTCACGCGTTCGTTCTCCACGAGACCATGCACGAGACGCCGAAATTTAGGCCAAAAAAAAAAGTCTCCGGTTTCTGGTATGCGCGCGCGTCGCCGTAGCCATGCGCGTCGGCAAAATGAAAAAGTTTTTTTTTCAATACAAGATGATGTCTCAAAACCGCCAAACTCACTGGTTTGACTGGAATCCTGCTGCTGCACAATTTTAACGTGTTTTTAGATGGGGTTATGATCGAGAATAAGCTTTATGTGGCCTCTCTGGACTCCCATATATTTGCACTAAGTTTAGTCGGGCACCATTTGCAGTCATCAGCCGACATTTGAAGCCCCCCCCCAAAAAAAAAAAAAACAGGAAAAAAAAAAAAAGCCGCGTCGCCGCACCACTTTTGGGGCAAGCTCCATACCAGAAACCGGAGACTTTTTTTTTGGCCTTAAGTTCTATATCTATGCGCAATTCACGTCCGTTCTCAAACGACGCGCGCGCTGTGATCAACTCCACCTCTGGAACGCGCGAACCCACCCAACTACAGAGGGCGCTGCGTAAGCTGGCTGCTGCTCGCACTAAACATTGTGTAAATAATAACTCGCTGCAAGCACACCGTTGCGCTACAATATTCTATAAATATATAAAAAAAAAACACCGACCACCCGACTTACATATCATGTACTGCACATTGTACATGTACATTGTACATGTACATATACATGTACAGGACACATCACCCCACTATTTTAACAATAGAAAAACATCACCCCAGAAAAGAATCTTTAGAAAAAGGGATATGGATGGGAACACAATGTGCGCACACCACCATATCTCCATGATATAAAAACCATTTGCTTCCTGTTTACCCGCTGCATGGTACTAGGTGAGTTTTATCTCAATTGAGTCTGGATAATGGGGGTGATTTATAGGTTGATGTTTGTAAATTTTCAGGTAATTTTTCACCACTTCTAAAATAGGCACCAGTGTGCCTTACACTATAATTTGTGGGTCATCATTATGCCATGGGAACATGAGAAGCTTTCAAAGACACATAACTTTTATCTACAATTCCAATGTACTCTCACCAAAAAACTTCCCTGGTTGTCATACTGTTTAAAATTTGGAAACAGTGGTTTTTAGGACCTTACACCGACAATTTTTTTAGAGCTTTCAGGCTTTTTATTCACCAAAGTTTTCCGTATTGCGAACATCGATTTACGGCTCAACAGATATTGTCGTGAGTCATGTAATTCTCGGCTTATCCATTAAGCCATGCTCCCATTGCGTTCGCTTGTTGCACCGGCCGGTGTTGGATGGTAATTGTCTTGTATGTCATATCGTATTCATAAGAGTTAAGCGGATTCCACATTGCTGAAGTCCTTGACTCTAACTTGATACAAAGTAGTTTTCGCACCGACTGGACTTCCGTATTGTCAGCCGCACACCGGCACAAGCATGTGGAAACAATGGCATTATGATGGCTGTTTGAAGATGCACTCTAAGCAATCTGCTGGATGAATTGTGCATCTCTGATGAGGGAGTACATTGTATTATAACGTCACTCATATTTCGTCACCGACACCACGAACTGACACCCTCTGCATCACATGTGTACAAAAAAAAAAAAAATTCAAATTTTTTTTTTGCACATATTAGCAGTTTGTATCATGAAGTTTAACATGACGAGGTTAAAATTGCTGAAATCATCTAAAATAAGCCAATTTTACTAATGAATTTTCAAGAAATTTGTCAATTCTGGTATTTTTGGTCACCACGAAGTGACACTGCACAGGGTGTCAGTTCGTGAAAACCAAAATGTACGTGTTTCCGGAGAGTGCGCGCATGCAATAGCGTTAGTGAGTGTCAGTTCGTGAAAACCAAAATTGACGCGTTTTGGGAGAGTGCGCGCACGCATGCGCAGTGTGTGCGCGCACTCTCCCAAAATTGGTCAATTTTGGGTTTCACGAACTGACACTCACTAACGCTATTGCATACGCGCACTCTCCGAAAACACGTAAATTTTGGTTTTCACGAACTGACACCCATCTTAATCTTTTAATTGCTAATGAACTAAGCAGATCTTTACAATATAACATTTATAAGTGAGTAGTGAAAGCATTTTCACGTTAAGTGATACTAAAACCTCTAAGATAGATGGAATATTTTACTGAGTAAATTCGTGTCAAACCTTTAAAAGCGTTTTTCTCCGATTTGTATTTCTGCAACGCTGACCACCGGGTGTCAGTTCGTGGTGTCGGTGACGATTTGTCTGATAATGCCCTTTTGACCATACAGGAACCCTCTGGTGCTTTCAGCCGTCGTCCTTTATTGAAATCCTGTATCAGCTACGAGTGCCATCTACAACAAAGCCAACAAGAACGAGCTTTATTTAGTGGTACAGCAACAGGGTAAAGACCACACAAGACATCAGCAGGTCCTCACTTATGAGAGGATGTCACGGAAACATACGATGGCCCACACTAAAGATAAACCATTTGTTTGTGACATATGCGACAAAGGCTTCTCGGGTAACGCCACCCTAAAACAACATCGGAATATCCATACTAATAAAAGACCATTTGTTTGTGACATTTGTTGTCAAAGCTTCTCACAAAAAGGTAACCTTCAAGTACATCAGAGGGTCCACACTAATGACAGACCATTTGTGTGTGAAATATGTGGCAAAGGCTTCCGCTTTAGTGGCAACCTACAAAGACATACGATGGTCCACACTAAAGAGAGACCATTTGTTTGCTACATCTGTGGCAAATGCTTCTCGCGTAACGGCACCCTACAAATACATCAGAAGGTGCACACGAACGAGAAACCATTTGTTTGTGACATTTGTAGCCAACACTTCTCACAGGAAGGTCACCTTCAAGAGCATCAGAGGATCCACACTAATGACAGACCATTTGTGTGTGACATTTGTGGCAAAGGCTTCCGCTATAGTGGCAACCTACAGAGCCACACGTCGGTCCACACTAAAGAGAGACCATTTGTTTGCGACATTTGTGGCAAAGGCTTCTCGCGTAACGGCACCCTACAAAGGCATCAGAAGGTGCACACGAAGGAGAAACCATTTGTTTGTGACTTTTGCTGCCAAAGCTTCTCACAGAAAGGTAACCTTCAAGTACATCAGAGGGTCCACACTAATGACAGACCATTTGTGTGTGACATTTGTGGCAAAGGCTTCCGCTATAGTGGCAACCTACAAGAACATACGATGGTTCACACTAAAGAGGAACCATTTGTTTGCGACATTTGTGGCAAAGTCTTTTCACGTAACAGCAACCTACAACGACATCAACGGATTCACAATAATGAGAAACCATTTGATTGTGACATTTGTGGCAAATGCTTCTCTAATAGTGGCTGCCTACAACAACATGCGGTGATCCACACAAAGAAGAACTCATAATTGTTTTGCGACATTTGTGGCAAAGTATTCTCACAGAAAGGTAACCTTACGTACATCAGAGGGTCCACACTAATGACAGACCATTTGTGTGTGACATCATGCAAAGGCTTTCGCAACCTACAACTTAGTACAAGGACATCAGAGCGTCCACACTAATAGGAAACCATTGTTTGTGACATTTGCGACAAAGCCTTTAAGCATAACGGCGGCCTACAACGACATCAACGGATCCACACTAATAAGAAACCATTTACTGAATTGGTGACTGCTCTGTGTTCCGACACCCCTATGTTCCGACAACCTAGATTGTGTTACTCCCGGTTAGGGTTAGGGTTAGGAATAGGAATATGTGCAGTCGGAACATAGGGGTGTCGGAACATAGAGGTGTAACCACTGAATTTACGTATTAGTCTTATAATCAGACGCGACACACTAATGAGAAACCATTTTCATGTGACATCTGTGACAAAAGCTTTTCACAGAGATGTAGTCTTTCTTTAACTGATGCTCCACACAAATGAAAAACCATTTGTTTGTGACATTAGCGGCAAAGGCTTCTCACGGAAATGTCTCGATCCTTCAACAGCATCAGATCAGAGAGCTCACGCTAATGAGAAACTATTTGCTTGTGACATTGGCGGCAACGAATTCCCTCATAGTGGCAACCTACAAAAACATTTGATGGTCAACACTAATGAGAAACCATTTATTTGTGACATTGGCGACAAAGGCTTCTCACGGAAAGGTTACCTTCAACAACATGAGATCGAGAGGTCACGCTTGTGAGAAACCATTTGCTGGTGACATTTGCGGCAAAGCCTTTGCGCAAAACAGCACCGTGACCCTACAAATACATCAATGGATCCTCACTAATTAGGAACCATTTACTTTTGACATTTGTGACAAAGTTTTCACAGGGAGGTAGTCTTTATCATCATCAGAGGGTCCACACTAATAAGAAACCGTTTGTGTGTGACATTTTGTTGATCAGGCTTCTCACATAAATGTAACCTTGAACGACATTCGATATAGTCCACATTAAATGATAAACCATTTGTCACTGTTTCTTTGCGACATTTGTTATTATTCATTGGCATACTGAAGGAAGGGAATTATTCATGCATTAATTTCAGAATGTTATAAAAAAATCATTAACCCCTGAACACCCCAGGGTGTGTGTAACGTCATATTCATTAATACCTAGTTTAGCCATTCCTATTGGTGGAGATCCCATCACGTATAAAACCCGACCGATGCTTTAAAACGGTGTCACATGAAATTTTGACTCCAATAAAATCTGGTTCCTTTTACTCTTTCATTGGACGAACCCTCACACGTGACCAGCTGCTCTACTTGTTATTGTGTCTTTACTTAGACCAAGGGCGGATCCAGGGGAGGGGCCAACGGGGGTCAGGAGAAACGACGTGTAGAGTATATTCTCCTGACTGACGTTTACTATTCTCCTTAGTATACTGTTCGAAACGTTGAGTCCCTCCGGTTCTGTTCAGAACCACACATACTCACAAAAGAGATTTATTCACATGGTGCTACCGCAAACTTATCTTGTTTTAGTATCTTTCCACCATGCAAACCTTCAAATCTCAAAATTGTTTTCCATATTAAATTCAGGGCGGGAAATTTTTGGACCCGCTTTTTCGGGAATAAACATTTTGTTTTGCCCCCCCCCCCCAAAAAAAGATCCGGCCTTGTTTTGCAATAAAGGCGCACACCCCAAATAAATTGCCCCAGTGGCCCCCCCCCCCTACCCCCAAAAATGAACATTTGGCAACCTGCTAAAAGCACAGTCCTATGGGTTAATCTTTATTTAGCCGGTTGAAAATAAAAGTGCCTTTTTCCCCATGATTTTGTTTTATTTACATGTGTTACCAAAACCCCGTTTTCCGTACTTGGAAAGGGGAACTTAAAATCCTCGACTAGTTTACAGGGGGGGGGGGGGGGTGTCTCGTACCATACTTTCAATGAGGGCGCTTTTTATGAATTTCCATGAAAAAAACAAACACACAAACTGTTTACAGAGCTGGGGGTGGGGTTGTAGGTGCCCCCCGGATCTGCGCATGTTTGAGAGGGGGGGGGGGGAAGGAGTTCTCCTATCCCAAATTATAATACAAATGAAGGGCGACTCATTTTTTTTTGGACAGCTTTGCTTTTTTTATTTTATGGGCCTCACCCACATGTGTACTTTGGTTTAATAAATACATTTTTAACTAACATTCATGTCACTTTATATTTTGTGGCAAATAAAATAAGAAGAACTTCTTGACTGAAGTATGGTCGAAATCGTACTCTTGAGGGCGCAGTGTACGCGGGAAATGACCTTGAGATTGCCCGTGCGCGTGATCGTGAGAGAAGTACATGTGTTGCCTAGCTAGGCCATTTATGAAAAATGAATGCGACCGCCGTTTTCAAGAATAAACGTTGTACTTTGGAGAGAGCAGAGAAGTTTATATCGGACACGTATTTCACCGATGTGAACTTAAGACTGAAGGTAAGGTTACTTTCGTTGCAAAAGTAAACTAGCCTGGAAAGGATGCAGGGAAAATGGAAAACGAAGTGGCTATCGTTACGGCATTCGTTGTTTAGCGCCCTCAACGATTCTTTTTTGATACGCACGCAGGTATATAATTATTTGTTTTCCCGTGTTTTGGTGAACAGTGCGACAGCTCAGTCGATAGCGGGTAGGATTTTGCACCGCGAGCGAGGTTGCGGGTTCGCATCTCAGTTTTGCACTCGAATTTTTCCCCTTTTCTAACCTGAGGCTTTGGAGGGTTTTTTTAGGAGGGAAATAAAGTCCGAATTTTATAACGTTCAAATTCACTTTTTTCCTTCTTATTTATATTTTCTTCTCATGTTTTTATAAAAGTTGCAGTACTACCGTAACGATAGAAAATGGGAAATGCGTTACGGCTGCCGTAACAATAGCCACTGCGAATGGAAAAAATGTTGCAACTTGACGCCACTTCCGCGATTGTGTAGGCCGCGCCTAGGCCCTCTTAATATGCCCAGACTATGGAGAGTCTAGCCCCATAAATGTGGCCAACAAAATCCACTAAGGGAACAAAATCCACTTAAACTTTATTGGACCTACCATTACCAAACTAGTTGGCGACATTCTCAATATCAGGTATGTCATAGATAGAGGGCAGGGTTTTGATTTTTGAGGGAAATTTGGGGGTTAAGTGACGATGACAGCCATGACAGCGCAGCGACAACACGTGACTCGAAAATAAAGATGGCAATCACCGCGCGATGTACCGTGAGCAAAAAATTGCAAGTCACAAACCGTGCAGGAAAATCATGATTTCGGCGATCGTGAAGTGCAGGGCCCCCAAGAATCTGTTTAAAATTGCAAAACGGGTGTCGGAGTCACAATTGTGCCCAATTGGATCCAAACAAAACAGGGGCCCTACACTTCACGATCACCAATTTACTGGACTACCTCCCTAAATAGTAGTCCCATAAATGTAACGGAAATACTGGACTACCTCCGTATTTTGTCACACACCCCACCTGTGGTGTAAATACGGAGCGTCCTGTTGCTAGGGGAGCCAAAAGTTAGTGGCACCAAAAACTCACCAATAAGGCCAAACAAAAAAAAGTCTCCGGTTTCTGGTATGGAGCTTGCCCCAAAAGTGGTGGGGCGACGCGGCTTTTTTTTTTTTTTTACCTGTTTTTTTTTTTTTTTTGGCTTCAAATGTCGGCTGATGACTGCAAATGGTGCCCGACTAAACTTAGTGCAAATATATGGGAGTCCAGAGAGGCCACATGAAGCTTATTCTCGATCATAACCCCATCTAAAAACACGTTAAAATTGTGCAGCAGCAGGATTCCAGTCAAACCAGTGAGTTTGGCGGTTTTGAGACATCATCTTGTATTGAAAAAAAAACTTTTTCATTTTGCCGACGTGCATGGCTACGGCGACGCGCGCGCATACCAGAAACCGGAGACTTTTTTTTTTGGCCTAATATTAATAAGACAAGTAGACACAAAAATGTAAAAAGAAAGTCAGGAGCTCAGTCTGGTGGCAACCTACTTGTGCACACCACCATTGAACCCTAGTATTAGGTGAGTTTTATATCTCAACTGGGTTTGGATAATGGGGTGACCAGAAAAGGACTATTTTTAGGTTGATTTTTGTCCATTTCCAGATGATTATCAGTATCACTATACTTCTAGAATTAGAAGGAACAGTCATTCGTGGGTCGTCGTAATGCAATGGGAAGGAGATCTAGGAGCTTTGATAGACGTATGTATTTCTTGCATCTAGAATTCCAATTTCTCAAACCAAAATCTCCCAAAAAGCTTCCCTGGTTGTTTCATATTTTGTCTGTTTAAAAGTTGGGAACAATGGTGTTAAGGACCTCGTATCAACCCCTTTTTTTGAGAAATCAGGTTTATTCTTTACTGAAGTCTGTCAGCTTCCACATCGCCAACATCGATTTGCAGCTCAACAAACTTCGCGAGTACTTAAATATCAGCCTGGCATGTTATCCATTACTAGGCCACGCGCTCGTTTGGTGTGCATCGATGCGGGATGGCAAGTTGATTTTAATATCTTATTAATAAGAGCTAAGCGGACTCTGCATTTTGTTGCTGAAGTCATTTTGAAATGGAAAAATCCCTTGACTTGACAAACAGAAGTTGTAAAGAGGTCACACCATCTGAACTCCCGTATTGAGAGTCACACACCGGTGTATATATATATATATATATATCTATATATATATATACATACCTATATATATACATGTATATCTGGAAACAATTGTATAATGACAGCTGTTTGAAGATGCACTCTAAGCAATCTGCTGGGTAAATTGTGCATCTCTGGCTCTATATGAGGGAGTACATTGTATTTTAACGTCACTCATATTTTGTCTGATAATGCCTTTTTGACCATACAGGAACCCTCTGGTGCTTTCAGCCGTCTTCCTTTATTGAAAGCCTGTTTCAGCTACGAGTGCCATCCACAACAAAGCCAACAAGAAGGAGCTTCATTCAGTGGTAAAGCAATAGAGTAAAGACCGCACAAGACATCAGCAGGTCCACGCTCAAGAGAGAGTGTTCATTTGTGACATTTGTGGCAGAGGCTTCTCACTGAAAGGCACCGAATCAATGCATCAGTTGATCGACACTGAAGAGAAACATTTGTGATGTTCTGATCAAGTGCTTCTCGCGGAAATGTCATCGTCAACAACAGAGAATCCACACTAATGACAATTTGTGACATTTGTGGCAAAGGCTTCTCTTGAAGTTGCAACCTACGAAAACATACAATGGCCCACACTAACGAGAAACCATTTGTTTGTGACACTTGTGGCAAAGGCTTCTCACAGAAAGGTAGCCTTCAAGTACATCAGAGGGTCCACACTAATGAGAAACCATTTGTTTGTGACATTTGTGGCAAAGGCTTCTCACATAATGCCTCCCTTCAAATGCATGAGAGGATCCACACTAATGACAAATCATTCGTTTGTGACATTTGTGGAAAAGGCTTTTCAGTGAACGGCAGTCTTCACAGACATCGGAGGGTCCACACTAAAGAAAAACCATTTGTATGTGACATTTGTGGCAAAGGCTTCTCACAGCAAGGTAGCCTTCAAGTACATCAGAGGGTCCACACTAATGACAGACCATTTGTGTGTGACATTTGTGGCAAATGTTTCTCAGATATTGGCACCCTAAAAAAACATATGGTGGTCCACACTAAAGAGAAACCATTTGTTTGTGACATTTGCGGAAAAGGCTTTTCATTGAACAGCAGTCTTCACAGACATCAGTGGGTCCACACTAAAGAGAAACCATTTGTTTGTGACATTTGCGGAAAAGGCTTTTCAGCGAACAGCAATCTTCACAGACATCAGAGGGTCCACACTAAAGAGAAACCATTTGTTTGCGACATTTGTGACAAAGGCTTCACACAGAAAGGTAACCTTCAAGTACATCAGAGGGTCCACACTGATGACAGACCATTTGTGTGTGACATTTGTGGCAAATGCTTCTCTGATAGTGGCTACCTAAAAAATCATATGATGGTCCACACTAAAGAGAAACCATTTGTTTGCAACATTTGTGGCAAAGGTTTCTTGCGTGACAAAACCCTTAAACAACATCGGAAGATCCATTATAATGAGAAACCATTTGTTTGTGACATTTGTGGTAACGGCTTTTCAGAGAACGGCAGTCTTCGCAGACATCAGAGGGTCCACACTAAAGAAAAACCATTTGCATGTGACATTTGCGGGAAAGAATTCTCACAAAAATGCCACCTTCAGCAACATCAGAGGGTCCACACTAAAGAAAAAACATTTGTTTGTGACATTTGTTGCCAAAGCTTCTCATTAAAAAGTTACCTTCAGCAACATCTTAGGGTCCACACTAATGAGAAACCAATTGTTTGTGACATTTGTGGCAATGGCTTCTCACGTAATGCCTTCTTTCAAATGCATGAGAGGATCCACACTAATGACAAACCATTCATTTGTGACATTTGCGGAAAAGGCTTTTCAGTGAACAGCAGTCTTCACAGACATCAGAGGGTCCACACTAAAGAGAAACCATTTGTATGTGACATTTGTGGCAAAGGCTTCTCACAGCAAGGAAACCTTCAAGTACATCAGAGGGTCCACACTAATGACAGACCATTTGTGTGTGACATTTGTGGCAAATGTTTCTCTGATATTGGCACCCTAAAAAAACATATGGTGGTCCACACTAAAGAGAAACCATTTGTTTGTGACATTTGCGGAAAAGGCTTTTCATTGAACAGCAGTCTTCACAGACATCATAGGGTCCACACTAAAGAGAAACCATTTATTTGTGACATTTGCGGCAAAGCCTTTGCGCTAAACGGCAACCTACAACAACATCAACGGATCCACACTAACGAGAAACCATTTGCTTGTAACATTTGCGGCAAAGCCTTTGCGCTAAATGGCAACCTACAACGACATCAACGGATTCACACTAACAAGAAACCATTTGCTTGTGGTGTTTGTGGCGAAAGCTTCTCACATATTGGCAATCTTCAATATCATCAGAAGACCCACACTAAATGACAAACTGTTTGTGACATTTGTGGTTGATGCTTCCGCGGGAAAAGAAATCTTTGCCAACATCAGAGTCCATTCGAGTGAAAAATCATTTAAATGACATTTGTAGCAGATGCTCATTCACTGAGTCAGTTTATCACCTACAACATTATTATTCACTAGGTACATTTTCATGAAGTGGCATGTGGCAATATGTAGGGATGGTGGCCCACAGCTCCAAGCATGTTTACCAAGTGTTATCTTATCCAGTTCATGTATCTGTAAATGAAGAAGTATGCAATATTGTATCAGTGCTCAATTGCCAGTGAAAGCTACTTGGGAAAAATGAACACTTGCTGAACAGTTACAAGCTGGGCGGAGCTATATTTACAGTTATTTGAATATAAAAATTGTAGTTCAGGCCAAAAAAAAAAGTCTCTGGTTTCTGGTCTGCGTGCGCGTCACTGTAGCCATGCGCATCGGCAAAATTAAGAAGTTTTTTTTTCAATGGAAGATGATGTCACAAAACCGCCAAACTCACTGGTTTGACTGGAATTCTGCTGCTGCGCAATTTTAATGTGTTTTTAGACGGGGTTACAATTGAGTATAACTTTATGTGGCCTCTCTGGGCTCCCATACATTTTGCACAAAATTTAGTCGGGCACCATTTGTTTGAAAAACCATTTGTTTGTGACATTACGGCACAGGAAATGTCTCCTTCAACAGCATCAGCGAGCTCACGCTAATGAGAAACCATTTGCTTGTGACATTGGCGGCACAGAATTCTCTCATAGTGGCAACCTACAAAAACTTTTGATGGTCCACACTAATGAGAAACCATTTATTTGTGACATTGGCGACAAAGGCTTCTCACGGAAAGGTTACCTTCAACAACATGAGATCGAGAGGTCACGCTTGTGAGAAACCATTTGCTGGTGACATTTGCGGCAAAGCCTTTGCACAAAACAGCACCGTGACCCTACAAATACATCAACGGATCCTCACTAATTAGGAACCATTTACTTTTGACATTTGTGACAAAGTTTTCACAGGGAGGTAGTCTTTATCATCATCAGAGGGTCCACACTAATAAGAAACCGTTTGTTTGTGACATTTTGTTAATCAGACTTCTCACATAAATGTAACCTTGAACGACATTCGATATAGTCCACACTAAAGGATAAACCGTTTGTCACTGTTTCTTTGCGACATTTGTTATTATTCATTGGCATACTGAAGGAAGGGAATTATTCATGCATTAATTTCAGAATGTTATAAAAAAAAAAATTAACCCCTGAACACCCCCAGGGTGTGTGTAACGTCATACTCGTACTCATAAATACCTAGTTTAGCCATTCCTATTGGTGGATATCCCATCACGTATAAAACCCGACCGATGCTTTAAAACGGTGTCACATGAAAATTTGACTCCAATAAAATCTGGTTCCTTTTACTCTTTCATTGGACGAACCCTCACACGTGACCAGTTGCTCTACTTGTTATTGTGTCTTTACTTAGACCAAGGGCGGATCCAGGGGCCAACGGGGGTCGGGAGAAACGACGTGTAGAGTATATTCTCCTGACTGACGTATACTGTTCTCCTTAGTATACTGTTCGAAACGTTGAGTCCCTCCGGTTATGTTCAGAACCACACATACTCACAAAAGAGATTTATTCACATGGTGCTACCGCAAACTTATCTTGTGTTAGTATCTTTCCACCATGCAAACCTTCAAATCTCAAGATTGTTTTCCATATTAAATTCAGGGCGGGAAATTTTTGGACCCGCTTTTTCGGGAATAAACATTTTGTTTTGCCCCCCCCCCCAAAAGATCCGGCCTTGTTTTGCGATAAAGGCGCACACCCCAAATAAATTGCCCCAGTGCCCCCCCCCCCCTCCCCAAAAAAATGAACATTTGGCAACCTGCTAAAAGCACAGTCCTATGGGTTAATCTTTATTTAGCCGGTTGAAAATAAAAGTGCCTTTTTTTCCACGATTTTGTTTTATTTACATGTGTTACCAAAACCCCGTTTTCCGTACTTGGAAAGGGGAACTTAAAATCCTCGACTAGCTTACAGGGGGGGGGGGGGGTGTCTCGTACCATACTTTGAATGAGGGCGCTTTTTATGAATTTCCATGAAAAAAAACAAACACACAAAATGTTTACAGAGCTGGGGGTGGGGGTGTAGGTGCCCCCCGATCTGCGCATGTTTGAGAGGGGGGGGGGGAGGAGTTCTCCTATCCCAAATTATAATAAAAATGAAGGGCGACTCATTTTTGTTTTAGACAGCTTTGCTTTTTTTATTTTATGGGCCTCACCCACATGTGTACTTTGGTTTAATAAATACATTTTTAACGAACATTCATGTCACTTTATATTTTGTGGCAAATAAAATAAGAACAACTTCTTGACTGAAGTATGGTCGAAATCGTACTCTTGAGGGCGCAGTGTACGCGGAAAATGACCTTGAGATTACCTTGCCGGTAGCATAAAATGGCACGACAGTAGAGCGCGTGATGAATATGCATGACTATGACGTCACTAGAAGCTCATGAGTAATATATCACGCACGGTACTGATAGATATACATGTACATGTAGATGCACACTGTACAGTATGTGCTGCATCCCACCGATGATATCACATTTAACAAGTCCTCTTTCTACTGTCGCGCCGCCACCCTCTAGTGTCGTCCCACTTACCGATGATATCACATTTAACAAGTCCTCTTTCTACTGTCGCGCCGCCTCCTCTAGTGCCGTCCCACTTGATGATCATCAGTAAGTGGGGCAATAGTAGAGGGTGGCGGCGCGACAGTAGAAAGAGGACTTGTTAAATGTGATATCATTGGTTAGTGGGACGACACTAGAGGGTGGCGGCGCGACAGTAGAAAGAGTGACGTCATATCATGCATATTCATCACGCGCTCTACTGTCGTGCCATTTTATGCTACCGAGATTGCCCGTGCGCGTGATCGTGAGAGAAGTACATGTGTTGCCTAGCTAGGCCCTATATGACATGACATGTATGAAAAATGAATGCGACCGCCGTTTTCAAGAATAAACGTTGTACTTTGGAGAGAGCAGAGAAGTTTATATCGGACACGTATTTCACCGATGTGAACTTAAGAGGAAGGTAAGGTTACTTTCGTTGCAAAAGTATTAAGTAAACTAGCCTGGAAAGCCGAAAGGATGCAGGGAAAATGGAAAACGAAGTGGCTATCGTTACGGCATTCGTTGTTTAGACGCACGCAGGTATATAATTATTTGTTTTCCCGTGTTTTGGTGAACAGTGCGACAGCTCAGTCGATAGCGGGTAGGATTTTGCACCGCGAGGTTGCGGGTTCGCATCTCAGTTTTGCACTCAAATTTTTTTCCTTTTCTAACCCTTAGGCTTTGGAGGGTTTTTTTTTAAAGGGAAATAAAGTCCGAATTTTATAACGTTCAAATTCACTTTTTTCCTTCTTATTTATATTTTCTTCCCATGTTTTTATAAAAGTTGCAGTACTACCGTAACGATAAAATGGGAAATGCGTTACGGCTGCCGTAACAATAGCCACTGCGAATGGAAAAAATGTTGCAACTTGACGCCACTTTCGCGATTGTGTAGGCCGCGCCTAGGCCCTCTTAATATGCCCAGACTATGGAGAGTTTAGCCCCATAAATGTGGCCAACAAAATCCACTAAGGGAACAAAATCCACTTAAACTTTATTGGACCTACCAAACTAGTTGGCGACATTCTCAATATAAGGTATGTCATAGATAGAGGGCAGGGTTTTGATTTTTGAGGGAAATTTGGGGGTTAAATGACGATGACAGCCATGACAGCGCAGCGACAACACGTGACCCGAAAATAAAGATGGCAATCACCGCGCGATGTACCGTGAGCAAAAAATTGCAAGTCACAAACCGTGCAGGAAAATCATGATTTCGGCGATCGTGAAGTGCAGGGCCCCCAAGAATCTGTTTAAAATTGCAAAACGGGTGTCATTAGAATTGAGAAAAGTCGGCTTTTGATTGAGCACTAAAAACACATTTTTGACTCTAATTTGAGGAGTAATTGCAGAATACCCCGCCACTCGGAAATACACCCCTAAATTCTCTGGCTACGAGGTTGGAATCACTGGAAAAGAAACAATTCAAGTCCATGCCAGCTACGCGGATACTGAGTGGGGGTCCATTATTTGAGAACGAAGCAACACAAAAGGAATGGGAGTTGCTGAAAAAGTTTTTAAGTCCAAACCAACCACCCTGTTGGCGGCTACGCGGATACGGAGTGGGAGTCCCCTTGAATATGCTTGAGAACGAAGCAACACAAAAGGAATGGGAGTTGCTGAAAAAATTTCAAGTCCAAACCAACTACATGTACCCTGTTGGCGGCTACGCAGTTACGAAGTGGGAGTGCAATAGAGCATGACGCATAGTACATACAAGTAGCGCTGAGAATGTTTATTGAGGTCAACCAACCGTGACCTCGTAGCCGGCTATGAGGTGGATAGATCGAGTGGCGGGGTACATGTATTCTGCAAATGTGCCTAATTTGATCCAAACAAAACAGGGGCCCTACTCTTCACGATCACCAATTTACTGGACTACCTCCGTAAATAGTAGTCCCATAAATGTGACGGAAATACTGGACTACCTCCGTATTTTGTCACACACCCCACCTGTGGTGTAAATACGGAGCGTCCTGTTGCTAGGGGAGCCGAAAATTAATTAATAATCAAAATTATTTTGTCAGCAGAAAAGCAACCCAGCTATTAGTTAACTGCTATATGGCACAAAATCGTTAAATTCGGTACCTTCAGAGGTCTAGTTATCCAAAAATCATGGTAATTCGTCAAAGAATGCAGACGGTTCTGAAAAAGCATGGTGTCTCTGATATTTACCAGACTGTTTCCCGGCCACCCTAATTATAGTCAAAAGGCCAATGGGCATGGGCGTCGCGAGGGGGGGCAAGGGGGGGCACTTGCCCCCCCCCCCCTGGAAAAGCCAAAAAAAAAAAAAAAAAAAGGAAGAAAAAAAAGGAAGAAAAAAAAGGAAGAAAAAAAAGAAAAAAAAAACAGGCGCGAAGACAAAGTGGTGTAAATTTAATGAGTTGGGGGGGGGGGGAATGTCCCTGCCCCCCCCTCTAAAACTGATAAATCGAGAATGTGTTGAGAAATACAAGCATTTTTTGGCAAAATTCTTTTTTGCCCCCCTCTAGAAAAAATCCCGGCGACGCCCATGCCAATGGGGTCAGGGAACCAGACAAGAGCTTTAGTCATCTACTGAGCGTGCATCAACTTTGGCAAAGCGCACCGCTGCTGTTGCCTGTCATTCCCAAATCTTTGAAGCCCTCTGAAGTGAAGCGCGCCCTCTTGTGTGCGCTCTTCATCCGCGGCCGCGTATTGCATCCTGGTAGTGGTACTTCACAATCAGCATGCAGTAAATGCTGCGAGCATGCTTGTACATGTACATAGGTTGTATTGCAGATCACAATCATAGCAAGAACATACAACACACACATACTGAAATTTGTATCCTTGTAGAGACATTTCTTTGTTCTCATGTAGTAAAGTTTTCAAGTTTGATATTGAAGAACTTTTCAAAATAATCTTATTTTAACTAGAGTTAATTTCCTTGGCTGAAATCCGGAAATAATATCCCTTTTCTAAAACTCTTCCATTTGCGACAGATCCACCCACCTTGGAAATTCCTAGTTTTTGAGTAAAATCCATATATCTATTTCGTGAAAACCTTGTGGAGACGTATTCATCTATAGAAATTGCCCTGTGGAGACGTATACAATCTTTTGTTCCCTATTGTGTGCACGTCTCCAGAGGGTACCGTGTATCAGATCAGTACAAGAAGACCAGATGAACAAGGTCCACCGAGTTCTGTCAAGTTAGTGGCACCAAAAACTCACAAATAACATGACAAGTAGACACAAAAATGTCAAAAGAAAGTCAGGAGCTCAGTCTGGGGGCAACCTACTTGTGCACACCACCATTGAACCCTAGTATTAGGTGAGTTTTATATCTCAACTGGGTTTGGATAATGGGGTGACCAGAAAAGGACTATTTTTAGGTTGATTTTTGTCCATTTCCAGATGATTATCAGTATCACTATACTTCTAGAATTAGAAGGAACAGTCATTCGTGGGTTGTTGTAATGCAATGGGAAGGAGATCTAGGAGCTTTGATAGACGTACATGTATGTATTTCTTGCATCTAGAATTCCAATTTCTCAAACAAAAATCTCCCAAAAAGCTTCCCTGGTTGTTTCATATTTTGTCTGTTTACAAGTTGGGAACAATGGTGTTTAGGACCTCGTATCAACACTTTTTTTGTGAAATCAGGTTTATTCTTTACTGAAGTCTGTTAGCTTCCACATCGCCAACATCGATTTGCAGCTCAACAAATTATCGCGAGTTCTTAAATATCAGCCTGGCATGTTATCCATTACTAGGCCACGCGCTCGTTTGGTGTGCATCGATGCGGGATGGCAAGTTGATTTAATATCTTATTAATAAGAGCTAAGCGGATATGAGGGAGTACATTGCATTTTAACGTCACTCATATTTTGTCTGATAATGCCTTTTTGACCATACAGGAACCCTCTGGTGCTTTCAGCCATCGTCTTTTATTGAAAGCCTGTATCAGCTACGAGTGCCATCCACAACAAAGCCAACAAGAAGGAGCTTCATTCAGTGGTAAAGCAATGGAGTAAAGACCACACAAGACATCAGCAGGTCCACACCCAAGAGAGAGTGTTCATTTGTGACATTTGTGGCAGAGGCTTCTCACTGAAAGGCACCGAATCAATGCATCAGTTGATCGACACTAAAGAGAAACATTTGTGATGTTCTGATCAAGTGCTTCTCGCGGAAATGTCATCGTCAACAACAGAGAATCCACACTAATGACAATTTGTGACATTTGTGGCAAAGGCTTCTCTTGAAGTTGCAACCTACGAAAACATACAATGGCCCACACTAACGAAAAACCATTTGTTTGTGACATTTGTGGCAAAGGCTTCTCACAGAAAGGTAGCCTTCAAGTACATCAGAGGGTCCACACTAATGAGAAACCATTTGTTTGTGACATTTGTGGCAAAGGCTTCTCACGTAATGCCTCCCTTCAAATGCATGAGAGGATCCACGCTAATGACAAACCATTTGTTTGTGACATTTGTGGCAAAGGCTTCTCACAGAAGGGTAGCCTTCAAGTACATCAGAGGGTCCACACTAATGAGAAACCATTTGTTTGTGACATTTGTGGCAAAGGCTTCTCACATAATGCCTCCCTTCAAATGCATGAGAGGATCCACACTAATGACAAATCATTCGTTTGTGACATTTGTGGAAAAGGCTTTTCAGTGAACGGCAGTCTTCACAGACATCGGAGGGTCCACACTAAAGAAAAACCATTTGTATGTGACATTTGTGGCAAAGGCTTCTCACAGCAAGGAAACCTTCAAGTACATCAGAGGGTCCACACTAATGACAGACCATTTGTGTGTGACATTTGTGGCAAATATTTCTCAGATATTGGCACCCTAAAAAAACATATGGTGGTCCACACTAAAGAGAAACCATTTGTTTGTGACATTTGCGGAAAAGGCTTTTCATTGAACAGCAGTCTTCACAGACATCAGAGGGTCCACACTAAAGAGAAACCATTTGTTTGTGACATTTGCGGAAAAGGCTTTTCAGCGAACAGCAATCTTCACAGACATCAGAGGGTCCACACTAAAGAGAAAACATTTGTTTGCGACATTTGTGGCAAAGGCTTTTCATTGAACAGCAGTCTTCACAGACATCAGAGGGTCCACACTAAAGAGAAACCATTTGTTTGTGACATTTGCGGAAAAGGCTTTTCAGTGAACAGCAGTCTTCACAGACATCAGAGGGTCCACACTAAAGAGAAACCATTTGTTTGCGACATTTGTGGCAAAGGCTTCTCACAGAAAGGTAACCTTCAAGTACATCAGAGGGTCCACACTAAGGACAGACCATTTGTGTGTGACATTTGTGGCAAATGCTTCTCTGATAGTGGCTACCTAAAAAATCATATGATGGTCCACACTAAAGAGAAACCATTTGTTTGCGACATTTGTGGCAAAGGTTTCTCGCGTGACCAAACCCTAAAACAACATCGGATGAGCCATAATAATGAGAAACCATTTGTTTGTGACATTTGTGGTAAAGGCTTTTCAGAAAACGGCAGTCTTCACAGACATCAGAGGGTCCACACTAAAGAAAAACCATTTGTATGTGACATTTGTGGCAAAGGCTTCTCACAGAAAGGAAACCTTCAAGTACATCAGAGGGTCCACACTAAAGAAAAACCATTTGTTTGTGACATTTGTTGCCAAAGCTTCTCATGGAAAGGTTACCTTCAGCAACATCTTAGGGTCCACACTAATGACAAACCGTTCGTTTGTGACATTTGCGGAAAAGGCTTTTCAGTGAACAGCAGTCTTCACAGACATCAGAGGGTCCACACTAAAGAAAAACCATTTGTATGTGACATTTGTGGCAAAGGCTTCTCACAGAAAGTAAACCTTCAAGTACATCAGAGGGTCCACACTAATGACAGACCATTTGTGTGTGACATTTGTGGCAAATGTTTCTCTGATATTGGCACCCTAAAAAAACATAAGGTAGTCCACACTAAAGAGAAACCATTTGTTTGTGACATTTGCGGCAAAGCCTTTGCGCTAAACGGCAACCTTCAACAACATCAACGGATCCACACTAATGAGAAACCATTTGCTTGTGACATTTGCGGCAAAGCCTTTGCGCTAAACGGCTACCTACAACGACATCAACGGATCCACACTAATGAGAAACCATTTGCTTGTGACATTTGCGGCAAAGCCTTTGCTCTAAACGGCAACCTACAAAAACATCAACGGATTCACACTAACAAGAAACCATTTGCTTGTGGTGTTTGTGGCGAAAGCTTCTCACATATTGGCAATCTTCAATATCATCAGAAGACCCACACTAAATGAGAAACTGTTGTGACATTTGTGGTTGATGCTTCCGCTGGAAAAGAAATCTTTGCCAACATCAGAGTCCATTCCAGTGAAAAATCATTTAAGTGACATTTGTAGCAGATGCTCATTCACTGAGTCAGTTTATCACCTACAACATTATTATTTACTAGGTACATTTTCATGGAGTGGCATGTGGCAATATGTAGGGCTGGTGGCCCACAGCTCCAAGCATGTTTACCAAGTGTTATCTTATCCAGTTCATGTATCTAAATGAGGAAGTGTGCAATATTGTATCAGTGCTCAATTGCCAGTGAAAGCTGCTTGGGAAAAATGAACACTTGCTGAACAGGTACAAGCTGGGCGGAGCTATATTTACAGTTATTTGTATAAAAAAAATTGTAGTTCAGGCCATAAAAAAAAAAGTCTCTGGTTTCTGGTCTGCGCGTGCGTCGCCGTAGCCATGCGCGTCGGCAAAATTAATAAGTTTTTTTTTCAATGGAAGATGATGTCTCAAAACTGCCAAACTCACTGGTTTGACTGGAATCCTGCTGCTGTGCAATTTTGACAAGTTTTTAGACGGGGTTACAATTGAGTATAAGCTTTATGTGGCCTCTCTGGGCTCCCATACATTTTGCACAAAATTTAGTCGGGCACCATTTGCAGCCATCAGCCGACATTTGAAGAAAAAAAAGTTTAAAAAAAAATAAAAAAATGCTGCATCGCCGCACCACTTTTGAGGCAAGCTCCATACCAGAAACCGAAGACTTTTTTGAGGCGCCTGCCTTTTTGTCTTATTAAATGTACCTGTACAGACTGTTAGTACATGAAGCATGATGTTTGAACTGCCAATCTTGTTTTGATTTGACACTACAATGTTTTTATCAAACACACTTTATTTATTTCGAGTGCAACTTCCCTAGACTTTGGTTTGCGAACAGTTACTAGCTGGGTGGAGTTATATTTACATAAAGTTAAATATTCAGTATGTAGTTAATTTTCTGTTGTTACATGTGTGATATGTAATGTACAGTAGCCTGATTTTGGAATTGCCATTCATGTATAATGTCATCCTTTTTTTCATATGACCCTCCAATGTTTGCCTTCAAACACCTTTTACTTCAGATGGATTTTTACCAGAATTGGTTTGTATAGGGCCTTCTGTATTGAAGTGTTGGGCAAAATCATATATTTTTGTGTTGACACTAATTAATTTATCTTTTTGATATTTGCAATGAATCTTGGGTACAGATGTAAAACTAGGCAGTACGTCGTTAAGTGGTTACGTTATACACCGCCAAGGTCACACGTTGACTGGGGTGACATTTCCACACAAACCTGGACTTAACAATTTGCAAAGATATGTGAATTTCTATTAAACTTTTAATGTTACTATTTTTTACAAAGTAATTCCCCTTCAGAGTACCAGTTGTGATTTTGAGTTTTCTTTCTTTGTAATTTGTAAACAGCAAGGATAGATTTGGTAATTTATTATTTTGAATGAAGATTGCTTGTAACTTTGTTTCAAAGAAATGTGTCTTAGGAAGTTATTAATATTTATACAGACAATTATAAAGATAAAAAGAGTATGGAGTCATTAACACTTCCTGGCAAGCCAAGTTGCATAATTAAGCACAAAGTTAGTAACACCACTAGTGGTCCCTGTTTGAAAGCATTTCGTATCATTTACAGTCTGCTCCCGTTACCATGAAAACGATGCGATGCGAGGGTGCAGCCTAGCCTTCACCATAGCTGTTAAATCAATGCACAGCACATGTATCAACAAAACATCCTGGATAAATTGGTGGGACAGTTTGACATAAATTTGAATAATTATAGTACAGTGTCATTAGCTGCACATGGGCATTCAAAACATGTTTGTTTTAAATGCTTACATTGGACAAATTACCTTAGTTATTAATTGTAGCTCTATTATTGTCTTGAAATTTTGGCGACAGACTAGTACCGGTAATCCATAGAAAGCTACATGTACAGCTATGCAAATCCTCAGTATAAATTAAGTCCATGTAATTTTGGATAGAACTGTAGCGTGCATGTTGAATGTCTGTTGTAAATAAATACGTTACTTGTTCAAAACATGTCTAACAATATTGTTGCGGTTGTGTGGTGTCTTTCTACAGTGTATGCTTACCTACAGCCCTCACAAAGCTAATGACAAATCACAAAGTTTTTCCTAGCACCATCTCATTTGCACATAAATTGAACTTGAAACAAAACTTAATTGAACTTGAGGACAACAAAATTATAGTTGACTCAGAATGGTTATTCACTGCAAGGTTGTTAAACAATCAATCAATTTTTAAAATTGAATTTTTTCTTTGAAGGACTTATTAAAAAAGAAATGTTGGTCTGTCAAATTTAATAAATTGTTGGATTTTGACGGACCAAACATTGTTACATTTCAAGACTCGCATCTGTTGTTAAAACTCGGATAAATTCATCACATCACGAGCTTCATTATGTTTTTCGTTATGGTCACGTAATGATCAGTTACAATGATGACCAATCAGGTGATGACAAAATGGCAGCCATAAATTTTTGAATCATGTGACTTCCTTCATGAATTCATGTGACTTCCTTCATGAATTCTGATTGGTTAAAATAATGTATCACCTCCTGTGAAATTGGAGTGCTGCCCGCACACCTTTCCAGTGACTCTGGATCCAGTGAAATTGGATACCAAAAAAATCACTCTTATTTGATTTCATCCGGTCGCCTGGTTACGGTCAGATCTGTTAAATTTTCAGCACACACCTTGTATGATGGCCCAATGACCCAGTGAATTGGTAAAACCAAAAAAGGGTGCGCCAGGCTATAATAGAAAACTAGAATTTGTACCGAGGCCGACATGTGCTGTTTTATGACAGTTGCCCATTACTTCACAGGCTGTATCCAGACAAACAACCAGTGACAGCCATTTATCACTGTGCAGTAGAAGACAGGATACCATACCATGAGGCAATCACTCGGGATTTTACCAAAACTGAAGTGGGAAGGTCTTTTGGACCAACGTAAGTAGGCATTTGTCATCAAGTGGAATGTTTAATTATAAAATTTAAGCATAAATATGACAGGCAACTGTTTCATCAGGGCCTTTAGGGACAAATTTCCTCAGTAAAAAAAATGGATAGGTCTATCATGAGACTGTCAGTGAGCTCCAAAGTATGCTAGGATAAGATGCCTGTCGTATTTCATCCATATTTCATGTGGATGTATAATGTAATACATACAGTGTTTGAGCTGTACCAGTTAAACTGTTTTTATATTTCTTTTCGTAGATGGGCAACACATTGGTTTCGGATTGAGTTTGCCATTCCCAAGAAATGGTCCGATAAGGATGAAGTGCGATTAGCTTGGAATTCCAACTCGGAGGCAACAGTAAGTCAACACAAGCAAAATAGAATAAAATCAGGGAAACTGTGCCTATATACCTTCTTGATGACAGAATTTCAAACAAAATATATCAATACATCCACGTGGTGTGCATTGGAGGACGCAAAACCCCATCAGCAAAGACTCTGTATGGAGCTATGGAGGGTTTATACTCGCTGAAATTACATGAAGCTTGGCAGTTCGCAGAGTGTGTGGCTAAAGTTCCTTCCTGTCAATCGAACAGTGCACACTGACCAATAAGATTGCAACATGTGGTCAGGTGACCAAGGTAGCTATGTCAAACTCAGTCACTAGCGCATGTAAACAAGCTAAAGGTGTGGGATTGGGCTTATGACCAAATATGACCAAGTTTTTTTGGGGTGGATATTTTCCAATGACGGTTGAAGACATGAAACTTGGCTTTTTTTTATTTTTGGTTTCTTCTCACTGTAAATGTTGCCGCTTTTTGCAGGTTTGGCAAGATGGAATTCTTGCCCAAGGATTGAACAAAGACAACCACAAAGATTTCATTCTGTTAGGATATCCAGCTGGGTAAGTTCATTTAAAGTGTTGTAGCAATGTAATTGTGTTAATGCAATCCTTCGAAATGCACATTTGTGTCTCATTTACTATTTTCAATTTTCGTTTTGCCATTTTCATAGGTAGTTTGGTGCCGCTTTGCTTTTTATGCTAATTTGAATTTTAAATATTCATGAGCAACAGTGTGATGTCATTTCAGACAGAAACCTCCATGTTACAGTTACATTGTATTTCAGCACCAAAAGTTACCAGAATTTCGGATACTTCGATGTAAAGTTTCTTTTCTTTGGTGATTCGTTGTTGTGGTATAGCACATGGCAAGAAGCAAATACGCAAACTTCTCAGAAATATTTTCAATAAGCAAAACTGAAACTTTGTTGATATGTTTCCAAACCACATTTCCAGATTTGGGGTCAGATTAATCTAAAAGAAAAAGGTGCTAAACAAACTGTGGCAAAAAGGAAGGAGGGGGAATAAACAGCTAGGATTCACAAACACAATACGATATCAAAACTATAAGAAATTAAATCAATTGATCTGTAAGTAAATCAGTAAGCCGATTGCATGATCTAAATCCATCGTTTAAAAACAATGGCAAAATAATTTAATTTACATCTTCCCATAGCAAATAGACCTAATGACATAATGATGTAATGGCGTTGTTTACATGTGCGCTCTCCTATGGGAGCGAAGTCGGGACGCGCCAGAGGAAGTAGGGACCATCTACCACATAGGAAAGCCCACATGTATACAAAGCGTGACATCATTAGATCTCGGGCCTATATTCCATCTTATGAATAGTTTCGTTGCGGTACCCATGGCTATATCAGATTGGAACCACCCAGCAGACCCTGTCAAGCACGGTTGTCGAGTGATAAGATGTTTGCACTAGTAAGCAGGAGGTCGCTGGGTTCGAGTCCCACCCGAGTGATATTTCTTCTCACAATAACTCAGGACAACACTGATACAGTGTTTATGAAAAGAAAACAAAATACGTTGGAGCTAGGGCAGAAACTCAATATTGAATATACATCCCACCCCGACCCAATTAAATCTATCTTATGAACGAAATAATGATCCTGCACATGACATTAATTTTTTTCATTTTTGCTGATTACAGCAAACCTCATTCTCTCTACATTGAGATGGCTTGTAATGGACTTTTTGGTGCCGGCTCTGGTTTGATTGGACCGCCTGACCCCAACAAGACCTTTGCCCTGAGCAAGGTTGAGCTGGTGACCTTTGACCGGTTGGTGTTTGACCTCATCCATGACATTGAGACCCTGGTGGATATGGCCAAGGTGAGATACGTTGTAATCAAATAAATCTTAAGTCACATGAGTTTTTTTATGACTTCGCTGTTTATCCTGGATAAAGTGGGATTGTGTAATAAAAAAAATTGAAATTGAAATTGAAATATTCAAGACTTTATAAAACACTTTAATCTTTGACAGTTTTCTGTAAATGCAAGATAACCACACAGAAATATAGAGACAATGCCGAAACAGACGGTGCCGCTTCGTCTGTACAAAAACAAATTTCTAACATCAGAAGCCATTTTGCTGATTTTAATGAAGTTTTACAATGTCTCAAAAAACACCCTTCCCCCCCCCCCCCCAACAAAATAATTGTGCAGAGACAATCAATGCAGCTTCATAAATTACAAGGCCACTGGAACTGGAACAATCTTGATTTTGAATATGTTTTACCCTTGTTGCAAAATGTAATTTTTTTTCCACTAAAATACTAATTTGAAATTTATCTTTGACTTGTCTTCAGCATATTCCAGAGACTGACCAGCGCAGCTTCCAAGCGTTGTACACGGTCAATTCCATGGTCAACATTTGTACTGTAGGGAACCCTGACTCCTACCGGCAGGCAAGACAGGTAGCCCAGAAGTTCTTCAGTCAGGCACCAGGTTCATCCTGTCATACTGTACACGCTATGGGGCATGCCCACATTGATTCGGGTAAAGTGTTTCTGATTGTGTACAATAGTTATTTTTTAAACTTCTGCCAAGTCTTACTTATCACAAAGCTTTGTTTTTTTTCGTAAAGGATGTGAATCCAATCATTAGAGTATAAATCAATAGTGATCTTGCTACCCTTTACGTCCGAGGACTTCGGACAATGTGTTTTCTGTGATAACAATAACTTTTGTTTGGAAAGAATGTTGCAACCTGACGCAGCTTTTTTCTTCATATATCATCTCAATGAAGGTCAGTCATTGCAAAAATGATGATAAGGCCAAAAAAAAAAAAGTCCGTCTCTGGTCAGCGCGCGCGTCGATTTTAATCATGCGCGTCAATCTTTTTTTTTTCCAAAATATTCAGCGGTAGCTCTTTTTTACCAAAGAGCACCAAGGAATTGGAAATTGCACCAAGGCAAATGATCGAGAGCACCAAGGCAAATTATGGAGGACACCAATGTACATGAGGACACCAAAAAAGCAAAATAGTACCCCACCTTGTCTGTACAATCCAAGCTTGAAGAAAAAAAAAGCTGCGTCGCCGCGTCAATTCCGGAACTTTGGTCTGACCAGAGACCAAATTTTTTTTTTTTGGGCCTAAGACATGAATTTTGGACTCAGAAACATTTCCAATTTTGTTAGGAAATATTTCGAAAGTTTTCTTGACTCTCCATAGACTTTGTACACAACCGCTGAAGTAGCGTCACGTTGCAACATTTTTTCCCCCTGTTTATCTTTCACAGCCTGGCTGTGGCCGTACGCAGAGACAGTGCGGAAGTGTGCCCGGAGTTGGTCCACGACCTTAGCGCTGATGGATAGGCACCCAGACTACAAGTTTGTGTGCTCCCAGGTAGAGTAAACCAGAACTTTATATAGAGAGTTGCGTCACGAGATGTACCGATTTCAAGTCATTTTGGGTACAAGAAGTGGGAAAAAATTCAAGTTACTTGCAACATTTGAGATAGAAATATTTAATAGATAAACTTGTGACTGTGTACCTAATGCCCATCTTGCATTACTGACTCTATGCGATCTGAGTTGGACCTATAATATTGTGCAAATTGAAACTTGTCGTAACGCACTCTATATTTAACTCTGGAGTAAACCAGTTTGTCCACCCTGTCATCCCTGTCATGATATTTTATAATCAAAAGTTCTTTTTTTTCCCGTCGTTGTAAATAGACTACTTGTTATCTTTTAATGACAGGCCCAGCAGTATGACTGGGTGCGAATTCACTATCCTGGTCTATTCGAGAGGATACGGCGCAGTGTTCAAAAGGATCAGTTTATTCCAGTTGGAGGAGTGTGGGTAGAAATGGATGGGAACCTTCCTAGTGGGGAGTCCTTCGTCCGCCAGTTCTTGTACGGTCAGCGCTTCTTCATGAAGGTTTTTCAGAGGAAGTGTAACGTGGTGAGTGGATTGAATGACTGGTTTTAATCAAAGTTGTTCACGGATATAAGCCTATATTGTACTTCGTTGTATATTTAATATAGCTAACATGTCGACTTGATTTTGAAATTTAATTCAAACTTCATTTAATCAAATGAAACCCAAATGAATTCCAATTCCATCCAAAGTTACTCACAAGTCAACCCCAAGTAAGTCAGTATTTTAATCCCATGTTAATCCCAAGTCAGTCCGAAGTCAATCCAAATTTAATCCCATCTCACTTCCCAAGTCAATACTAAGTAAATAAGTCAATCAATCCCATGTTAATCCCAAGTCAGTCCCAAGTCAATCCAAAGTTAATCCCATCTCAATTCCCAAGTCAATCCTAAGTCAATAAGTCAATCAATCCCATGTTGATCCCAAGTTAGTCCCAAGTCAAGACAAAGTTAGTCCCATTTCAATCCCAAGTCCTGCCAATTCCATGTTAATTCCAGGTTAAGCCCAAGTCAATCCCTAGTCAATCCAAACCCAATTCAAACTCAGTCAATCCAAAGTCAATTTCCAGTTAATCCCAAGTCAATCCCAAGTCAATCCCAAGTTAATCCCAAGTTAATCCCAACCCAATCCAAAGTCAATCCGAATCCAATCCCAAGTATGTTGCAATTAATTTCAAGTCAAATCATTAGTAGTGTAAGAGGATTGTATGTCGTTCGGTTCGCTCAAGTGACTACACATGTAGCAATACAAAGCATTTCGACAAAGACACTCTTTCATCATTGTTGATCCGGTGTTATTTGTTAAAGGGAATATACATCATTTGCTTTTGCTGTAATTTTCAGAAATGGATGGAATTGGGGGGGTTGGAAATGTATAGCAAATATAGTTACACTGACTTTTTCGAGGTTTTGGGTTCGAAAATGCTATAAAAACCAAGAAAAACAATCATTTTCCTGTAGTCTGGTTCCCTGACTCCATTTAAGAAGAAACACAGCAGTTTACATATATTGGGGAATCGTAAGATCAGGGAACCAGTCTAGCTGGCTTGTACCCGTTCATAGGTGTGTAATCGATTGCAAACAAGTGCGATGGTCAACTGGGGCCAGTATTTGAAAAAAACCCAGTTTTTTCCAACGCTGATCGGCCGATCAGCGTTGGAAATTGATACAAAAATACCACTTTTCTTGAAAATGACAGTATACCAGGTGCCATGATTGTACAGGATGCTTTACACTGTCATTCACTTACAGTCCAGCAAGGTATTTCAAAATGATTTGGTAGTTTTATTTTTTGATGTTTGCAAATGTTGTATTTTCCCTTTAATCAACTTGTATTTTTACTTGGCATACGATTGATTTTGTGATCGGCTTATGATTGACTGTGATCAACCTGTTATTGACTTGTGATTGACTTGGGATTGTTTGTAATTGCCTTGCGATTGCATGTGATTGACTTGTGATCGCCTTGTGATTGACTTGATATTGACTTGTTATTGACTTGTTATTGACTTGTGATTTTTTACTTGTGATTGACTTGTGATTGACCTGTGACTAATTTAATTACAACACTGATTTGAACTGTTCATTCTTGACAGTTTTGGCTTCCAGACACTTTTGGCTACTCAGCCCAGCTGCCGCAGATCGTCCGAGAAGCAGGCATAGAGTATTTTGTCACTCAGAAACTCAGCTGGAGTCTCATCAACAAATTCCCAGTGAGTTTAAAATTCCCGGAATCTTGATCAATTCATCCCATTCTCCCTCATCGAAATGTCACAATTTTGTCTCTTGGTAGAAAACAGCCTTGACTCAGGAAGTTTTTTTATTTGTGCTGCATAAACCTACAGGGTCAGTCAAAAGAAAAAAAGAAACCCAAATGTCGGGACCATTGTTTTAGTGAAGTTCTGCATGTCAAGCACTTTCAGAATCTAGGGTTTAAAAGCCCAATTCATAAGCTTTCTTTTAGTACAAGAATCATTCAAATCACTCATGTCATTTTCAAGTTACGGAATTTTAAACACAACCACTGTTTTAAAGTTCTGTCCACGGTTCACAAAAAGGTAAGTGTTCTTTCAGCAAAACGAAAAAATATCACACAGGGATGCGTGTGAATTGTTCTAGTTTTGCTGAAAGAATGCACACATTTCTGGTGATCCGTGGACATAATTTTTAAATGGTGGTTGTGTTTAAAATTCTTGAAAAGTACATGAATGATTTGAATGATTCTTGTACTAACAGAAAGCTTATGAATCAATTTTTACTCACCCTGTATTACTTGCTATTGCAGTGTTTCATGGTCAGTGGGAGTTATAACATTGTTCAAAAGTTTGAGTGCAAACTCACAGATACACTTTTTTAATTTGTTTGTTTCTTTGTTTCTTTGTTTCTTTGTTTTGTCAGCATTCAACATTTTGGTGGGAGGGGATTGACGGGTCACGTTGCCTAACCCATTTCCCGCCAGCTGATGATTATGGAACATCTGCCAAAGTCGAAGACGTAAGTCAGTTATTCTTTATAGGTTGTTGGCCATCGTTGAACTTTTCGCCTTCGACCTCCTGCTTACAATACGAACACTGAGCTTGCGAGGGGGAAGTTAGCTGATTTGAATCAGAAATGACACCATGTTCTTCAACTGAACTACTTGTTTTCATTATTTTGTTAGATTTTGAAGACAGTGAAAGGTAACAAGGACAAGGGGCGTGTCAATCATTCCATACTTCTCTTCGGTCATGGGGACGGGGGAGGCGGACCAAGGTAAGAGAAAGGTGCCACAGCTATCAGTTTGCACTACATTTTTGGTCCAGCTAGTAAAAAAACATGAAACCCAAATGTCAGGACTATTGTTTTAGTGAAGTTCTGCATGTAGCACTTTCAAAATCTAGGATATGAAAGTCCAATTCATAAGCTTTCTTTTAGTACAAGAATCATTCAAATCTCTGTGCGTTCTATCAGCAAAACAAAAACAATTCACACACATCCCTATGTGATTTGTTTTTCGTATTGCTGAAAGAACACTTACCTTTTTTGTGATCTGTGGACAAAACTTTAAAACGGTGCTTGTGTTTAAAAGTCCGTAACTTGAAAAGTACATGAGTGAATTGAATGACTCTTGTACTAAAAAGAAAGCTTATGAATTGAGCTTTCATATCCTAGATTTTAAAGTGCTACATTCAAAATTTCACTAAAACCATGGTCCCGACATTTGGGTTTCATTTTTTTTTTACTTGCCCTGTATGTAACAATTCAGTCTTTGACAATGGATTACTAACCCCAGAAATATCATGACAGACTATTTACCCATCACCACTGAGGCTGCTTATAATCAGTGTTCGATGTAGAATTTTTGTCATCGTTCGTATAACTTGTTCCTGGAGGTATCACACCGGAACATCAGTTCTCAACCACTCCAATGTGGTGTCGTCAAGGTCGATCAGGCCAGCAGGTCCCTTGGGAGGGCCGAAGATTGGACACTCTCGTAGGATGTGCGTGGTCGTCTGTGGAGAATTTTGAAATAATGAGACAACGTTCTAAAGCACGGACACCGCTGCGTTCTTCGCCTCATTTTTCAGTACATGCCACGCACACCCATTTCCATATAAGGAGATTTTTAAGCAGTACGCGTGCGAGGCACATACCAGAGACATGGCCATGCAGAGTGGTCATGAGGGATGTTTCACAAAACGTGCAGATAATGGCCCTCACCTTTGGCTCGGGCCACTATCGGCACCCAGGCCCCTAGCCACTTTTAAACGTACTTGTCCAAAACTGGCCAAGCACATGTTTATTCCCTTATGAAAACATCATTAGGACGTTAATGCAGGATACTGTCGAATTTCTTACAGTGAAGAGATGCTAGCAAGACTGGAGAGAGTCAAAGAAGTTGATGGACTGCCAAGGTACAGTAGCAGTATTCTAAAATTCTTCATTAGATTTCATGAAAATGTGTGATGTCTGAAACTGAAATTATGTCAAAAGACGGACTTTTGCAGTCACTTTAAATGACTCTTGCAGTGTGGCCAATTGAAAATTATTACACAAAGTTTGCCTTTTTAAAATAAATGTATCTCAGGTCGACCTGAGACACTCCTCGTACTATTAGGTTTGCGCAACTCTGGATTGTCTGTGCAAAATGATGTAAAATTCCTCCAGACTGAGAAATTAGGGAGCATCTCAGTTGGAACGCTCGGAACGTTCTCATTGGAACGGCTTTTTGTAGCCCTTTACCTGAGTGCCTATCAGCCTTGTAAAAAAAAAAACCTTCCTCCTCGGCTTTCTCAACAAGTTTTTTTTTCTGGTTTTTTTTTTCATTTGCTAGAGTCAAGCAGTCAACACCCGTGGATTTCTTTGAGTCAGTGGTGAAGGAAGGAACAGACAATCTGTGTTCATGGGTCGGGGAGCTGTATCTGGAGTTGCATCAGGGCACATTCACTACACAGGCTAAGGTGGGTTCAAGCGCTTGGGAATAAAGACATAAAAGACTGTAAATATATAAATTATAGGCAAAGAATATAGAGGATGATAACTTGACTGTGTATGCGTATACAGGTTCGGCTGAAATAGAATTTATATCTTTTGAATAATGATTTTGAAAATGGTTTAGAATAAATAATTTTTGATTCAGTAGATCGGTGGATAATTTACCCCTTCAGCATTATCTGACTGAATTAATATCTTTAGAAAAACTCCACATTTGTTAATTATGATCTGGTGCTTCAATCGGTGAAATGCATGCTGGACAGTTGAACAGTAGAAACTCCATTACTTCAAGTTATTTGATCTGTTGAAATAAAATTCTGCTTTGAAACGGGCTGCAAGCTACCAATATCTGAATATGGAAGAACATCATAAAAACCAAAATTTTTTTACTATCTTCAAGCAAACTTGAATCCTGAATGCTGATTGGTCGATCCCCGGCAACAAACCGTGCTACATTATTGGCGGTCTACACCACACTATGCGGCATGCGCTATTCTAAGAATAGATGCCCGTGCCATTCCTGCGGAACGCTTGTGTAATAGGAACACCACTGTACAGCGCACGGTGCCTATTCTATCTCAACTTACAGCTTCAAGTTTGCTTGAAGATGAATTCTTTAGCCTTCAGCCATGAGGCATGTGGGACACAGACGCCGTATGTTATTCCATGTTCCACTATTGCTCGTGAGATAATGTAGTTTTTTTTTACACTTTGTGCATTGTTGTTAATAGTGGTTGGAAAAGTAACATTTTGATAGCCTTGTGCGAAGTTAAGTGTCCCATTTCAACTTTTTTATTTGTAAATTTTTGAATCATACATAATTATTTTGCAGCTCAAGAAATACAATCGAAAGTTGGAGTTCATGTTACGGAATGTGGAGCTGGTTCATTCGCTTGGACTGGCCATTCCTGGACTAAGAGGGCGCTATCCATCAGACCAGCTTGACCACATGTGGAAAGGATTGCTTCTGAACCAGTTTCATGACGTGTTACCGGGATCATGTATCAAGCAGGTAACAAATGTCGGAAACCAGAAGTGGCTTGTGAAGGATATAGGATCATTTACAAACACTCAAAATATGAGTATGCTCAATATTATGAAACCACTCACTTAATTGTACAGTAAATATAGGGTTTGCCAGCCAATTTCCTGAAATGTTCATTCACTTCTAAAAATCGGTCATTCCTTTTCATCTGAATTTGAATGTACATCTTTGATCCCATTTCAATTCAACGAAAGTTCAATCGTTTTCATTGTCCACAGCATTCGGTTTGGAGAAACAGACGGCCAGTTGCGTTCTCTGTGCATTCATTTACACAGCATACCTTGTCTAAATTGATTTCAGGTACAGCTAATTTTATTGACGGTTAATGAAAAAGAAACCCCTAATTGTATCTGGTGCTGATGGCATTAAACTAAAGGTGAAATAGAATGGTGAATATTTGAAATCGCCCTCTAAAAGTGAAAAAAAAGTCTCGTAAACAAATCTGAATGGACATACATGTAAACGAAGGTGCTGCTCAATTACTTAATTGATTGAACTGAAACAGAATCGAATGCTCTAGTAGCAAAAATGAAATGCGTGTTCATAGCCATTCTCAAATTTAGACGAAAATGAATGACCGATTTTCAGAAGTGAATGAACATTTTCGGACACTGGCCGGGAAAACCTATGATTGCATGAAATCCTGTAAATTCGTTGAGCCTGGTATGCTGTCATTTTCAAAAACAGAGGAATTTTGTATCAGTACTAATGATGGTTAGGACCTAACTATCGCTGAGCACAAACAGGTTTCTCAAATATGACATGCGACAGTGAGCCAGCTGTTGACTTCATGTGTATGCTTGGGTACGCTAGGTTTATGTACGTATTACTTTCCCACAGCAGAGCCGACACTCGGCAACTCCCTGTGACCTATGGGTTCTATGCACGACAGATTCCGTGAGCTGCACTTAAATTTGACGGTTGAAAATGAATAGCTTTTTTTTCCCGAGTTTTTTCCAGCACCAGTGGACACAAAACACTAAACAGCTCAGTTGGAGCGACGTCTGCTATAAATGAATAACCCTTAAATTGGTCCATTTCGTGAAACTACGAAAACTTCAAATGATCCTGTGTACCTTTAAAGGGAATATACATCATTTGCTTTTGCTGTAATTTTCAGAAATGGATGGAATTGGGGGGTTGGAAATATATAGTTAATACACTGACGTTTTTGAGGTTTTGGGTTCGAAAATGCTATAAAAACCAAGAAAAACAATCATTTTCCTGTAGTCTGGTTCCCTGACTCCATATAAGAAGAAACAGAGCAGTTTACATACATTGGGGAATTGTAAGGTCAGGGAACCAGTCTAGCTGGCTTGTACCCGTTCATAGGTGTGTAATCGATTGCAAACAAGTGCGATGGTCAATTGGGGCCAGTATTTGAAAAAAAAGCCAGTTTTTTCCAACGCTGGTCGGCCGACCAGCGTTGGAAATTGATTCAAAAATACCACTTTTCTTGAAAATGACAGTATACCAGGTGCCATGATTTTACAGGATGCTTTACACTGTCATTCACTAACAGTCCAGCAAGGTATTTCAAAATGATTTGGTAGTTTTATTTTTTGATGTTTGCAAATGTTGTATTTTCCCTTTAACTAACCCGGTTTGGTTATGGTATTGTGCCTCATTCTTGTGTGTGTGCTCAGCATACGTACTAGTACATGTGTCTATCTTTTCAAAACCTGAGCTTTGCCTCCTATTTTCACTTCAGGAGATTTTGGGGACTCCAGCTATTATTAGATTAACGTACATGTATTTCAATTTGCTTTGGATATTAAAGGCTTCTAATGCATCTTACATTTCAGGTTGTTGAGGATGCAGTCAAGATATATGAAGACATAGAGAACACTGCCTCCAAACTGCTCATGGACGGACTTCAAGCACTTTGTGCTGCCTCCCAAGAGGTTGGTGAGGTAGTTTTTTGTACAGGTTCAACGTCACTTGGTTTTACGGTCATTGACTGTAGTTGATAGGGGTAGGGCAGTTTCTTAGGGCATAAGTCAAAAATAAGGCCTATTGAAAAAAGTCAGGCTACAAGTCAATAACTATTCAATTAAACTGTAATACACTTACATGCATGTCTGTGTCATTGGTCATCTGATTATACTTGTAACCTTACCTGTGATTTGGCACATTCCCAAACTGAAAGAGAAGTTGGAAATGTTACATTTAGCCTTTCCAATGAATTGTAGTGGTTTGATATTGGAGTTCAAATTTTTTTTACCCGTTGCTCTCTGATTGAAGTGAGATTTTGTCGTCTTCTTTGCTGGGTCAAAAAATCTCACTTTTTAATTTTGTTTAATAGTGTGCCATTAATGAGAAGGATCAAAGGAATAATACACTACTAAGAATTTCTGAGTAACTATTCATAAAATAAACAATTGAGTTTTACTATGAAATCACAATTTCAACAGAAAGGCTACTATGTTTTTAATCCGGTCTCCTGGCAACGGGGTGAGGTCATCGCCCTAGCCCGGCAAGAAGACGAGGAAGGTCCAACTGAAGCCAAGGTGGCTAAAATCGACTCAGTGATCAAGGACTGTGAAGGGAAGACTCTAGGTAAGTGCCCCCCCCCCCCCAAAAAAAAAGATTAAAATGAAAATTGCTTTGTGAGAGATTTTCTCATGAAATGAGAGTTGTATTTTGTAGTAATGCATTCAAAAGTCTCCCATCAGTTTGTTTTCATACATTTTTGGCCAAAAATTAACAAAAAAGGATTAAAACAACCCAATATTATGCTTTTTAAAATGGCCGCCATTGAGATGGGGGTCATATTTGGATCTTTTTTTCAAATTGTTTTATTGCCTAACTCACAAGCTTTCAGATGGTATATAAATTACCCAGATATTATAAAGAATACTACTAAAAAGAGTGCAAGAATTTAACTTAGTCAAAAAACCTCCAAATTAGGGCTGAGTTCATAGGGTTAAACAGCCATAACTTGTCAATGGAATGTCTTATTGAAATGCAACAAACAATCTTGTCAGGAAAATTTTATTCTCTTTCCTAATACCCACCAAGCCTCATATCCACCTCTGTCCAGTTCTGTCTCATGTGGCCAGAATGCTGCACATCTTAGAAGGCATAAGTTGTGGCGTACAACTTTAAAAATGGGACCAAGTTTACAAACCTTGCCCTTTCTAAGTTAAGGTTTCTCATCCTTTTTTCCCCTCAGTTCTGGTGGATGTACTACCAATGAGCCTCATGTCAGTGCGCGAATCGTCAGCAAGTGTTATTCCAGTGCAAGTCATACAGAGCGAGGGCTCCATTCTGCTAGAGAATGAGCATCTTGTGGCATCGATAGACGGGCTTGGACGAGTGCAGAGTTTATGGCATAGGGAGGCAGAAAGGTGAGTTTCAACAACTTGAAACCAGTTGAAATGAGTGGATACCAGCTGAAACCATTTGAAGCCAGTAGAACCAGTTGAAACCAGTTGAAACCAGAATAACCAGTTAAAACCAGTTGAAACCAGAATAACCAGTTGAACCAGTTGAAACCAGAATAACCAATTGAAACCAGTTAAACCAGAATAACCAGTTGAAACTAGTTGAAACTAGAATAACCAGTTGAAACCAGTTGATACCAGTTGAAACCAGTATATAACCAGTTATAAACCAGTTGCAATCAGTTGAGAACCCTTTAAAATAGGCCAAGTTCGCGCAAGGACTATAGTTAACCATAGTTCGACTAACGCTTGCCCGAACTCTGTCTAGTCGACGGTGGTTGACTACGCTAGTCGACTATTTGGAACCAGCCTACTGGGGTTGGTTGCTTCGCTGGTAACCACTAGCCGCGCGCATTCATAACGCTAGCAGAGAGCCAGGATCCAGAAGTTTTGCGATGACATTTTGACTAGCGTTTGACTAGAGACGTTCGCACGTTGCTATCAGTGCGCAGGCGTAAGGTATGTCACAAATCAACCACTAGTCGACTAATGGTCCTTGCCCGAACTTGGCCATAGTTAAAACAAGTTGAAAGTATATAAGCACAATTCACAAGCAATATAAATTGATGACGTCCTGCAAACAGAGGATTTCCTGCCTATTTTCAAAAAAAGAAAATTGCGGACAGCATTTCTGGCACTGTATGCTTTGCATTTTTACATAACTTTTCTTGCAAAAAAGTCAGAGCCCACCTAGAATTATACTCCTGACGATACATCTGGTAATTCAGCTAAGCAACTTTCTACCCTTAGTATATTTGCATACTTAGCAGCTTCGTAAAATTTGCCAGCCAATGTCTTGTAGCAGAAACAGATTATTGATACGTTAGTTATTAGTCATACGTTAGTTATTTTTACATGGTCACCATCTTATGTAAATGTGCTGACCTTTTCTCTTTTTTTATTTATTCTTTTCCTAGGGATGCCTTCAAAACCTGTGACCAGGGCAGTTTCTATGGCAACCAGTTTGTCCTCTTTGATGACATTCCACTGTTCTGGGATGCTTGGGACGTAATGGATTACCATTTGGAAACCAGGTGATGTGTTCAAAAGAAGAAAAAAAAGGTCCTCTACAAAAACATTCCTTCACTTAAAATAAAGGAATGTATTTTCCATTGCCTGTTTAAATTGCAGGCGTGCAAAATAAGCTACATAGCACTGCTAGGTTTTCAGAGGGTGGTAGAGGTCTTAACATCCAGTCTTCCTCAAACTCTTGTCTTGATACTTCTGATTTCTTACAAAAACAAAGGTTTCTTACATCATATACCTCATTCGTTTCTTCTGTCCTTGACAGCGTTTAGACTTTTTCACTTTTCGTTTCTCTTTTTCACGTTTCACTTTTTATTTTCTCCACCCTCAGACAACCAATCACCAAAGCGGTCACCTCTGCGCAGATCCTAGATAACAACCAACTGCGATGCTCGATACAGACCAAGCTATTCATCAGTGACAAAAGCTGGATAGAACAAGTGATCTCATTGGACAGCGGGTGTCCATACCTCAAGTTCTCCACAAAGGTAGGCAAACAACTAAAATATCTTCTTTTTTTCTCTTTTTTTTCGTCATTTAGCCACACTGAAATGCAGTTAGTATATTATGTCAAATTTTCTTCATTGAGTTTGTAATTTTGATTTTTAAACTTTGATTCAAGGTTGAATGGCATGAGAACCATAAGTTTTTGAAAGTTGAGTTTCCTCTGAATGTGCGGTCATCCAACGCAACGTACGACATTCAGTTTGGTCACCTGCAGCGCCCTACACACCTCAATACATCCTGGGACTCGGCAAAGTATGAGGTGGGTTTTCCCAACCTTAGTGTTTTAAGTATGATTTGAAGTTTCGCATGGTGAAATATAAAATGGGAATAAGATTTACGGATGACACCCTGTGATCGTCTGACTTCTTAAAGCTATAGTCCATCATTTGCAGCTATCCGAAAAGTAACTGGCGTAATTATTGTTGAAAAGCATACTTGGTTGAAAGATAGTAAGGGGACTAAACTCCCTGTGAAATGATTCTTTCTGGCAAGCTGTCATTTTGAAGTAATTAACAAAAGAAGGCCTTTCCAACGGTGCGTCTTAAGACGCACCGTAGGAAAATTTAAATTAGTAGTTCGTTTTGTTATTCAGCGAAGCGCGCACAAGCACTTGCACGACACACACGCATGCGTCGTTGCTATAATTCGTTGGATCAGTGCGCGACATCGCGTAGCTGCAATCGGCTCAGTGAGAACGTTTCTCGGACGCTGAATTCAGGCCCAATTCAAAACATGATTCAGCAACTTTTGATTTGAAATTGAGATCCTAGAATGTTGTTTTTCTTGAAATATACAGCTAAAGCTGAGCTGAAACTTCATCAGGTTAGTTGTTCAGCACCCTTCTTTAGATTTTGGGCACTTTTGTTGCTTCAAACGAACAAAATGCACAAATTACAAATGATGGACTTTAATCTAAGAGACTCTTCAATGAAAGGTTGGCTTTTAAATTTGAGAATATTCCAGTGGGCAGACAGAGCATATTTTCCAAAACATAAAAGGTAGAGTGGACCATCTGCAGCTATCCCAAAAAGTAGCCAACCAAATTGTTCTTAAACGGCTTACTTTGTTTAAAGATAGTAATGACCTGTGAAATTATTCCTTATGGCATGCTGCCATTTAGAAGTAAGCAATAAAAGAAGGTCATTTCCAAAGAAGTGACATTTTTGGAAATTTCTGTTTGTAGTTGGTTTGTAATTGGGCGAATCCGTGAATGGGTGCGATCAAGCGTTGACACGGCGCACACACACACACTTTGTTGCTATTATTCATTGGTTCAGTGTGTTACATCGCATAGCTGCAATTGGCTGAATAAGAATGTGTCCCGGATGCTGATTTCGGGCCAATTCAAAACATGACCCGGCAACTTTTGAATTGAAATCAAGATCTTGGAATATTGTTTTCTCCAAATGTACAGCATTCATAGAGCTGAAACTTCATCAGGTTAGTTGTTAAGCACCCTTCTTTAGATTTTGAGCACTTTTGTTGCTTCAAACGAAACAAATGACAACTGGTTCATTCTACCTTTGACTAAAAAATATCACAATGAGTTCTTTCAGATACAGGTCTTGACATGGTGTAATTTGCAAACCTTATTCGAGACAACGTAAGGTGACTAACTTAACTTCAGGATGAGATCCATAGAACATATTGTGAGAGGAGTAAACCTTTGCGTTGAAAGTAACTGTTTAACACAAATTGCCACTTCAAAACTTTAGCCAATTAAACTTCTAATGGGATTCTTCTGTGTCTTTACGTAGGTTGCCCCCTGTTGGCAAAAATGCAAGTGTTGTCAAATCACATCAGTTTATAAACTTAGATAAGGCCAAAAAAAAAAATATTCGGTCTCTGGTCAGACCAAAGTTCCGGAATTGACGCGCCCACGCGGCTTTTTTTTTTTTTTTTTTTTTTTTTTTTTTTTTTCTTCAAGCTTGGATTGTTCAAACAAGGTGGGTACTATTTTGCTTTTTTGGTGTCCTCATGTACATTGGTGTCCTCCATAATTTGCCTTGGTGCTTTCGATCATTTGCCTTGGTGCAATTTCCCATTCCTTGGTGCTCCTTGATAAAAAAATTGAGGAGGTGCGGAAATAGGGGGCGCTGTTGGAGCTACCGCGGAACATTTTGGAAAAAAAAAGATCGACGCGCATGATTAAAATCGACGCGCGCGCTGACCAGAGACCGACTTATTTTTTTTTTGGCCTAAGCCTTATGTTTTGATAACGGCCTAATTTTTGTTTTTTTGAAAAGCAAAGTAACTTCACTTTGAGAGTAAACTCTTTGATTCTTTATATCCCTGTCTTCTCCTTTTGTGTACTTTCTCCAAGGTGGTGGGCCATAAATGGGCCGATATGTCAGAGCATGGGTTTGGAGTTGCTCTACTCAACGATTGCAAGTATGGTCACAGTTGCCATGGTAACATCATGAGGTTATCCCTGTAAGTGGTTTTAATCTTCACCAACTTCATGTCATGAACATCTTCATCCCTTAAAAATTTGTTAAAGAGCCATCTTCCCTTGAAATTACTGTTAACTTAATTTTCACGGATTTTTCAACATATTAAGCAAGATTAGGAGTCCGTGAAAACACCCTTAAGAAGGTCCTTTGTTTACCCATGGAGATAGACCCAGTGTACCGTTATAAATAACCAATGATAATCCTCAGTAGCCAGGGTCATTAAAAAAAAAACGTGAAAATACCCTTACAGGATTAGTCCTATATAAGCCCCATGTGAATGTCCGTGAAACATCTCTTAAAGATTCTTTTCACGGAGAAATTGACTTTTAATGAATTTTCAATTTTTAAAGTTGATGATATCTGATAGCTTGTGAGAAAACTTCATAAGGTTTACTTGGGCGAGACTGGAAGCCAGGACCCAGGTTACAAGGGCACACATTCTATCACTCACCCACCAAGCTTGCTGGTTCAAGTTTTCCGGTTCAAATTGGATATGTAGCAGCCACTGATCTCTATATAAAGACTGGATAGCGGATAAAGAGCCGCACAATGAATGAATTTGACGCCATATTGGTGAGACCGGTGAGACGGGCTGTGGTGATCTACAAAGGACAAGTTGCCGTCTTTATAGGCATCATGAATGCTTTTGTAATATCGCAGTTCACTTGATTTATATTTTGACCACCAACACTGACCACGGTTTACAATTTTTCTAACGTTGTGGTTTACTTTTTTTAATGTCGCAGTTACTTTTTCGGCGTTTGGGAAATAATAATCACTGCGGAAATGTGTCCTTTTTATAACATCATAATACGTGTACGTGACCAAAATGCACGTCAACTCTTCATACAGCGCGCGCGATATATACGCGTAGAACATTTGTAATATACGCGGCCATCTTCGTGAGACCGGGGGTGAATTGGTCAATATGCAAAGTCTACTGTGTGACTGGTGTATGGATATCCGCTATCCAGTCTTAGATCAGTGGTAGCAGCCTGTACTGTAATCACGGACTTTTGCCACAGATTTTCATATTGGCTGATACACACAATATCAAAATTTAATGCTAGAGAAGATCATTTGCAGTTATCCAAAAGTAACTGACCAGATTATTGCTAAAAAGCGTAGTTGGCTTAAAGATGTTATGGCACTAAACTCCCTGTGAAATTATTCCTTCTGGCATGCTGTCATTTTGAAGAAAATGATATCAGAAGGTCATTCCAAAGATGCGACAAGTGACACATTTTTTTGAAATTTCCGTTAGTAGCTGGTTTGTAATTGGGTGAATCGGTGAATGGGTGTGCACAAGCATTGACAGGAAGCACGCTCGCGCGGTTGCTATAATTTCGTTGGTTCAGTGCATGACATCATGTAGCTGCAATTAGCTGAATGAGAATATGTTCTGTATGCTGATTTCGGGCGCAATTCAAAATATGCCTTGGCAACTTTTAAATTGAAATCAAGATCCTAGAGTATTGTTTTCTTGGAATACACAGCATTCACAGAGCTAAAACTTCATCAGGTTATTTGTTAAGCACCTTTCTTTAGATTTTGAGTGCTTTTGTTGCTACAAACGAAACAAATGCACAAATGATAAATGATCTACTCTACCCTTAAATTACCCTTACGCAATTTCATTAAAAAGGTCACAGATGGCTAAAATAGTTACATGACCTTTTGGTTTATTTTTTTTAAATTAGGCATGTAAAACACAGTCTTTTTTTATTTGACTTGTGGCTCTCGTAATATTTTCCTCTGCAGGTAATTAGATTCTATCAGTTCTTTAGATCTGTTTGTTTGTTAGGTTGTTTGTTTATTTTTTAAATTTTATTTCAGACTGAGATCGCCGAAGAGTCCTGATCCAACAGCAGACATGGGGCAACATGAATTCACCTATGCCATCATGCCACATACGGGTAAAAAAAAAAAGAAACTTATACTGATGATAAAAATGATCTCCAAACAATCTTGAATTCTCAGTGCTTCTCTAAAGCCCGGTTCATACTCTGCGCGAAAGCGAACGCGAATTTGTGACGTCGTGGCAAGTATTTGCGCTGCGAATTCGTAAAAGTTGAACATATTTCAACTCGGGCGAATTTCGCAACGAATGTTTTATGACGTCAAATTCGCTTAGCATTCGCTTTTGCATGAAGTATGAACCGGGCTTTAGTCAAACGTCATCACAAAGCTTATGTTAATTTGTTCCCTGCTGACAAACTGTTGATACTGTATAAGACTTGTTCATGTTAACTCCATAACTAGTGGCTTCTCTTTGACAGTGTAATTAGTAAGTTTCAAATCGAGGCACTATTACTATTATTATTTTTATTAATCATTTCTGGTAATGAAACCAAGGATTCCTCAAAAGCACCCTAGGCACTGTAGCTCGCAAGCTTGAAGAAATCTGTGGAGAGAAGACAATTAGAAGAAATTACAGTTTTAGAGGTGGGAGGAAAATCCCAGTAGAAAATTCTTGGGAAAACCCACGAAATCATGTAGGGACTGAAAACCTAATCCACATATTGGCCCAGGCAGGATTCGAACCCGGGTCACAGCGGTGGAAGGCGGGGAAAGTACCGCTACGCCAACCTGACTCCCCATGACATATCTCAGTCTTTAGCCATTACTCTAAAGTTGTCTAAATTCCCATTGATCATGCACTACACAAGTTATTCACATTTGATTCAAAAATCGAAATAAAAAAATTATCCACCCCAATCCTGTTTTTAAATTGTGGCCCTACAACAATTCAGGCTGATCCACATTAAAAGCCCTTTTATCTCAGCTTGATTACAGTTGCCAAAATTTGTGTTTGTTTTTGTTTTTGTTATTAAAATAAAATATTGACACTGAAAAATCAAAGAAAGATAAGCTTGATTTCATTACATTTTCTTTTCATTTTGATCTTGTCACATCGCAGGCAGTTTTCAGGAGAGTGGAGTGATCCAACAAGCATATAATCTCAACAACCCGTTGGTCGTCTTCCCTGGTTCCCTGCCACATCAAGGCGGTTCGTACTTCAAAGTGGATAATCCAGCTGTTGTGATAGAAACAGTCAAGAAGGTTCGCTTTTTGCTCTTTGTTTTGTTAATTTAAATAAAAATAAAAGATGCGATTTTGATGTAAACAGTTCCATACTTTGTTTTTTTTTCACTGCAGGCAGAGGATAATGACAATGTTGTAGTGATGCGACTGTACGAAGCGTTTGGTGGACAGGCCAAAGCCACAATCCAGAGTAGCCTACATATCAGCAGAGCCGTGAGGTAAGATGAACTACCTACTCATTCAAAAAGTATGCTACTCATTGAAAAAATATGTGAACTTTAAAGGTACAGTCCATCTTTTGTAATTTGTGCATTTTGTTCGTTTGAAGCTACAAAAGTGCTCAAAATCTAAAGAAGGGTGCTGAACAACTAATCTGATGAAGTTTCAGCTCAGCTTCAGCTGTATATCTTGAGAAAAATGACATTCTAGGATCTCGATTTCAAATCAAAAGTTGCTGGATCATGTTTTGAATTGGGCCTGAATTCAGTGTCTAAGACACGTTCTCACTGAGCTGATTACAGCTATGCGATGTCGCGCACTGATCCGATGAATAATAGCAACGGCGCACGCGTGTGTCATGTCAATGCTTGTGCGCGCTTCGCCGAATAAAAAAAAAAGAACTACTGACGGAAATTGCAACGATGCTTCTTTATGTGCATGAATATACTCGGTGTTGTCTGAGGCCTTACGAGACAGAAATCACAAGCTTACTCAGGTACTTGAACCCATGACCTCCCGCTTACTAGTACAGATGTCTTACCACTCGACCGCCGAGCTTGCCGGGGTTGGCTGGCTGGCTCGAATCTAATACAGCAGCGTGTCACTATTTATAAGCACTAGCAAGCAGGTCGTGTGTTTGAGTCCCATCAGAGTAAGCTTGTGGTTTCTTAGGAGGGGTGAGGGAGGGGACATCAAGTACACAGTGTTTATAGAATTACTCGGTGAAGGGCCAAACCCAATATTGAATTTCCATCTTACATTTGAACTGTTCTCAACTTTTGTTCTTGTGTGCATGCAGATGCAACATTCTTGAGGAGCCCACACCCAACAATGCCCTCAATGGGAACGAGATCAAGTGGGTGGGTAGGTCAGTTCAACTCCATCTCAAGCCTTTTCAGATCGTCTCCCTGCTTTTGTTTTTAGAGTAGGTGTGTTTTCACATCTTTTAAGGTGAACTTGAGACCAGAGGAGTTGACAGTGTGCGGTCTCCAGCCAGATCATTGAGATTCAAATGTTGAATATAATAGGAGAGTCAGTAGGATTAAAGCATCTTGAATAATATGCAGTTTTTTTTCGGTGACAGATGGGTTGCGAGCTTTGGTGTACACAAATGCTTAATTGTCAATTGCGAATGACAATTAAACAAAATGGCAGCTGACTTTTCATTGCGAATGAATTTGATAGTTTGAATTATGGTGGACAAATTGATGGATTAACTGATTTATAATGATTGACTTTACATTTTCTAACGAAAAATTATTTCTTATAAAAGCAAATTTTTATTCAAAGTATTGCACACAATTGTAAAAATTGATTGAGAATAGCCTTTTGTTTTCATTTTCTTTCACACATTTAATTTTTGCATACTTATAAATCAAACATATATGTATTTTCAATCTTGACGTCAAAAATGATAGTAAACACAATTATGTTACATGAACTGTTAGGTACAGAAACATATAAGTAAGGAGTGAACTTCTTCTTTCGTATGGCGTGCACAGCCTACAGCTGTGACAAAGTGACATTATATGTATTTGGTTCCAAAAACTATGCGGCTGCAGACTTTGTTTCGATTTGATGCAAGTTTTGTTTTTAGTTTGTAAAGGCAAAAATCACTTGTAAAGTGAAATTGAAGGATTGCCTCACTTTGCAGTGTCGGCGGCTTCACCACCTTTTAGGGGTGATCATCTTTGGATGGAAGTTTCTCCAAAAAGTCATTGGATACCCCCCCCCCCCCCGAAAACAGAAAATGAAAGATGACGATATAGGCCTAAGCTTTAATTTGATGGGTGTCTCAAACACCTTGGAGAGTTGTGAGTATTTTTCCTGATCTTGAGAAGTGGGGGTATTTATCATCGAGGTCGATGACACTTTGTTTGCTGGTCTGCAACCCGAAGACTTGGTTTTGAGCCAGCTTAGTCTGGTGACCATTTAGTGGTCAAGCATCCTGCATCCTAGCCTCACTTCTCACGCTTAGCTGGTCATGTTCATTCTGTACTCCACACACAGGACCTTGTTGTCGTTCGCATCTGTAACGTCAGCTATCATGCGGTATTTTCCCTGTACAAATGAGTAAAGATAAAATAAGTTTATATCTATTTTGTATGGAAAAAACTGATGTTGTAAGAATGGAGCAGGTCACAAAATAAATCTTAAAAGAAAAGACCAAATTGAGTCAGTTTAAGTTACTTTAGTTTACTAATTGTGTGAATTTGTGTTGGAGGGGCTTTTGAATTCGGGGAGCTCAGTCAACCCCTAAAAAAAAATTAAAATATAAATAGATTAAATTTCACTGGAAATCTTTTCATGTATCTGGTCTACACAATGGGTCGGATTTAGCCAATTCTTACGGGGTAACGATAGCTCTGCCCGGCTCAGGGGAGTCAGTCATCAGTCGGGGAGTCAGTCAGTCAGTCAGTCTGTGAGATAGGTATGAAGAGGACACAAGGCTTGCCCTCGAGGACCGACAAACAATTGTTCATCATCACATTCTTTTTTTCTCTTCTGAAGACTATCAGAGCATACTGAACTAAACGTCGAGTTTGACAACCAACCGGTTCTTTTGAGAACTCGAACCACACATCTTCTCAAAAGAAATTCTTGCACATGGTGTTACCGGAAACCCTCTCTGACTTCCTATTGGGCTCCCTTCCTGTCCATACTTGGAGACCCTGGGTTTCTTTACCAGAAATAATCAAATTAAACAATTTATAAACTTACGGTTAGAAAAGTCGTCATGATAGTGGGTAGACCTGTGGTATCAAGGAATATACGAATTGGCTCTGTGCTAGCGGTGCGGTAGCTGGATCCAGCCGGGGCGAACGGGCAGTGACACGGCAGTCCATTGTCCGTAAACTCGCTGGGGCAGCCATAGCGTGATTCCAGATACTCCAACGATGAACATACATCATATTGACTGGGGGAATGAAGTTGGCGTCAGAATGCTTAAATGCTGAACAGGTAAATTTGAGATAAATCTGATCCAAGCTAATTTGAAGGGCAACTTAGACCCAGTAACTGAGACGCTATAGAACTCATTTGTTTTTGTTTTTTTCAGTAGGCCCTATAGTATCGAATTTTGAGTTTGGTCGGCTAGTAGAAGTATGACCGACCAAAGTCAAAATTCGAAACTAGCGCCCCAGTTACCGGGTCTAAAAAAAAGGCAACGCTGCATGCTTCACGTGGCCTCATTTCCGATTCTTTCTAAGTTCTTGTGTCTATATTCTGTTTAAAAAAGTTCAAATTAATATGTGTCCCCCGCTGTAACGAATTATTAAGCGAACTTTAGTAACTATATAATGTCAATACGCAGGTACTGGCAAATAACGCAATTGTTGTAGACTTGTTTCTCAAACAGAAAGTTCAGTCAGGGTTCAACACCCGACAGTTTATTAATCAAGCAATTAGACCAAAGCTTGCTCTGATATTTTGTTATTGGAGATGATCTTACCAGCTTCCAACGGGTAGCCCACCGAGCATAGAAAAACACGGAATCCTCATCTCCCAATCGAAGAACGTCACCTTCTTTATTGTCAGGGTCAATGTCAGGGGATAAGTGACATTTCTGGTGACCTCGGAACTGAGGCTCATGTACGCGTTATCGTTCAGTGTGACAGGGTCGGGGGAGATGTTGAAATCTCGAACTTGAAGTGCTGCATCGTCAGCTGGAACAAGAAAAACAAGGTCATCAAGGTGTCAATGAACTTGAGTATGTGTTTGAGTAAGTGACATCCACAAACTTTGTTTCTTTATCTTCGTCTCCAGCTTAAAACTCATAGTAAAAAACTGCTACGTTCAAACCCATTGAAAATACACCAACCATTGGCCCATTTGGTGACATAATTTGGTGTCTCTTTAAGTGGAAAATGTACCAGAATTATACCTGTGTGTGTCAGGTCAGGCGACCAAAAAATCATGAAGCTGGAGTCTGGAACCGATTCACGGAGACGAAGCCAAGATTTCGTAAACAGTGTCAAACTTTTTCTCGCATTATTATGGTGCGCGATATCTAGTTGGATTAGTTTTAGTCGTAAAACAATGGTACCAAAATTTACGCCATAGTGGTCACGCAAAAAAGCGCGGAACTCAATGCTGTTGTTCTGCTCATAATCGATATCTTTCGATAAGATTGGAAGGTTAATTCAAGTCGTAACATTGATGGAAAGATTACGCAGTAAAATCTTTTGGTAAATCAATTTGCAGTCGTGTGTGGGCCACGTATCGATAAGAGCTCTATCTAATATCAGTCTGTTGGTCGGTTCATGGTCGGTTCATAGTTGAATTACGTATAGAAGGTCTATAGGGTCAAGGACAACTTTGTATGATGAAATCTCGAAGTTTCGAACAGATTATACTCGGAAATCAAAAGACGAAAAAACTGACCAATTTCGTTGATAACCAAACCAACATTTACCCTAACTGTTTGAACGATATCCAATTTCAAGGTAAACAATCGTAAAGTTAAAACTGGTTAATGCGATTTTGGCATCAATCTGAAATGAGTTTTAATAGAACGTGCACAAGCGTAAGTTTGTACGATATATATGAAAGCCCATCAACCATACGCGTTCCTCCGATCCTATACCCTCATCGATCATACGGGTGAAGTTATCAACCATGCATATCTAGGACAAACGTGTATGTTTGATGGGGAGAATAATGAATTATATACATATCTGTAAAATTTACCCCCTTGCTCTTAAAGAGGAATTTTGATTAAAAAAAATATACACTATAGAGGAATTTCAACATGGAACTGAATGAAATCGAGAGCCTCAGTGATGTCTTTCGTTGAGAGGATTTTTTTTAAAGGTCCTCAATTAACACAGTGACCACCACTGACAGCCTCGGTTTCAATGCTCATTTTAAATTATTCGTCCATTCCAGGTCACTTACCCGTTGAAGGACATTGCTGCCACGAAAAATAAGCGCCTTCGCTTCCAGAAATGACAAGGAGCGCTAGGAAAGCCGTCACTGCGAAAGAGTCCATCTTCAGATCAAAATCCCACCGACTCACTGCGGTCCGTACTACAAAGTAACTGCCCAAGTTGCAAACTGAATCGTCTGTGGGAACGCGACGTGCTTATATAGGCGTTCTGTAAGGCAAATTATTTTTTAACGCAATGACTAAATAAACTTGTTGCATAAGCGATACAGAATTGGGTTCATATCAAATTTAATATGAGAATGTTACGCAATGGTTATTTACAACTTAAGGACATGTTTGTGCAAATCATTGTATGTTTTTCAGATTATTGCAAATTTCGATCCCCCCCCCCCGTGACGGTCATTTGCTACGATTTGTTCAAAGAAGAAAACGTATATACATATAATCGTCAACTCCTCTTGAAGAGCATAGAGGAATAAGAACGGAAGTCCTCCATAGTTTATTTAAAGGGCAAACTGCCGAACAATTCTTATATCTTTAGAGACAGTGGGAAACACCACAACTTGTGCATCCCGTGTATTGTGGATTTCTCCCTCGAATGACTGAGGATGGTACTACCTTCAGTTCTGAGGGAAAAGCTAGTTTCGTTTGTCTTCGTGCGTGTAACTCGTCTGACTTTCTTTGGAGGTCCCTCTGTACTGGTTTCTACTGCATTTTGGAGTCAGGTAGTCCGGAGTCAGGTAGTCCGTTGGTAATTCAATTTATTATTTAATAATTAAATTTATTATTTTATACAATATCATGAGTTATTGTAGTCTTGTACCAAGCCTGGAGTTTGGGGTATTATTCCCCCTTAATCTGCTCAAAGCCAACGCGAGGCCACTAATCAACAAACTGAATCCAAACCAGTCCTGGGAACTTTGGCAGTGCTACTCAGGAAATATTGAGCACACCTCACGCGCGTGGATTATCTTGAACTTAATACAGAGCCCATTCAATCATGGAGCTACAATTTGAACATTATGCCATTATGTTGGACCTTGACCACCAGTCTTCCTATCGCAGGTTATCAACTTAAATTCATTATCGCAACGTGTGCGGGGGGGGGGGCGTTTGCCCCCCCCCCAGACTTTCCCAAGTGCCCCTTTTGCGGCCATAAATGTGCCCCCTCGATCATTAAAGTGTTCCCTCAAGATAAAGAAAAAATGCCCTTTAAGTATCTTACTATTTCTTAGAATTAACAATTTCCCAATAATGGTAGAGATATTTTTGATATAAACGAGGAATATGAAAACCAAGTCCCAAAACCCATATAAGACGCCCTGAAAATGGGCACATAATGTATGTTTAGCATATAATCATTGGTTTTGAAGAGCGCCCCCTATGTTGGAAGATGGAACTCCTCCCATGTTATGGAGTCTCAGATGTTGGTGATACTGTTTTCATACTCAATGCAGCCTACGATGCCGGTACTATCGGAAAGACGTACTGTCGTGCGGTAATCGCCCTGCCAAGAAAAACAAAACAGAATATAAAAAAACCGGACAGAATTTGATATAAATTGATCTCTTTTTTATTGGAAAAATTAAGAATGACATTCATTTAAAAAAGGGGGATGCTAAACGCTTCCGATGATGCAAGAACTTGTTTGTGAACACAATTCAATTAAACATGAAGGGAACAGTTCAGCTTAACCTTCAAAATCTCCAGGTTTCTGCCGGATATTAAATCAGTATAAACATTTTAATGCGCATTGCCTTTCTCTTATCTTCCAGATTTTGTTCTTAACATGTGATTCATAGATAGTGAGGTTATCTTTAAATGAGTATAACAAGCCGACCAAGGGCATGCAGTGCAAACCAGTTGGGGCTGTACATCGGTACCAGGTAAACCCGAGTACGCGACCGCTGACGCCAGGAACCGGTTCCAGATTATGGGATCGGGTACCCGTAACCAACTTTCCAAATTACTTAGTAACTTCCCAGACAATGAAAAAGAAAGGTTTCGGATGTCATTGGTGGGGAATTTTCAAAATGAAAACCAGGCTACATGGGAAAACAAAACATATTTCCCATTTATGACGCTCGCGAAAGGTCAGTGTAGTTTACACCGTAAAGCTACAAAGCTCACAGACTGAACACACTTCTTGCTGTAGTGTTTGACCCACTAAATGGATAGTATAGTATTATCGTACTGACCTTTATGAACAATCGGAACAACAACTTCCGAGATTTGAATTTTGGGGTTGGGTTTCTTTAATGACTACCTGGGTACCCGTGTATTTTTCAATCGGGTACCCGCTTCCAGTATACTTTACTCGTAAATACACTGAGCCCTAAACTAGTGGATAAATACAAGTCATGTATTAAATTTAGACATCGAAATCCTCCCTTAATACACGAAGGGACTAAATTCAGAATTTCTTCTGCCGAAACTAAATCTATATAATATCCGTGCTGCATTCAAGAAAGTTTCTCTACGAGTTCTATTCAGTAATTGAGTATAATGGATGTTCATTGGACATCATGATGCGTCTGTTCTACAATGGGCTGGATTTAGCCCAATCATTTGGCGTGTGACGGGTAATTCTATTAGATAGCACTGCCCGGCTCACAAGTGACAGACAGTCAGTCGGTCGGTCCCCATGGAGAAAAAAATAGTTGGTCAGTCGGTAAGTTATTTTATGTGGATAGCAGAATCACTGCTTTTAAGCATTACTTTTGTTTATTGAACTTACGTTGAGGAACATGTTGGGTACCAGTGGCACACTTGAAGTGTCGAGGTAGACAGGAATTCGAGGACGCACCAAGGAACTGTACACGCCGGCACGGAAGGGGCATGTACACGGTATACCATTGTCGGTGTATTCGGCCGGGCAACCGTACAACTGGTAGAAGTGGTCGCACATTTCGCATACTTCGTAGGTGCTAGACACGAACAGCAAAAGAAAATAGAGGGGTAAGATAGCAGAAAATCGTTACAATGCATTGCCATTGATTATGCTAAAAAATTAGGATACTTTGTTGATACTGAGTCGACTTGCGAATGTCTACATCACAGAATGTGTTTCGATTTTCTCAGTATGCAGTAACGATAACTCATTGTTATTCAAATATCAATAATTTTCGAAATGATTACACCACCTTAATTCTCAGCCCGATCCCCGCCCCACCTCCACCCCCCCCCCCCCCCCAAAAAAAATAGAAGAAGAAGTATATCAGTGAAAGTGCAAGAGGTAAATCCAGTTAGTTTGACATGTATCTTGAACCCTTTCGACAACGTTGTGAGTATTTCCCCAGAATTTGGAAGTTAGGGCCGGTATTTTTATATCATCGGTGTCCATGGAAATAAATGTACGGGTCGGCACCCAGAGCTTCAATTATTTTACATTTCGTCCACAATTTTCTTGAGAACAACTAAAGTTACCAGCTGCCTATTCCGTAGTCTCCGAGCCACGACATACACGGCACTGAAATCTCCGTCTTGTAAAGCCAGAAAAGGTGAACAATCTTGTTGATTTCTAGGGACATGGTTAGCGGCGCCGTCAGGTTGCGAGTGATCCCGGCCTCGAAGTCCGCGTAAGCGAAGGCATCGGTCTGGATCGGGTCCGGAGTTAGGGACAGTTGGAGGACATTGAGTGCTGACCCGGCGGGACTGTCTGTAGAAAATTGAAAGACCATAATACAGCAAGGGTTTATGTATGTTTGATATTCTGACTGACACCAGAGTTTGGACTGTAGGAAGGAAAGCAAATATTGATTACTCATGCATCTATCAGAAAATGTTCAATAATAGCCAGGCACTGACTGAGGAAATTACAGAATTCGAATTAAATCATTTTCCAAGAAATTGAGTTATTTCTTTTAGAATGTATTAATGCACAACAGTGTGGATGTAAGTGGGTTAAGTTATTAGAAGCACACCGTCCGCGCTTTCTAAAAGCTTTTTATATTCAATTTCTAGTCGATAATCCCATCATAATATTTTCGAAATCGTCTACACCTTAGAATATTGAAGATTCGTGTTAAAAGATTATGATTGATGGTCATATTGTGGTTGGAAATTTATACATCATGCCTTTTCGTGGTGATCGCTAAAAAACAACAACCAAAAATAGATAATGCATACTTTTATTGTTTAATTGTAATCATAAACACAACTTTCATTTACCATCGCAAGGTTTCCATGAAAATTTCGCCTCACTTCCACCGATGAGGAGCATCAACGAAAGCACGAAACAACAAAAAGCTGGTTGATGCGTCATCATGCTGATCTCGAACTTGACTTGTAAAACTTTGGCACGTAGGCACTTTATAAATTTGAATGTTGATCTAGTGAATTGTATGTAATCAGCAAGTGTGGACTTTGGGTGGCATTTATCGCTAAAAGTAAGCAAGGAAATCCCAGTCAAAGTCACAAAGGAATTGAGCCACATTTGTTACCTGCACAATCTACATGTCGCGCTAATGTATAAACCAGGCTTTCATTGGATCCTACTTAGAAATTCACTAATATTATTTTAAGCTTTTGCGAATAAAAATCATAATGGTGCTACATATTCTATTATTGCTGTATAAAGGGCAAAGACTGTAATCGGTGACTGGAGTCCACGACTGTTTTATTTTTATCTGGTTGACCTAAACAAATAAAATTTTCACAAATAAATTAAACAAACACTTAACTATCATTGTCCGAATTTCTTAAGTCAATATTTTTGTGGCGATATACTCAGAGTGGGCTCCTTGCACAAGACACAAGTACCCCCTCAACGGTACGAAAGGGAGATTTGGGGAGACCACCGGAGAGACATGGAACACATAACATTGCCGGTATCATATGGAAATGATCAACTCCTGTGAAAAATCCAACTCCCTTTTTCCCTATTACTGGTTAATTCCTCACACGTGACAAATCACTCTCCTATATATATAGGCCTATAAATAGGCTATTATCAAATGTACGCATGCGCAATACTACCAACGGTCGAGTCCATATTTCATGGAGTTGGATATTTACGCAATGGCTTCACCAGATGTGCATAAAGTCTTCGTATGAGCGTCTAGTCAGGCCGGCGCGTGAACATCGCGCAGTACGCTCACCCAGTGGCGTAGCCACCGGGGGGGGGGGGGGGGGGGGGGGGACCGCCCCCCCCCCATGAAACCTTGTCGCCCCCCCCCCCCCCAGTCGCTCCCCCCCCCCCACTGAGATTTTGAGTTTCTAAAAAAATTATCATTGATCTAAATCTAAATAGTCGCGTATGATCCACACAGCCCCCCCCCATGAAACCTGAGATTTTGAGTTTCTAAAAAAATTATCATTGATCTAAATCTAAATAGTCGCGAATGATCCACACAGCCCCCCCCCCCCATGAAACTTTGTCGCCCCCCCCCTCAGTCGCCCCCCCCCCCCCCCCACTCAGATTTTGAGTTTCTAAAAAAATTATCATTGATCTACATGACGCCATGGGCGTCAATCCTGGGGGGACAGGGGGATTGGTCCCCCCCCCCCCCACTTTTTGAAGGGTGGGGGACACAATATCAAATGTCCCCCCCCCCCAGATTTTTGAACTCGTGTCTCATTTACAGGGCCCTATTATGTACTACAATGTATCTTTTGCTTAGAAGATATTGGTTAAAGTGGTCAGAAATTGCCTCAGATAGCACCACAGAGCATTTTAGAATCCACATTTTTTCGGGGCCCTTAAGCGGGCCCCGAACCCCACGCCTATAGCTCAGAATTCTGGTAGCTGATTCAATGACTCCAACCTCGAAAACAATGTTCAAAAATTTTTCTTATGCCTTTAGCTGAGAAAACCTCGAAAATTATGTTTAAATTATTATCTTTTGTGCTAAGATAATTATTGGTTAAAGTGATAAGAAATTGCCTCAGATCACACCACAGAGCATCGAGAATCCAATTTTTTCGGGGCCCTTAAGAGGGCCCCGAACCCCACGCCTATAGGTCAGAATACCGATAGCTGAGAATACCGATACCTGATTCAATGACTCCAACCTCGAAAACGATGTTCGAATAATTATCTTTTGCTAAGAAATATTAGTTAAAGCATGGAGGAAAGTGGTAAGAAATTGCTTCAGATCACACTACAGAACATCTAGAATCCAATTTTTTTCGGGGCCCTTAAGCGGGCCCCGAACCCCCACGCCGTAAGGGCTTCGCGCTTCGCGCTCGCATCAGTTCTGATCAAGGTATGTTTCCCCCCCCCCCCACTTTTGAGAAGCGATTGACGCCCCTACATGACGCCCCCCATGAACCCATGAAATGTTCCAGCCCCCCCCCCCCCCCAGCGCCCCCCACTGAAAAATTCCTGGCTACGCCACTGCGCTCACCCGATATACGTGTCCCGTCCATGGCCATCCACGGGGCTCTCGTAAAGTGGTAAAAACAAAGCATTATGATGAGTCTTTTAACTTCTCAGCTTGCTGCCGTATTCTGAAAAAAAAAAAACTAAAGTGAAAACTAAAGTCGAACGAAAGTTTGTACTGTTCTTGGCCACTGATTACAGCTAAAGCCCTGCTCGCATTTCTGGCAGGTTAGTATCGTCCTCGCTCCATGGGTACTACAGTTCGACACAATGACACAACCTCCTGCGTCACATAAGGAATTCATAAAAATACGTCGCTTAGGATTTTGGGGTTTGATGCAACAGAATCAGAATATCGATTTAAAAAAAAGAGTGAAAATATGCTCCAAAAGATAAGTTATCCAAAATCACAACATTTTCGGCTTTCCTTCTTAAATTAGACTAGCATAATTAAGTTGATTAAATTTGAAGGTTGACTCCATCTCTGACTGGCACTGATTTCTTTCTGCAACCGAGTTCGTCAAGGGAGTGGTTCCTATTCATTCACTACTTTGCTTTACTTTAAAACAACGTACTTAACAATTCTGACAAGCAAAACATTATTAATTTCCAAATAACATTAATGCTATAGGAGCCGGCATCTCGATAATTGCATTTTCGCGTTTTCACGAAGCTAATTAGAGACGCGAACATGCGTCCCCTTTAATAGAGAATTGTTGAACACGCCACTCAGATTTTCGTTTTCACGAAGGGACGGACATCTTTGTTACATTCTCAGCTGCGCACCCCATCCCTTTGAAAATCACATTGAACAGAAGGACGTAAATGTAGGAAGCTTGATTTTCATTTTCAAGAAGAGACGGGCATCTTTACTAATTAATTTGGGCTAATTAACTACCGTGTTAATTCTAATTACTGATTTAATATAAAAGTTTACATTTGAAAGAATCTTGTGAAGGTTTCCTTACTGCAGTGTTGTTAAAATAGGAGAAACTATAGTAGTTTTTGCAGTTTTAAAATAGGAGAAACTTCTTTTTTGATTTAATATCTCGGTAAAATTTTCCTTAAAATCCACATGCCCGTCCCTTCGTGAAAACACTGACGATATTTAAGAGTAGATAAAACCTACTGTATTAAAAATAGGATAAAAAGGACACAATCAGATAAAAAAATAATTGGGAACGAACGAAGAACTGAGAACCGGAACTTTTTTTTAGATGAATCTGGACCAAAAATAGTAAAAACACTCGCGTAATACATGTTTTTCACTGTCAATCCTTGATATTGCTTACATTGTGCAGTTTTAGAACAGACAACAAAAGGTTGTGTAATTTAAATGTGTTGAAGGGCCGATAAATGCGTTTTAGTAATGCAATCTATGCAAATGCGTCTTCGTGTCTCATTTGTTTTTTCGCTTTGCCACTTATTTGAAGGGTATTTTCGTGCCTTTTGTGTTTATGCCAATGCAACTTTCCATATTTATTAGCAAAACTGTGATGTCATTTCGGGCAGAAACCTCAATGTCACAGCACAAAAAGTAAATAGAATTTGGGATATTTTGCTGTAATAAATTTTCTTTTCTGTGGCAATTCGTTGTCGTGTAAGGCGAAAAAAAAAAAACATGTTTAACGTTCCTGCCGTCCCCGTTCCTTTTTTGGAGGCCGCATCCTTTTTTTGTTTTTATCTTTTCTTACAAAAAACAAAAAAAATTGATAACTTTTCAACAGTGACATCATTTTGGCCTCTTTATCTGTTGTATCTAGCCTATATAAAGCTGTAATGTCATTTTCTGAGTGGCGGCCATTGAAAAAAACTGGCGGCCATCTTGAAAAATAGCCCGGTCGGGCGGCCATTTTGGAGGGGAAAAAAGGGCCTCCCGCTTCCTTTTTTTCCCCAAAGGCAGGACGCCAAACTTTTTTTTATTTCGCCTAAGTACATGGCGATAAAGCCAATGAGCAACCCTGTCACACAATGTTTTCAATGAGCCGAATGATTTTGGATCCACAATTTGAACAGAAAACTGAAATGACATCACTGTCTTCCTAAAATGACATCACTATGTGATGTCATTACAGCAATAGCGCCCTCAGTTTTCCGGAAAAGCATGGATAATTTTAAAGGCAAGAAGTGCACTTTTCAACAACATTAATCAAAAGGAGATGGCAAATAGCTGCGCAAAATGTGTTCCGGGCTAAGAAGAAAATCATTGCACGAACCCGGGTCTTAATTAGCAGCCACTTTTGGATTCTGACATTTTAAGACGAAAACTTGATCACCAGCCAAAATAAGTCAACAGTAATCCATCCAACTAATGTCTCTTAAAAAACAGCTTGAAATTATGTCGGTTTATTGAATGCCTTGAGTCAGAATAAAGGCTAAACCGTATTTCATCAAACTACTGTCTACTGATGAGGCTGCGATTACACATTTAAATTACTGGAATGAGCCAATAGGGGGCGCACTAGCATTACGACGTGCATTGCACTTTCAGTGTCAAGATCTTAGTGCACGGAGTTCGCATGTCATTCGTCCGGGTGTAAAACATTGACAGCACTTATTTACCTCCTAATTTAGCCAATATGCACCGATTTTTCCTGATATTCATTGTACTTCTCTGTAGAGGTGGTTTTCACTCCTTTGCAGGCCTTGTAAATGGACAAAGAACACTGCAGCTTGTAAATTTGGTAAGGTCACACGTTAGCTTGGGATTGGGAAGTAGTGCACGGCTGGCTGGCTGCATGCAGTACAGTAGCCAGCGGAAACGGGCATTCACATTAATGCAGGTGTTGTGTCCATTCTTGAAAATCACGCATTCTCGAGAATGGGCATGCACATTCTCGAGAATGGGCGCGCATTCTTAAGAATGAGCGCCCATTCTTAAGAACGAGCACGCGTTCTTAAGAATGAGCGCTCATTCTTAAGATTGGGTGGGAATATCACGTGCACAATTTATGAATTTTGCCCAATCTTAACAAACATTGCACGACATAATTATGTTAAATGAATTGTATAGCGGTTAAAAGGGAAACAATTCATATAAAGAGGAAAGAAAATGTGCTATGCTTCTGTACTCGTATAACTACGATAATTTGAATCAAATTAAACCTGTTGTTATTGCTTTTTTCTGCCCACTATGCCTATGGGAAGTTTTGTAATAACGGAGGACTGGGAACTAGTCTGGGAAGTGCTTTGTTTAGGCTAGACAAGTTACAAGTCCCTGCATGTATCATATGCGTGCCACGAAAAAAACGATGTCCAGAAGCTGCCAAAATTGCTCTTTTAACTAGATAGAATCCAGCTCTGCGACGTTATGGTGGGATGTGAACAATAAATTGGTGGCAATTTAAATGGGAAATAGCATTAGCACTATGGGATGTCGCAGTATTCATTCTCATTCTTCACATTCTTCATTTTTACGTCCCCCCCCCCCGCTTTTATTATTCCAAAAATCAGAATTCTTTGCACTAGTATTATTATGTCTCTTATATTTTCCCGGTCCCCCCCCCCATATTAATACGCCTTTACTTATCATATCCACTCTACTTTTCAGCGCCTTGCGTTGCAACAGTATAATTATTGAGAATCAGTGAACGAGGATTCAGCTAGACTTGCCAAGCGCAGCCGGTGCTCGGCATCGACAAGACCGTTATCTTGTCACGCATTCTCGAGAATGTGCGCTCAATCTGGAAGAGTTATTTTTTGCCAAGATTGAGCAAGGATCCAGTTGCACATTCTCAAGAATGTGCATGCCCATTCTCGAGAATGCGTGATTTTCAAGAATGGGCACAACACAGGCATGACAGGGCAGCAACGCCAACGCACTTCCCATGCTTCCGTACTATTACTAATTTTGTACTCTGGGAAATCCGAAAGCTCAACTCTTGACCAAGGCAACATTTCAGTAAATGCTCGTCTTTAAATACAAGAAAACCTTAAAATTAATGTGGCCTGACGTTGCGAACTTAGCAAGTTCTTCTTCAGAGGCTAAAACAGAAATGACAGAGGTACAAACATTAACATGGGGGTGCACACAAACATGCAGGGCTGAAAGAAGAAACACAAAAGGAGGATTAGGTGTGAAAGGTGTGGAAAGATGCAGGGGAGGGTGGATGAGAGAACAAAGAAACAAAGGGACAGAGGGAGAGGGCAAACCACAAGGGGTCTTGTGTAAACAGGGGAGGGACCAGAAAGGGGAAGGATCAAAGGTCACAGGGAGTGGGAACGGACAAAAGAGTGTGAGAGTGAAGGGATGATGTGGGGGGGGGGGGGGGAACAGTATTGAGGTGGAAAGGGATGAAAGATGGGGGAAGATGGGTAAACACAAACAAGGAAGACCAGGTGGATTATCTGTAACAGAAGACAATGGAGGAAGAAAGGGATTAGTCATTTCCAAGTTGGATGTTGAGACCATGTGGTTGAATAGTTCGAAGACGATTCATCCACACTTTCTCTCTGCTGAGGCGAACTGAGTCCTTGCGATGGCCAAGAGATTCAATGCCCTGCAAAATCATATCAGAAATGGAGTGGTTAGGCAGGTTGAAGTGATGACCAACAGGGGTGTCTAGTTTCTTGGTGTTGACCGTTGACCGGTGGGCATAGAAACGCTTCTTGAGCGTATTCTTAGTCTCACCTACATACTGCACTCCACAGACCCTGCAAGAAATGAGATATATGACATTAGAGGTGTTACAAGTGATGTTACCAATGGTTCTGTGGGTAGTGACAGAAGAGTGGCCAGAAAAGGAGTCAGACTCCTGGATATGAATCTGGCAGACAACACATCTGGAACTGCACTTGAAAGTACCATGCTGGGTGGGAGGGGATGCAACTAAGGAAGGGACTTCAGCTCGAACAATCAAGTCCCGTAGATTTCGAGGACGCCTGTAAGCCAATGTGGGGCCGTTGGGGATGGCACGGGCAAGGCGATCTGAAGTGTGGAGGATATGATGATTGTCATTAGTGATTTTGCGAAGGGGAGGGAGATTGGGGTGAAACGTGGTAACCAAGGGAATCAAGGGTTTGGCCATGGCATCAGGGGCCTTTCCCGTGAGAGCTAGATTTCTGGGGATAGCTTTAGCTCTGGCAATGGCACGATGAACTTGGCGAGAGTTGTGACCCCTGGCCACCAAGTTGTTCCTCAGTATCTGTGTATGGCGGGAAAAATCGGAATCATTAGAACAAATTCTTCTGAGTCTGAGTGCCTGGCTAAACGCTATGCCAGTTTTGCAGTGCCTGGGGTGACAGCTGGAGGAGTGGAGGTACTGGTGGGTGTCTGTGGGTTTGGAATACAGGTCAGTGGTTAGTGAGTTGCCTTGCTTGCGGACGGTGACATCCAGAAAGTGGGTTTGGTGAGCCGAGAACTCCGATGTGAATTTGATGGTTCTGTGGAAGGAATTGATGTGGTTAGTGAAGGTCAAGAGACTGTCCTCATCACTGGTCCAGATGAAAAAAACATCATCAATATATCTCCACCAGATCCAAGGGCGACATGGGGCCGAGGAAAGAATGCGTTCTTCGAGGTCGCCCATGAAGAGGCAAGCCATCGACGGGGCCATGCGAGTGCCCATTGCAGTGCCGTGTACCTGTAGATAGTGTTCACCAAGGAAGGAAAAATTGTTCTTCGTTAGTATAAGTCTCATGAGGGTGCCAACATCACTGATGGGAGGAGTCGTGTGTCCTGCCTTGGCCAGAGCCAAGGAGCAAGCACGAACACCCTCCTCATGTGGGATGTTGGTGTACAGAGATGAGACGTCGAAAGTCCCAATGATGGCTGTGCTGGGAATCTGGTCCTTGATTCCTTCAAGCTTGCGTAGGAAGTCTGGGGTGTCGTGAATGTATGACGAAATCTGTGGGACAAGGGGTTTGAGAAAACTGTCAATGAACAGGGAGATGCGTTCCGTGGGTGAGCCATTACCGGAGATGATGGGTCTACCGGGGTTGCCAGCCTTGTGAATCTTGGGTAGAAGGTAAAATCTGGCAGTCCTACAATCACAGGGAGAAAGAAATTTGTGAGCTTTCTTGGACAACTGGTCACGTGATCGCATATCGTCAAGTACCTGTTGTATATCTCGACAGAAAGTGCCTGTGGGGTCAGAGTCAAGGCGGGTATAGTTAGTGCGATTATCCAACTGGCGATGGGCCTCATCAATGTACTGCTGACGATCCATGATGACCACAGCTGAACCTTTATCTGCTGGCTTGATGATGATGTCGGTGCGAGAGCGCAAGGAGTTGAGAGCCAGGCGCTCCTCTCTGGGGAGATTATCATGAGTCCTGTGGGGGAAGTTGTCCGGGTTAGTGACTTGGGAATTGATAACTTGAACGTATGTCTCTATGGCTGGCACACGATTCTTGGGGGGTACCCATGAACTCTTGACTCGAAAAGGCTCTGGCTCGCACGGTTCACTGTCCAGGAAAAACTCACGCAGACGGATTCTACGGTAGTATTCCGTGAGATCTTGGCTGAGCTGAACCTGGTTAACAGAACGGGGAGCGGGACAAAAATTGAGGCCCTTGGAGAGAAGTTTGTGCTCTGCGTCAGATATGGATGAGGAAGAAAGATTAACACATTTAAATACAAGACTTTACTTTTTGGAATTTTTATGCACAAATGTGAATCAACAACATGCAACTCGAATTAGGAAAAACAAACAAATGTAAATGGGACGGGGGGTGTACAAATCTCCACATATTTAGACTGACAATAAAAATCAAGAAAATGTAGAAAGTTGGTTCAAAATGACCTTTTCGCGAATATCGCCATCTTGCTTGAATTCGTGATTGCGCAATGGCTCAGGGGTGGGGCACACATGACCCACACAGAAAATCCGTAACGTAAAAGGCATGGGGAGGTCTAGCCCCATGAATGTGGCCTATTTACTGGACTGCCTCTGTAAACATAGGCCACACATCCACATGTACAAAAAACGTGTTGACTTTGCCAAATTTTGATTTTCACATTTAGGCTTACTTTTTACGTTTTTTTTGCTTTAGAAGCATTCTCACCCTCTATATAGGCTAATCAGAAAGTGCTGCCTTTTTCAGATGTCCATTTTTCGTGAAATTTCCAGATACATTTGCACACGTTTGCGTATCAAAATTTCAACATGAAATTTCACAAAAATTAAACATCTGAAAAAGGCAGCACTTTCTGATTAGCCTATATAGAGGGTGAGTATGCTTCTAAAGCAAAAAAAATCTACAAAGTAAGCCTAAATGTGAAAATCAAAATTTGGCAAAGTCGACACGTTTTTTGTACATGTGGATGTGTGGCCTATGTTTACGGAGGCAGTCCAGTAAATAGGCCACATTCATGGGGCTAGGGGAGGTCCAACCTGTAATTGTAAAATGCTTGGTGTCGTTGCATGTGGGGTATTTTTAAAAAACTTTTTGCACCCATGGACAGCTAAATGCCCCATTTATCAGTTTTTAAAACTCTGTATCTGAAATTGTGTTCCGTTCACTGAAAAAAGAGATTTTTTTCAGACCAGGTCTGACCTCCCCATGGCTTTTACGTTACGGATTTTCAGTGTGGGTCACGTGTGCCCACTGAGCCATCGCGCAATCACGATTCCAAGCAAGATGGCGGTATCCACGAAATGATGAATGCTAAATTTTGATTTTTTTGTAAACATTTGCTTTGCCCTTTCCTGTAAGACAACTAAATCTACTTTTTAATTTCAAATCAATGAACTCACTAAAATATCTGAAATAAAAAAGACCCAGGAAAAATTACAGGAATATCATAAAATGAGGGCAGGGTATGGATTTAGAGGGAAATTATGCGGTAAAACGATTTCAAAACACAAACATGAAAATGAAGGCCCCTTTTGTTTTGAAGGCAGTTTTTTAGCTGAAATGGACTAGCTACCCTCATAAAAGATTAAAATAAAATAAAACCTTGCTTTTATTTTTTTTTTATTTGGTTCATTTTTTTCCGTTTAGCTATATCGCCATGGTGATAGGACACCTGTAAACATCTACCCTACTGATCCACACCAGGCAGATACATGGCCGGAGGGGCTGGGTCAACTGACTACAGTGAGTATTCCTGATGCAACTTTGGGGAAACCCTTTACATAGACCTTTCACAGATACTGACAGATAAGTGGTCACGTGGTAGTCCCATCATGTTGTATCCTGAGTATGATGGGATCTATGCCCCCTGAAATTACCAAGTGACCACAAAGATGGTGGTATAAGCCTTTTCGGAGTTCCAACTGCGCGCATTCGTAACCTGTGACAACGCACATTGTTTGTCTCAAATGCCCTTTGACAGTACCCACAATGCCCAAACAGCCTTTTTGTAAAGTCAGTGGCGCGATGTTGTCAAAGGCCATTTGAGACAAATAATGCGCGTTGTCACAGGAATCCCGGGACATATCGTTATTTCGTTTTACCATTTTGGATTTCCTCAAAAATAAAAACGGTAAATGAACCATTGACCGTTTTGTCGTTTTACAGTTTTGTAAAACGGTCAAACGGTTTTAAGTCACAAAAAACAATTATCTTTTTATTATTTTTGTAAATTGTAAAAAGCGATAAACGGTTAGTTGCTTTATTTTTTAGAGTGTTGCTTTACAAAAACATGACAATGTCAAAACGGTCAATAGTCTTATCGACCATTTTTTTAAATTCAGATTTAAGTTGGCAATTATAGCAATGCACCTTGGAATGTTAATGTGACCGTGTCCTTGGGACGGTCACTGCCTGTGAAATTGCCCTCCTTACATTTATGTCGTTCTAGTTCTCGCAACAGAATTTGAGAATATTAGCTATTGAAGAGCCGCGCTGGACTTCAATTTCCTCCAACCATGGAGCAATAATTGCTTCATGCTCCACCACATCTGCAACTTCTTCATACATCTTACCATGGACCATCCTGTATCCATTGTGAAATGCCACCCCCCCCCCCCCCTTGAATTTTTTTGTTTGCAACTCTTCAAGCCCCACCAACTGAATCGCAGTAGATGGGGGTCAGGGTCACGCCAGGAATCACACACGCACGAATTATGCCGAGGTAACACTTCTTCGTGGCCGTCATGGTCCCCCTCCATCATCCCCTTGCCCACCATAAGTACCGCCACAAAATGCACAACGGACTGTTAACTATGACACTGAAGTAAAAGAAAAAATAGTCGGTATTGAATACTGACCGTTTTGCTGTTTTTCAAAGTTATTTGTGTAAAACTGTAAAACAAAAATCATTGATCGTTATGCTGTAATGAAATTTATAAAACTGATAAAACGGAATAACTGTATTTATCGTAATACCGTTTGCCGTTTTACAAAACTGTAAAACGACAAAACGGTCATTGGTTCGTTTACTGTTTTTGTTTTTGAGGAAATCCAAAACGGTAAAACAAAATAACGGTATGTCCCGGGATTCACAGGTTACGAATGTGCAGTTGGAACTCTGAAAAGGCTTATTCATGAAATGGTCTACGTAAAAGGTTTTGGAATGAATGTTGCAACCTGACGCCACTTTTTTCTTATATCATCTCAATAAAGGACAGTCATTGCGAAAAATGTCAAAAAGACATGAATCTGGGACTGAGAAACATTTTCAATCTTGTATTTGAAAATGCACTTGACTCACCATAGACTTTGTACGCAATCGCTGAAGTGGCGTCTGGATACTAAGTACATTCTCTCCAAAGTTTTTAAAAAGAAATATACCACGTAAAAGCCAAGATTGGCACTAATCTGGGCTGGGTTAGACTTTATTTTGAAAACCACTGCATCAAATATTTGCAAACGTCAAAAACAAAACTTCTAAATTATTATGAAATACTTTACTGGACTGTTAATGAAGTTTTACAGTCTGAAGCATCCTGTAAAATCATGGCACCTGGTGTGCTGTAATTTTCTAGAAAAGTGGTATTTTTTACATCAATTTCCAACGCTGGTCGGCCAACCAGCATTGAAAAAAACTGTCCTTTTTTCAAATGCTACCCCAATTTACCATATTTAGTTGGTCCGCATTTTGTGTGCAATCAATTACACACCTATAAATGGGTACAAGACTGGTTCCCTGACCTTACAATTCCCGACGTCTATAAATTGCTCCGTTTCACCTTAAGTGGGGTCAGGGAACCAGACTACAGGAACATGATTTTTTTTTCTTGGTTTTTCCAGCATCTTTGAACACAAAACTTTAAAAAAGTTGGTGTAACAATATTTGCTATAAAATACTGACCCCCAAATCCATCCATTTCTGAAAATTACACCAAAAGCAAATGTTGTATATTCCCTTTAAGCAAATTTAATTCAATCAGTCAGTAAGGTACTATAGGTTGACCCTGTAAATCAGCAAAAATTTTCCAAAAGTACAGAATTTCTTTCTCAATGATAATATAATTTTACCATATGCCATAACACATTATTCATTCAAATTTGTTTTATTTCAGCTTGGCATGAACATGCACTACAATCTTGGCCAATGGCTGCGGAAACGCTACATTGATTCAGGATTCATGAATGCTACATACAACAGATTATCTCTCCATGTTCGCAGCACTGACAAAGATCGGACGCTGATGTCGGCCGAGTCAGACCTGGCCGGACTCTACCCACCACAGGGAAACCAGAAATGGAAGGCAGGATTTGATTGGATGCCCATTCCAGTACACACCGTCCCATTGGATGAAGATTATGTAAATATAATTTTCTGTTTTTCAACCACTTTGTGGAGTCAGTTAAATCACTCTTGAAATATTAGCATCTTGATCTCCTTTCTGTAAAGGGTTTAACCTTTGAAATGACTTCACTCAGCCAAATCACTCAAAATCCATTCGAATGTTTTTTAGGAATTTGCATTGATGTACATAGACTGTGGCATTTGGTTTTGGCAGATTGGAATTGCGAGAACGTTCCTAGAAAAACTTCTGCAATTTAACAAAACAAAACAAATCAATAAACAAACAGCAATTCTGGCTGCAGCATTTCTTTTGACCAAAAATGCACTTTCTAGTTCTGTCGGAATACCTTTTCCAACTGCCATTTGATTTAGTTGGTTTATATTTTTTAGTTGTTGGATTTCTAATCTATCAGTTGAGCCACATTAGCAGATGAGGGATGAAAACTTAAAACCACTTCTCAAAGCTGTATAGATTGGAATTTCCAAGATGGCTTAAATTATAAAATGAAATGAAATCGTAATGCTTATATAGCGCTTTCCATCGTATCAACAATTTCAAAGCGCTTTACAGTTATTCCCCGTTCATCAAGCCATGAGACTATGCCGCAGTTGATATCAGCGCACATTCGGTCCTCTACCCTCACAGGTACCCATTTATACTCCTGGGTGGAGAGAGGTAATTTTAGTTAAGTGTCTTGCCCAAGGGCACAAACACCAAACACCAGGGTGCGAACCCACACACCATCGTACATGAGTCAAACACTGTAACCACTGGACCGTGGCATTCTACATCTTAATAATATTTTCACTTCCCTCCCTAGCTTCTTGAAGCAAATGGACCACCTTGCCCAGTATATGATGAACTCAAGGAACAGATAAAGGACGAAGCTGAATACAAAGAGTTGGAAGCGCAATACAAGGCAAGAAAACGTGTGACATGACACGACCTATTTGTAATATTTCATTGGCTCTGCCTCTTTCAGGCATGCCCGCCCTCTGTTGGTTTAAATTAGAAATGTATGACTCAAAGTGGGTTCTTCAGGGCAGGTTTTGTACCTTCTCTTGATTTTCATGTTTTCTATCACAAAATGTCTACAAGTGTTGTCTAACAGAAATAAAAAAGTTGGGGATAGCCTGTGGTTTTGTTGCTGTGCTGCATATAGGAACAAATTCAGGATTTTTTGAGAGTTTTTTTTGGGGGGGGGGTGTCTCAAGTTTAGTACTGCCACAAGTATGAAGTATTAGTTTTCAGCATTTCTCAGGAAATTTAGATGGACATGATATGAACGCATTGGAGTTGATTGAACATTATGGGTACGCAGAGAGTTTTCTTGCTTTCAAACCATGTTAGAAATAGGAAATTATTGACAAAATATATAGGGTGTTGAGGACCCCCCCCCCCCCCCATGGAATCTGCCCGTCTTTAGAAAAATGCTTTGAAAATAAGTGTGACTATGTTGATTTATTTTATCGGTTCTTCAAAGTATGATTTGGGTCTTTCTTTGAATTTTTCAAAAGACAATACATGGGCCCATTTGAATGCTGAGGCTCCAAAGTGTGGCATTTTATTTTTCCTGTCCCCTGTTACCTTGGTGCTTTTTAATTTGCCATTCAAGTGTCATTAAGAATTACTTCAAACAACTGTTTGTATTCATTGGGTAGGTAGTTTGCTATTCAGAATCACTCTTGAAGGACGATTGCATTATGAAGTGCATCAGAATTAAACAATCATAGATGTAATGGGAACAGGAAAAAAGTGGACCCCAAATTTATAGGGTGACCCACATGGCATGGAAGAGTGACTTTGAGAAATGTTGACCCCACAAATGTAAAAAAAAATAAGGGATTTGTCCACCTGAATTTCTTTCCAGATGTTCTGTATAATTGTTGGGTCTTTCTTTCCTACAGGATTTTATGGCTAACCTGACAATCAACACTGGTTTTAAAACCCCAGTGACTGTAAATAACATTTACAAGATTGAAGATCCTCTATTTGTCGAGGTAAGTGCACTTGTTTCTTGTTATAATTTTGGGCCATTGCCCTCATTTCTTTAATTTATAATCAAATATTGTCCCCAGTCAAACTGGTGATATTCCTATTTTTCTGATTTGTCTGCACTTTAATGACTAAAAAAAAGCCACCAGACCAATGAGGGAAAGAATGTTACATCCTTGCGCCACTTTTTCCGTCATATATTATCTCATTGAAGGTCCGTCATTGCAAAAATGTTCAAAAGACACAAATCTGGGACTGAAAAACCTTTTCAATTTTGTTAGAAAATACTTCGAAAATGCACTCAACTCTCCATAGACTTTGTACACAACCCAAAAAGTGGCGTCAGGATACTATATTCTTTCCAAAAGAAGTATAATGTAACTAGGAAGTAGTGTGGACTCAGTGCACAGTTTGCTCAATGTTGAAAGGGTGAGAATTAGGCAGACTTTTGAGTGCAGTTGCTTATGGAAAGCAAAAGCTGCCTTCAGAACTCCATTCCATTCAAAGAATGTTTCATTCAATTTGAAAAATCGATCATTTTGTTCGGCAAATTCACCATTAAATTAAATGTGACATGCTGTTTGGCAAATTCACTTCCACAGAAACAAAACAAACCAGTAAAAGCAGCAGTTAAAGTTGTCCTACAACACATGTCCTCACAAGCCAATCACAGGTCCTCAAAAGCCCATCTCCAGTCCTCACAAGCCCATCACAAGTTCTCACAAGCCCATCTCAAGTCCTCACAAGCCCATCACAAGCCCAACACAGGTCCTCACAAGCCATCACAGGTCCACACAAGCCCATCACAGGTCCTCCCAAGCCCATCTCAAGTCCTCCCAAGCCCATCTCAAGTCCTCACAAGCCCATCACTAACCCTCACAAGCCCATCTCAAGCCCACCCCAAGTCATCACAGGTCCAGCCCATCACAAGTCCTCACATGCCATCACAGGTCCCGCCCATCTCAAGTCCTCACAAGCCCATCTCAAGCCCACCCCAAGCCCTCACAGGTCCAGCCCATCACAAGTCCTCACATGCCATCACAAGTCCTCACAGGTCCCGCCCATCTCAAGTCCTCACAAGTCCTCACAAGCCCATCTCAAGCCCAGCCCAAGTCCTCACAGGTCCAGCCCATCACAAGTCCTCACATGCCATCACAAGTCCTCACAGGTCCCGCCCATGTCAAGTCCTCACAAGTCCTCACAAGCCCATCTCAAGCCCACCCCATGTCCTCACAGGTCCAGCCCATCACAAGTCCTCACATGCCATCACAAGTCCTCACAGGTTCCGCCCATCTCAATTCCTCACAAATCCGCATAAGCCCATCTCAAGTCCTCACAAGCCCATCATAAGTACAGCAGTCCCAAGTCCACTCACAAGCTATTGAAATGAGCTGGGTCAAATGCGTGCCGTTCATCCCCAGTTACCTTGTGACTGGACTTATGAAAGGACTTGTGATTTACTGTTGATGAGATTTGTGATGGACTTGTCGACAACAACTTTGAAAATCAAAAAAAGCCTATGACTACCACATGATGAACCTCAAATGTTCTGTTTCAAATTTTATTTTCAGAGACAGCATAACTTATCCTGGCCGGCATGGACTAACGTTCCAGGATTCTACACCACTCTTAAATTTCTGTCTGATAAAGGCATGTACTTTCTGTTCAACTCAAAAGAGAAGAGTCGACTGAAAGGGGGTGAGTTGAAGCAGTTATATACAAAATGTAATAAAAAAAGTGAAATTTCAATGTGTATTTTGTGCATTGATCTTTTCGATACATTTTGCCCCTTACATACTAAAGAGATCTTGGTGCTAAAGCCGCATCTGAATACCTGACTATGGCTAGCATTAACATGTGTTACTATGGGAAGTGACTTTATCCCTTCCATACACACACGTGTCGTTGCAAGCCGTAGCCATGTCATTCATACATAGTCAATCTCAGAAACTTCACAGGTGACTAATTCTAGGCCAACCAAATTACAATATCCAACACTCGATATTTTGACTTTATTGATAATGTGATTCCATTTCATATTATGTTTCAGGTCCATTGGTTGGTCAAATCATAGACAACATGGTGAATAAATCGACCACGACTGACCCAGACGATCTCAGGCGAAGAGTCTATATGTATTCAGCTGTGAGTAGACTTGATACAAGAGACATACATTGTATTGGTTTTTTTTAAGTTGTGATTGCAGTTGGCATCAGTTTTGTAGTCAAGTCCATCACAAGTCCGTCACAAATCCATCACATGTCTATCACAAGTCTAGCACAAGTCAATGAAAAGTCCATCACAAGTCCGTCACAAGTCCTTACAAGTTCATAACAAGAACATCACATGTCCATCACAAGTCCGTCACAAGTCCATCACAAGTCCAATGTAGTCTATCACATGTGTATCACAAGTCCATCACAAGTCTATCAGAAGTCCATCACAATCCATCACAAGTCCTTCCAAGTCCATCACAAGTCCATCTCATGTGAACTATGACCAAAGCATCCCTTAGTTTGTTTTCTTTCTCTGTGCAGCATGATACAACAGTGGCAGCTTTCCAATCAGCATTAGGTGTCTACAATGGTCTTCAGCCCCCTCTGGCTTCCTGCGTTGGCATCGAGATGTGGAAAGAAGTTAGCGGGTACAAAACTCTGATCTGACCTTTGGTTTCTCTAGAAATTAGTAAAGTCTATTTTCTATAATCTAAAATCTAAAATCTATTTTGTCTTACTGCCTTGCGATATGAAACACAAATAACACAAGTTTTGCTAGGTTCACACATTCTCAAATTACTACCACGAATATACCCCGATCTGTCCTGATTAAAAATTCTTGATGGCATCGGAGGAATAAGCCCAGATTCACTGTTTGTAAGAATAATTTACGAATGAAACAAAAATAATCAAGAACTAGGTATGAATTGCAAGCCGAACAAGACCGAATCAAGCCAAATGATTGCGATTTAGTGCAGAATAACACCAAATTGTAGCGATTTTGTCAATAATATACGAATAACTCCAGAATCATCCAGAGTGACCCAGAATTATGCCGATTTTATTGTAAGTTATTCTTATAATATTTGTACATTTCTTGAAACATTCGTAATGATTCCGCATGATTCTTAATTGTTAACACCGAGAATAACTCTACGAGACTCTTAAGAATGCTGTAAAAATATCCAGAATTAGTTATGAATACAACAGGAATAACCAAGAATTGAAATTGGTTCCCGAATCAACCCGACAATTTTGAACATTTCCAAAATTGTCGGGGCGCTTCCTGATCTTTAACGATCTTTCACCGAACTACCAAAATCATCCCGAAGCAGGCAAGAACCATTCCCCGGTTTACTCAAGAATTGCTATTATTGGCGATTCGGCTTAAAAATCGAGAATGTGTGAACCTTGCATCCAGTGGAAGCTTGCTGAATTAAGCACATTAAACAACTAGAAATTTGTTGAATATTTTTATAAACACCGTGTACTCGGTTAAAAAGTTACATTCGATAGAAATTTGTTAACTATCTCGAGAACTATGAGGTAGGATTACCCGGCATTGCCAATGAATTGGGCTACATCTGGCCCATTGTGTAGATCACATGCATGAAAAGACTCCCAGTGAATAGCCATTCTGAAACAATTGAATAGACTTTGGTGTGCTCTTGGACCAGCTTTTAATACTTCGCTTGCCGTGTCTTGTTTGGACGTTGTTGTGAGCTTGAAAAACATATTGAATATTGATAACTGGCATTTTTAAGTTAATCTTACTTGATAACACATGCTTCTTTTTCTCCCCCGCCTAGGGAATACACAGTCAATATGTGGTACCATAACGATACAACCAAAGATGTCCCCTACCCCCTCCTGCTGGATAACTGTAACAGGTCGTCCTGTCCGCTTGACGATTTCATCAAAGTCACCAAGGACATTGTCCCAGATGATATCAAGCAAGAATGCGGCGTTGCAGCGCCGGTTGGTCTCAACAGCACACTTATAAGTGAGTACTGCCGACTTGTAATTTGACTTGTGACTGTTTCAGAGTGGTGTGCCAGAGTCTCGCTGAACCACATTGTTCCAAAGGGTTGACCAAGGTGCCGCTGCAGTGAAAGATTGAGTGTTGCAGACTGTTCAGGGATGTCAGTGGGTGTTTGCTCCAGGGCTTGACAAAATGTGAAAGACGGCACGTAGCCAAAACGTTTGCAATACAAGATAAACACACTGCAATGCCACACATTTCTACTTATCTTCAAGCAAATTTGTATTCTCCATGCTGATTGGTCGATCCATGGCAACAAACCTTGCTGCATTATCCCATTTAGTACGGTCTATACTGCACTCCGCGTATCGCGCTATTCTAAGATGTGCGCGCCATTTCTGCTACACGCATGTGTAGTAGGAAAATCACTGCGCAGCAAACAGTGCGTATTCCATCTCAACTAGCTGTGCGTCAAGTTAGCTTTAATTATATTCGTTATCCAAAATATAGTGCATCTGGGCCCCACACACCACTCGGCCACACAGACGCACTTAATTATTCTGTGTTCCACTCGCGCTCATGGGATATGTATCTCTACATTGAACTTACAATTCATACATTCATGTATCGAGCTAGCATGGCAATTGCCATGGAGCATCACATGCACAATTGTTTTCTCTGTGCGTGCAACACAAGGATTTATTTTTTCTGGCCTGTGAAGAGTCGTAATGTCTGAGTTTGTTTCTGCATTCAATAGGGGTCGTTGAACAATAGAGGACAATAGAGTCCCCAATCCCTGAGAGGTCTCCAATTTGGATTCGTGTACAAAACATATGGGAGGTCTTCCTAAGAGGGACAATAGGGGGTATCCGATTGCAGGCAAATACACACTTGTGTGAGTGTGTTTTTGCAAAACATGTTTAGACTGGCGCGTGTTTAACTGGATCAGTGCATTTAAAAGTTGAATATTCAATCAAGTCCAAGTTGGATAATCGAATATGGAATTATGTGAAAATGCACAACCCTCGTAGGATACAGTTTCCGAGCTCAATGACTGCCTACCAGTTTGCTAGTTTTTGGTGGTTTTGTAAAAAGTCTGTTGCTTTAAAAAGGGCAGATAGTGATGCAGGAGATAGAAACATGACATGTTTGGTTTAAACCCTTCCTCATCTTTGCTTGCATCTTTTCTCCAAATTGCAGTCATCCTTGTCAGCATTGTCATCGGTCTCCTAGCCATCATCATAATCGCTCTGGCTGGACTGGTCGTATGCCGTTGTCGCAGCAACAGGACCAAGGACGGTCACATCCGACTACCGACAGACGACACGACGGCATGACTACTTGAGGAGGACAGTGATGAATATGAGCACAGCGCCGGACACAATACGGAGATTCTAATGACACCGGTCTACACTGAAGGATTCTCCCGTCATAGACCAAATTACTATCGCAATTAGTGAGGTGGCGCATCGCTCATGTGCATGTGGCACATGTCCTTTAAGCCTGTTAGTCTCTGTACTGCCCAAAACAGCCCTGCCTATTACTCCCTATAGTGCCCGATACTGCCTGAACACTCTATGGTTTTATTGCATCATCATTGAATAAATACAATGTAATACAAGGAGGCCCAGGTGCTAAATGGATAGATTTGATGCATGCGTGTAACATGAAAGTAGTCATTCCACCTCTAACCCAAAAACATTTTTGTAAATTTTTAGGAAAGATTTCCATATAAGAAGTTCACTCATTTTCCTCTGTATTGACTAACAAGCCCCATATAGCAATTTCATGTCCTCAAAGTCAATTTGAGCAATGAGAAAATACAAGCAGTTTCTTAGAAAACACTTAGAATTTTTCAGTCCAATCTCATAGGGTTTGTACACAGGGTGTTGAGTGAACTTCTTATATGGAAATCTTTCCAATTTTTAAGCAGGCAGTGTTGCTTGTTGTATTAAAGTAAACAAGGTTTCAGTTATCTTCCAATCCCCATAATTGTAAAAAAAAATTTGCAGTTTCATATTTTTTTTTTCAGCAGAAATTCAAAATACAGGTATTTGGTCAAATTAAGATGTTTTTGACCGCTCTTAAAACAGCACTTATCCTCCCCTTTGAGAATTAACCCCTCGCGTATGGGAAGCGGTAATGGCCGCTAATCCTCACTGGAATGCAGTTGCCAGCTGTGGTATGCCGTGGCACATGGCTAGTGTGTAGTTCTACAGCTGCTGCTTTTGTGCAGTCCCGCTACCACACAAAGGCTGTGCAGTCATGCGGGTCACTTGCTCCATGTATGGAGGAATGTCCCCATTACGCCCCGTCCTTAAGACCCCCGTCACACTTATTCGGAATCAGCATAAAATCAAGCAGAACCAGCCGGAATGAAGAATTTTCAAAATTCGTGCCACATTCGGGAGGGAATTTCAAATTGACCAAGCTTTGTAAGAATGCCGTTCGAATACTTAGAATGCACTTCAAACCCGCCTTGAATGATTCTTGCACATTCCGGGTGTATTAGCTCTCGAATGCAGCTCGAATGTAGTTGGAACACAGTAGGAATATTTAGAATGCTGTTAGAATGCAGTCAGAAGTTTTAGAATGCACTTCGAACATCCAGGAATATACAAAGAATGTTCATTCCGACGGCATTCCGGCTCATTCCGCCTCTAGTGTGACTAGGGTTTAAGGGGTTAAGGGCTTATTTCATAAGCAAAATACAAACTACAGGTACTGGGCTTAATACATTTGAGTTTTGATCCAGCCAGAAAGCCAGTGGAAGTCGCAAGGAAATCTTTGATAAGCTTAATCCAAGTGAATTTATACTTCACAAACAAATTCCACAAACAAATACCACATTCGATAGTCCATGATCACCGCCCAAACACAGCGTGTGTAGATCTGTCACTCTGCATTTTAAGTTTGTGATCAAAATAGTGTGGTTAATGGGTTTTGATTATCATTTTGTTGTTAAAAATAATTCACAGTGTGCATAGGTTTAACCTTTCACCTCTTAGGGTCATTCAGGTCAAAGTTATATGTCCTGTTTTAGTTTCTTCTTTTTATTATTTTTTTGGGTGAGGCATATAACTTCTTTATTGTTCTTTAGAAAGACTTTGATCGCTGTAAATTTTTTAAAAATATTTTGATAGTTAGTATGAAAGTTGCGTGCCCCGTTCTCTTCCACAAATTTTCAATATGTGTGCTTATTCAAACCAAAAAACCCTTTCTTTTTGACATCTGTAACCTTCTGGAAAAAAAAGGGTTTTGGTTTGGGCACAAATAGATTCGCTCTGCAAGCCTACTGGCTCCTGGTCCACTTATTATTGGTATTGAGTGTGGGGCGGAACCAGCCCACCCTATATGAGAACCAAATTATCTGGCATTATTTGAAAATGTAAAGTAACAATTCGATAACTAAACATGGGCCAACTTTTTTGGGTTGATGACTCATTCAAGGTGAATATTTTTGTATAGCTAGAAAAATAGCAATTCAGAAAAGGAATCCATTTTTTTTGGGACGAAACTCGAAAATAGCACGGTCAACGCAGCTTTAACCCTGACCCCTTCAGCACTTTTACTGGACCTGAATCTACCAAAATCCACCTATTGTGTCATGCACGAAAGTGTTGGTGACTGCTCAGTATGGAGGTATCGTGAATCCATCAAAATCCTGCAGTACTGCTAGGCTGAATTTCAATCCTAAATCCATCAAAATACCCATGTTTTCAATATGGAGGTATCCTGAATCAGCCGAAGTTCTCCAAAACCGGGGTATGGATTTTGAATGATTCAGGTACGTTAGGGTTAAATATAGTTGAATTTTGCTACAAAAAGCTTCAGGCCTTTATTTCAACCTGAAGTAGTTTTTATATACTCACTGCATTACACATTTGGATTGTTACGTTACATGTATCATTTCAGTGCATTTGTACTTTTAACGTGGCCCTACAATATTTCATCATTTTGTTTTTAATATTCGTTGGATTGTTCTATTTTAAGTTTTTGTTTTCCTAAAAATATTGTTTTTTGTCTTGCTTTTTTGAAGAGCATTTCAGTAAAAAGTAATAGCCTTATTTTTTTTTGCCAACGCCAACATTCTAGTGTCCATTTGGTCACTCTAATTTGAACTTTTTTCAGGGTGTGGATGTTTGTTTCGGTTTCTATTTGGCTAGACAACATAAAAGATAATACTTAACAGTATATATCAATAGTTGATTTAAGACTTAAATGTAATATACAACATTTGCTTTTGCTGTAATAATCAGATATGGGTGGATGGGGGGGGGGGGTAGTATTTTATAGAAAATATTGTTACTTTGACCTGTTTAAAGTTTTGTGTTCATAGATGCTGGAAAAACCAAGAAAAATGCTGTTCTTGTAGTCTGGTTTCCTGACCCTACTTCAGACAAAGCAGGGCAGTTTAGAGGCGTCTTGGAATTGTCAGATCAGGGAACCACACTTGCTGGCTTGCACCCATTTACGGATGTGTAACCGATTGCAAACAAAATGTGGACTTAAAATTTGGTAAATTGTATCAGTAGTGAGGGGGGGGGGGCGTCATTTTTTTGGCCAACCATTGTTAGAAATGTATACAGAAATTCCACTGTTCTTGAAAATGACAACATACCAGGTGCCATATGACTTCACAGAATGCTTGAGACTGTTCCCTGGCAGTCAAGTAAGGTATTCAATAATAATAATTTGATATTTTTTTTATGTTTGCAAATGTATATTACCTTTAAAGCTGAGTGCTTTCAGGCATCATATAACTATGTATGATTTCTTTTCATTATCCTGTGTGATAAATAAATTTGAATGGGAAATGGATGTTTGTACATAGTTATTGCAGTGTTATGAAATTGTTTATTGCATTTGTAATGGTGAGAATAGTGGCACAATTGCAAATAACTGAACAAATGTACAATCCAATAAATTTACATATTAAAATGGACAGATTTTTAACTGATTATGATGTTTTAAAAAAAATGTGTCTCAACTGAATACAATAAGAATGTTTAAAAAGTTGAAAATGAATTAAAGCAAAGAATTGGGAAAACCTTAATATAGGAGGCCAATTAATAAATAATTATGAACACAAATTTGAAGAATTGTAATGTATTTTGAAATAATAACAAAGTCTATTTCACGGACAAGTATGTTACAACAGCACATGTAAAAAAACCTTTAGTAAATATCAAATAAGATGTTAAAACATTAAAAAAGTTAAATTCTCTTATATATCTTGCATTCCTAATGTTGCATTCTCGACCATTACTGTATAATTCTAATTTGGAATATTGTGTTACATGCCAAGAAACTTAACTTGATTGGTCATATTTTTTACTGCTTTTCAGAACAAAATATTCTAGAGCAACAATTTGTCCTTGTAAATTGCATTTAATTCTGACACCAGAATTGTTCAGTTTTAAAAGTTGAACAAAACTTGATAATGTTTCTGGGCTGTCCCATCTGAGTTTGCAAGATTTACGAACATCATGTCAGTTTTTTTTTTATATAAAATGTTACTTATGTATGTCAGAATATATTGGTCTTGAAAATATATGCATATTTGAACAAAAGTACTTCATTAAATGTTGTATTTTCTTGAAACAAAAGATTTCTCTTGTCATTTATTCATGAAAAGAGCAGCAAAATACAATTTTGCATACAATTCACAGTGGCGCAAAGAACATACTATATTGAGGCCAACCCGCGCCCCCACTATATGTTGGCAGAGGTCTTCTGAAGTTATTTATGATACTTATTTTGGTAAAATCTTTTTAAATATCTCATGTACATGTGTAAAACTTGTAGTCACACTGAGAATGTCCCATCCCCCCCAAACGCCCCAGTTGGCGGCCATTTCTGAGCAAAGTCCACCCAATGGTATGTTGGCCTATTGCACTTGTCATTAATTTGGGTGGAGCACATCACCGGTCACCTTGCTACCAAAAGTCATTTTGGAAAAAAAAACTTGTCTCTCGATTCTATTTTATCATCAGTTTTTGTGGGGGTGAGTTTGCATTGCATTCAGAATTTGTTCTCAAAATGTGTGACATGGTTGGGTTGGGGCATGGTTTGAGAAAGCTATTTTTGTTGTAGGATAATACGAATAATATAAACATGTACTGCAAATATTTTGTCGGATTAAATTTCAGCTGTTAATTTAATTGTGAGTTTCCAACATGGTAAACATAAACATAATTCTTACTTGCTTAAGTGCATCACACAGCGGTAGCTGGTTTTGCCGTAAGAGCCGAAACCATTTAACATAAATAGGGGTGTGTGTTTTTCTCGAAGAATTAAACTGAACAACCTTAACTTTTGTTGACGGGAATAGAAGGTATCCAACGCATTTAAGTTCAATTAAATATATTGTCTCATCTTTGAGAAGTACAAATAAACAGTTATTGTCAATGATGCTAATATAAAATAATTGTTACGGAAAGTGCTGTAATAAATGACCCCTTACATGATAATTCGATCATGCCATTTGTAAATATTGCAGGAAACAATACATTGTAGATAACTCATTGAAATTTCCGATCTAGTGTGGGAACATGTGGAAGTCTTTCTCATCCGAACTTCACAATTAATCGTGTGCAAGGCGTGTCATTATTAAAATTAAGTCATCGTGCCGTCAAACCAAAGTGTCAAGACAAGGCGTCTGGCTGTCATAAACAGCAGAGAAAGGTGTAAATGTTGACACTGCGCCCAAGCTTGCCATTAACGTGCGTGGAATGAATGATGGAATGAATGATGGAATGATCAATGAATGAAACTCAAAATCAAACGTAAGTCATTGGCCTAATCTGAACTTCAGTTGTTTTATGTAGCTAAGTTTAGAGCATAGCACTTAGCATTGGAAAGAATTCTACACACGGACGTCACTTGACACCCTGTGTGCAAACCCTATGAGACTGGTCTGAAAAATTCCAAGTGTAAAACACCTCACTGACAGTGAGTGATACTAAATCAGTAAATGCTTTAATATTTTCCCTGCTAAATTTCACTTTTCAGGACATTTTAATGTCATCGCTTTCTGATGGCTAACATTAGCTTGAGTAACTCCAGCTTAACTAGCCCCATAAATGTGGCCAATTTACTGGCATGACTGGACTACCGTACCTCCGTAAACATATATAGGCCACACTTCCACATGTACAAAAACGGGTAGAACTTTGTCAAATTTTGATTTTCACATTTAGGCTTAGTTTGTAGGTTTTTTTTGCTTTAGAAGCATACTCACCCTCTTTATAGGCTAAGAAAGTGCTGCCTTTTTCAGATGTCTAATTTTTGTGAAATTTCATGTTGAAATTTTGATACGCAAACGTTACTTCTGAAATCAGAGGAGGGGGAAGATCCAATGGCCCATCCCCCTTGTCAAAAAGTGGGGGGATATACCATACATCTTGTGAGTGTGCAGTAATCGTGTTCCCGTACTCAGCTACATATACTAATTTAGCAATTTTTGAGGGGAAACCACGTGACCACTCAGAGGGTACGCACACACTTAGGGCCTCCTCAACCAATAGGGTTACCAGAATGCACACATGCGTCATCTTTAAGAACACCTGTGGCATGCACATGAAAGTGGTTCCACCTGAAAAAAACTTCTCCAAATTGGGCCTGAATATTTAACAATATGTAACCTGAATAAAGTTCTTTTCTTTGTCTTTCACACAGCAAAAAGACATTCAACTCAAGTCAGTTTAAGATGACATGGATGAGACGACAGACACTGGAAAACCAATCTCAGAACGTGATGATTATGGAGAGACTTACACTACTTTTCATTTTGGTGAGTATCAAACTGAATAAACTGTGTACATGGGTAAAATTCATTTCAGGTCAGGAACACGGTCGAGAGGCTCTATCTGGGTAGAAATCCTCAATTTACAGCTTACCCGTGTTGACCCATGTACTTGTGCAAACAGTAGCCTATGCCATGCCAACTCGTGTTTAATCAGACCCGAGTCCAATCATAGGAGAACTGTGTCGATTTTCAACATGGGTAGGCAAGAGTACTGGCGAGAAATTCAGTGGAATATTGGAATATACATCAGAGGACCATACTCCACGTAGTTGGGTAGTTAGCCCAAATCCAAGCACATGTAGTACAATGTTAGTTATCCCACGATCACGAGTGGAACACAGAAAAATGTAGTGCGTCAGTGTCCGGCATGCCACGAGGCTGAAGACCGATTGGTATGTGGGACGCAGATGTACATGTACTACATTTTCTGTGCTCCAAGAGCGCGAGTGGGATAACAAATTTATATTTTAATTTAATTAACCCTAACCCCGCTGAATCCAACAGGATCCAACTATGTCATATACCCGATGGAGCCTGTTGGATTGAGCAGTAATTAACCCCTTGTGTACATTTCTGATGCAAAATGTTGGATTCAGCTGGCAACTGAACCGCATTATAACACCATGTTGGACTCAGTTGGATTCAGCAGACAACTGAAAATAAGGCACAGTAGATTGAACAGGAAACTCCGGTTGGACTCTGTTGGATTTAGCAGGGTAGTCCTGAGGAACTACTTGTGGGTTACGGAGCAAACTTGAGGCACAGCAAAGTTGGAACAGCACGCTTATCTTTACAGAAACCAGAGTTCGATCTCAACTTTTGTTTTTACTAGCCAGCCGGGCTACTGAAACAGACTCTTAACTAGCCTGCGGGCATTTTCACTAGCCCGCATGTTTTCATAGAGTATCTCATTTAAAAACAGTGTGCAAACATGTAAAATGTGTATTCTGAGGCAACCTTGTCGGTGCTTTCAATAAACAGATCTGATAATTTAACCAAAAGCAGTTTAGACACAAATTGATACAGGTTTGCTTTCTGAATTTAATGGTTTATTTCTTCCTGTCCTTTCATCTTTCAATTTTTGACTCGCCAGCTGGGCTACTTAAAGGGAAAATACAACATTTGCGAATGTCAAAAAATAAAACTACCAAATTGTTTTGAAATACCTTGCTGGACTGTTAGCGAATGACAATCTAAAGCATCCTGTAAAATCATGGCACCTGGTTTACTGTCATTTAAAAAAAAAATTGTATTTTTGTATCAATTTCCAACGATGGTCGGCCGACCAACTTTGGAAAAAAACTGGCTTTTTTTAAATACTGGCCCCAATTGACCATATTTAGTTAATCCGCATTTGTTTGCAATTGATTACACACCTATGAACTGGTACAAGCCAGCTCTACTGGTTCCCTGACCTTACAATTCCCCAATGTCTATAAATTGCTCCGTTTCATCTTAAATGGAGTCAGGGAACCAGACTACAGGAAAGTGATTATTTTGTTTGGTTTTATAGCATCTACGAACCCAAAACATCAAAAAAGTCAGCGTAACAATATTTACTACATATTTCCAACCCACCAAAACCATCCATTTCTGAAAATTACAGCGAAAGCAAATAAGCTATAGTCCATCATTTGCAGCCATCCGAAAAGTAACTGGCGTAATTACTGTTGAAAAACAAACTTGGTTGAAAGATAGTAAGGGAACTAAACTCCCTGTGAAATTATTCTTTCTGGAAAGCTGTCATTTTGAAGTAATCAACGAAAGAAGGCATTTCCAACGGTGATTCTTAAGAAGCACCGTAGGAAAATTTAAATTAGTAGTTCGTTTTGTTATTCAGCGCAGCGCGCACAAGTATTGGAACGACGCACACGCGCGCGCGGTTGTTATAATTCGTCGGATCAGTGCGCGACGCCGCGTATAGCTGCAATTCAAAACAATTCAAAACATGATTCAGTAACTTTTGATTTGAAATTGAGATCTTAGAATGCTGCTTTTCTCGGAATGTACAGCTGAAGCTTAGCTGAAACTTCATCAGGTTAGTTGCTCAGTATCCTTCATTAGATTTTGAACACTTTTGTTGCTTCAAACGAACAAAATGCACTAATTACAAATGATGGACTATAGCTTTAAGGAACAGTTTGACTAGCCCGCCGCTGTTTTGACTAATTGGCTAGCGGACTACCGCTGAAGTCAAACCCTGGTAACCTTTTAGTGGTTAAATCCGCCGTGCAGCTTGAATGGCACTCGCACATTAGAACAGCGCGATACGAGGAGTGTGACATGGACCGTGCTAAATGGGATAATGTACAGATGTAGCAGAGTTTGTAGCCGTGCATCGACCAATTAGGATGGAAGAGGTTTAAAGAGGTTGTGGAATGCTCGAAGACATTTCCGTCATTTTTCGGGTATATGTAGCCTAAGGTGTGATGAAATAAAATGAAATTGTTTCTGTCATAAAATGAGTACTGTCGTGTCATGCCTGTTTCGACCCGAACGTGCAATTTGTGTAAAAGTCGTCGTTGCGGGCAGCAAACAAAACACAGTAAATCTTGACGTAATAAACAGGACTCCCGATGCAGAGTAGCATAAACGAGTCCTGTTTATTACGTCACGATTTACTGTGTTTTGTTTGCTGCCCGCAACGACGACTTTTACACCAATTGCACGTTCGGGTCGAAACAGGACATGAAAAATAGCTCTCAAAAGTAACCTTTGTACTCATTTCATGACAGAAACAATAGTCGTTTTTATTTCATCACACCTTAGGCTACATATACCCCAAAAATGACGGAAATGTCTTCGAGCATTCCACAACCTCTTTAACTGTACATGATACAAACACATAAAAGATACAGAATGCAGTAAAGGTTGATTAGGAGTTAGCATTGCGATGTTTATGAATTTGTTGACATTACTTTATGTTGCTCAGTGAATCATCATTCAAGCTGTGTAATTGAGTGAAACAAAACGACTCTATTTTGTTTTTGAAGTGCATTGATCGTATGTTTTGGAATTGCTTGACTATCCTGGTTTTATCAATTATGAAACAAAACAAATGTTTCCATTTATCTTCCAGTTTAATTTTAAATTTAAAAAAAAATATTTATGAAACTTTTCAATAAACATCAAAAATGATTTTTTTGTCTTAACATATCCTCTACTTTTCTGTAATGTATTCACCCAATATGTTCTCTTTCAAGCTTTATTATTGTCATGCCGGTAATGGTACCACCGGGAAATGAAATAAAATAATAATCTCCAGGGAATCTAAGGAGTTGTGTACACAGGGCGTAAATCTATGGAGATTAAAGTCATCAATCAATGTGGTTGTTGGGCTGTGGATGTTAGCAAAAAAATAAACTGTCTATAGGGACTGCAATATTGAGTCACTAACCCTAGTGTAACTGAATCCATCAAAATTCATACCCCTGTTGTGGAGGATTTTGGTGGAATCAGGATACCTCCATATTGAAAATGGGGATTTTGATGAATTTAGGTTGTAAGCCTAGCGGTACTGCGGGATTTTGATGGATTCAGGATACCTCCATACTGAGCAGTCACCAACACTAACATTTTTGTGCATGACACAATACATGTAGGTGGATTTTGGCAGATTCAGGATACTTTCTAGTAAAAGTGCTCAATGGGTTACGGGTTAATAATTTACGTTTCTCCTGTATTCTTTTAAAGGCTTTAGGATTATTTGCTTTTCATGCATTTTATTTGACATTTCCAATGATAAAACCACTTAAAAGCCACCGAAGAATGTTTGAAGTTTCGGTTCAGTGGATACATGTATTACTTTTTTCGAGAAAATAATGAAAAACCATGCACCACCTTTTGAACATGAAATAGCACTCTTTATTCCCCAAATCAGTCAATTGACTGATTGTTGGAAATCACATTTCTTGATTTCTTTGAAAGCACAGCAAGCCAGATGGAAGAATTTCACAGGGTGTTTAGTACCAGTACGATCTTTCAAACCCGGTTCATACTCCATGCGAATGCGAATGCGAAGCAAATTTGACATCATGAAACACTCGCTGCGAAATTCGCCCGAGTTGAAATGTGTTCAACTTTTGTGAATTCGCAGCGCGAATACTTGCCATGACGTAACAAATTCGCGTTCGCTTTCGCTTTCGCGCCGAGTATGAACCGGGCTCAATACGTAGCGAAGCTTTTTGATAGTAATTAGGTACAATGTAGGTTGATGGTGGGATAAATGCAAATTTTGTACTTTGCAAAACTACCACAGACTAGAAATACTTAAAAGCTAGGATATATTTGCCTACATGTACATGTACCTGCATAATAATGACAATAAATATTGTCAGTATTTGCACTGTAGATTAAACAAAATTTCAACAAAGTACTTTGTTTAAAATTGGCCGCAGGCATTTTCTACAGTACATGTACCTGTACTGGTAAATTCCTTTTTTTTTAACATTATAACAGCCTGGGGTTTTGAACACATGTATACAGTACATGGAAATATACAGAGAGCATTCTGAATAATGTAAAATAATGTAACACGCTTGTAAAATCGTACGGGATGAACTTACAACCTAAGGATTTTCATTTACATGTACATGTATTGCACCATGTACATTGTACATAACATTTATAACTAAATTATCATCTTATCTAAAACATATTTGGTTAAAAGATAAGGGCAATGTTAGTTACTTATTGATGGTTTTTTTTATGCAAACCAGAACTTAATTTAAGCCTCAAAAATCCAAATGTATAAATTTCCTCTTGTTCCTGCTCTGTGATCATGTTGTGTTCAAAATAAAGGTGTACATTTACAGAAACTGTAGATCAATACCACCGCAGGAACACAACATTGTAAGTACTTAAATTACAGGAAAGAAACAACTGTTTGTAATAATTTTGTAACATGAATAATAAAAAAACCTCATGTAGGAAATTGAAATACAAACTGCATGGAATGAAATTAAAGGGAAAATGCAACATTTGCA